AACCATCCACACCATCCTTTCATTCCACAATTCCCATGAATCGCGACACCCAGTTTCACCAGTGACACACCACATTCTACGTCATCTCTGTCTATCGCGGCAGAGACACAAAGGATCGTGTGACCCATTTGCGGACCATCCCTCTCCACGTGCTGATAATGACGCGGAAGATCCGAAGGCCAAGGTGCGATGAACTCAACACAAACCATCTTGGCGGCTCCACCTTATCAGTATCACCCTACTTAGCCTAGATGATTAGAAAATTCACTGGGTTATTTGTAGACTAGGTAAAAGCCTCGAGTGGCCTTTCATCATGCCCGCGCCCACCGCTAACTTATCAGGCACTTGGCTATTTTTATGTTGCGATTGGGTTGAAGTGGGATTCGATTTTTTAGTTCGAAGGAATTCACGAGCATAGTTTTAGTGAGGGTTGTTACCTATGTTGTATCACTTTTGATTACGTCACTGTGAATCAAGGGTGTTTATAGAGCAGTCCAATAATAATGTTATTAGGCCTAATAGTGCTCTGAGCTTTAGGTCCACAGAAATATTATTGATTACACAATAATAAGTACAAGAGGTACTTACACCGTCCAGTGGTCGAAAACTCGACCAAAAATATAAAATGTACAGACTTCTCTATTATCACCCCAAGCTGTAAAATAAAGTAGGGTATGTGATTGGAATTTCTTCAATTTGTTTTGATTTTCTGTTTATATTTCATTGATATTTCGTCACCAGCACAACAACCTATAAGGCCCATGTTAATTTGTTTACATTTTGAAATCATTCTTTGTGCCTATTTTTAGCCCATTTTAATTTACAAATGGATTCTGTTTTATCTACAGTTATAGGTACAGTATTTACTATCTACAAGGGACACTCGGAGGGTTAAAGATTTTTAAAAATACATGTAACAAAACTTTTTATCATATCAAACCAATAGGCCTATGTAGAACCTGCTATGTGGCATATTTTGAGGGTCATAAAGATGCTGCTTGAAGAAAACACTTTTAAAAATAAACACTAAAAAAACAATATTTTAACCATAAAAGCACTTCCATGAATACTACGATTTTAGTCTTGAACGATTTTAGTCTACGATTTTGACCTTTAGGAAGATTAACCCTCGTTAAAATGTCCAATAATGAATATGTATAACCCATTATAAGACATAGCCTTACTTAAAACAACATAATATAGTTGCTCATGACTGAAATTGGTCTGGGTAAGAACAGTGCTGATCTTTAATTAAAGTTACTTGGCTTGGTGATTTCATAACTGCAAACTCAAAATACACCCACGAGTAAAAAAGAATCAAGTTATTGGTTGTGTAACAACATTATTCACTTGAAGTAGATGATTTGTTTGATTTGTCGATCATCTGTTTTGTTTAAAATAAATAATGTCAAAGATTTGTGATTTTAAATACATAGATTATTATAGCGAAGTTTTCTAAATCATGGTAACTTAATCTCAACTAAATTTTACTATTCCCAGAATTAAAATAAAGTAGTAAGATCCATTATGAATAAACATTAAGGTATACAATCCTTAAATTGAAATGTAGTATACATCAACAGTCATAATACACAGCAATTATTATGTAGTAGACTTTGACTATGTTCAAATAACAAACATATGTTTCTGTAAATAAAAATTATCTCCTATGTTATCCTTATGGGGAAATACGAAACTTTAAAGGGCTCCAGGGCCTCACTCTCTCATTATTTCCCTAAAAAGAAAAGTTTCCTGCACAACTTCACGCTACGCTCTTTCCAATGACACCAAAAACATGACAATTGGTTCAGTAGTTTCGGAGGAGTAATTGTCACAAAAAATCTGCTTGCTATTAAATCCTATACTCTAATACGAGCAATGTTTGCTTGTATGTATGTATGTATGTATGTATGTATGTATGCTTGCTTGCACAAAGATCTCGAAAACGGTTCCGACGATTTTCTTCAAATGTTGTAAATAGTTTAATTCTGGCCTAAAAACGAGTTTACTGCAGTTAGAACTGCCAACAAAAATCTAATTACGTAGAAAAATGAAACTGAAAATCACATTTTTTTAACATTAGTCTTATGGGTTGCTAGGTAACCTTGTTGGCTGAATTAAATAACAAGGAAAAAGTAAACAAAAGACTTGAAGTTGTAGCATGTGTTCATAATAAGCCAACTACCCACAGTATACTAACAAATTACAAATACAGTACAAAAGGAAAAAAAACATTTAGCAAAGATTATACTGAAGATTACTCGATACATTGTAGTCAAGGGTAGCAGTGAGAAGTCTGGGATCTGTTTATGACGATTAGATAAGGGTATGGGCAATCCTAAAATGCTATGGGAAGGGAGGGAAACAGGTCCGTGACGTAGGAAGTGGTGAAGGAAGTAGTCAAGGCGAGCTGTCCGGAGTGTGGGAACTGTTTATGACGATTAGATAAGGGTATGGGCAATCCTAAAATGCTATGGGAAGGGAGGGAAACAGGTCCGTGACGAAGGAAGGTGTTAAGGAAGTAGTCAAGGCGAGCTGTCCGGAGTGTGGGAACTGTTTATGATGATTGGATAAGGGTATGGGCAATCCTAAAATGCCATGGGAAGGGAGGGAAACAGGTCCGTGACGTAGGAAGTGATGAAGGAAGTAGTAAAGGCGAGCAGTCCGGAGTGTGGGGACTGTTTATTACGATAACATCAGGGTATCTGCAATCCTAAAATGCTATGGGAAGGGAGGGAAACAGGTCCGCGACGTAGGAAGTGGTGAAGGAGGTAGTCAAGGCGAGTAGTGCGGAGTGTGGGAACTGTTTATGACGATTAGATTAAGGTATCTGCAATCCTTAAATGCTATGGGAAGGAAGGAAAACAGGTCCGCGACGTAGGAAGGTGTTAAGGAAGTAGTCAAGGCGAGCTGTCCGGAGTGTGGGAACTGTTTATGACGATTAGATAAAGGTATGGGCAATCCTAAAATGCTATGGGAAGGGAGGGAAACAGGTCCGTGACGTAGGAAGTGGTGAAGGAAGTAGTCAAGGCGAGCTGCCCGGAGTGTGGGAACTGTTTATGACGCTTAGATTAAGGTTTCTACAATCCTAAAATGCTATGGGAAGGGAGGAAAACAGGTCCGCGACGTAGGAAGTGGTGAAGGAAGTAGTCAAGGCGAGTAGTCCGGAGCGTGGGAACTGTTTATGACGATTAGATAAGGGTATGGGCAATCCTAAAATGCTATGGGAAGGGAGGGAAACAGGTCCGTGACGAAGGAAGTGGTGAAGGAAGTAGTCAAGGTGAGCTGTCTGGAGCGTGGGAACTGTTTATGATTATTGGATTAAGGTATTTGCAATCCAAAAATCCTATGGAAAGGGAGGAAAACAGGTCTGCGACGTAGGAAGTGGTGAAGGAAGTAGTCAAGGCGAGTAGCCGGAATGTTGGAACTGTTTATGATGATTAGATTAAAGTATTTGCAATCCAAAAATGCTATGGAAAGGGAGGAAAACAGGTCCGCGACGTAGGAAGTGGTGAAGGAAGTAGTCAAGGCGAGTAGTCCGGAGTGTGGGAACTGTTTATGACGATTAGATTAAGGTATCTATAATCCTAAAATGCTATGGGAAGGGAGGAAAACAGGTCCGCGACGTAGGAAGTGGCGAAGGAAGTAGTCAAGGCGAGCTGTCCGTATTGTGGGAACTGTTTATGACGATTAGATTAAGGTATCTGCAATTCTGAAATGCTATGGAAATGGAGGGAAACAGGTCCAAGACGTAGGAAATGGTGTAGGACGTAGTAAAGGCGAGCCGTGTGGAGTTTGGGAATGGATCTATGTGTCTCCAATACAGTACTAAGACTGCTTTCAGAGTGGACTAATGATTTTCCCCGAGCAAAGCTCGGTCCCCAGGTACTAAGTATATTAAATAAGTATAGATTGTTGACATATAATAGAGGACCTGATTGTAAAAAATTTTTGCAACAACAATCTTCAACCAGCCAAAAACAACCAAACAATAAAATTTTCATACAAAAATATTTTTTTTTTGCCAGAATCAAATAAATATTTAGATCTTTTTAGGATTGCAGGTTTTTACAATAATTACTGTACTTTTAATACATGTAAATTTGTTATTCATGACATTTACTATTTACTCAACACTCAAGCTCCCAATTAGTTATCGTCAAAGTTTTTTTTTTTTTTTTTCATAGAAATAGCAGTTAAATGGGCCAAAATAGATTTATTTATCACCAGAGTAATTTTGAGTGAATTTAAAAACTGCTTTAATTTTAAATCCTCAGGTAATGATGATGAGATGATAATTAGGACATGAAGTTTAATCCATACATTGTTTGATCAACTATTGGGTCGGTCCCAATTGTTTGATGGAAAGATATGGGTGGCAAGTAGGAGGTGGAAGTTGGAGGGAGATAAAGAGGTGGAGGTGGATGAAGAAATGGAAGGTGGAGAATTGAGGTAGGGGCGGATGATGGTGAGTGGAGGTAGGGTTGGAAGATGATGAGTGGAGGTAGGGTTGGTAGGTGGAGGTGAAGGGGGATGAATGAAGATAGAGGTGGAAAGTGGAGAATTGAGGTGGGGGTGGAAGATGGTGAGTGGAGGTAGGGTTGGAAGATGATGAGTGGAGGTAGGGTTGGTAGGTGGAGGTGAAGGGGGATGAATGAAGATAAAGAGGTGGAAAGTGGAGAATTGAGGTAGGGGCGGATGATGGTGAGTGGAGGTAGGGTTGGAAGATGATGAGTGGAGGTAGGGTTGGTAGGTGGAGGTGAAGGGGGATGAATGAAGATAAAGAGGTGGAAAGTGGAGAATTGAGGTAGGGGTGGAAGATGGTGAGTGGAGGTAGCGTTGTTGGTAGGGTTGAAAGGTGGTAGATGAAGAGATGGAAATGGAGAATTAATAAGGGAGGCGTGTATGATAGAGGTTAAGGATTAAGTGCAGGTAGAGAAAGAACTACCTACTTTGTTTATTCTTCAATTAATTCATACCATTTGTTAAACAATGATTCTCCATGGGGCAAGCCTATAGCAAAACTGATAGAAAACGGCATGGTTTAAAAAATAAAACACGGTGACCATTTATTTATTATTTGTTTTTACTTTTGAATTAAATCCTTTTTGCTTCCATCTATCTGACACATCTATCAGGTTGTCATTTGAGTTTAGCATTTTCATACTTCTTTCTTCTTCGGTATCTGATATTAATAACTTATCGATTGAATCCCACCTAGGAATATATTTCTCATGATGTATAAAAGGAGACTTAAACTCCACTTCCGCCCTTCCTACAATGATCTGACCCTTGCCTTTGGGGTAGGTATTTCCATTTTGGAACGAAATGTTCCTATCTTTATTACTTCTTCTTGTACCTTGTTCCTCTTCGCTTGTGGAATAGCGGGACTCTTGATTGTCTAGAATAATAAAAAAAAAACAATATGCTAAGGTACATAGGCCTATGTGTTAGTTATAACTTGTTTTTATTCTTGTTTTACAACAATTTGTAGTCTAATTTGTGGCTTGTGAGTTGCAGTTAAGTAAGAATAGTAACTAGAACATTCAACTCATATTGAGTTGTTGTTATACAGAAAAATTTAACTATAATCCAATCCAACCATGTATGGCCAGACACCTTTGCCCAGTCTCTTTACATAATTATTATCAGGATAATGTGCCTACAGTTAAAATAACACAAAATACTAGGTACTTCTGTAATTTCTTCAATAATTGTTCAAATTTACATTTTCAAATCAGAAAGTGGTAACATCATGACAGCAAGTAAACTTGGGTGCCTCTTAGTCATTTTCAAAGTCTAGAACCATATCAAAACCCTCCTTTACGATTTTTGGTCGAAATGTATGTTTGAATTAATTTTTTCCAGGGCCCGATGGGGGCTTAGCCCCTGAAGCCTGCCGTTGGAACCACCACTGTGTTTAAGTCCTATGGTTGAGAAAGGTTGGGGGAATTTGAGAAATTTGAGAGATTAATAACACTTCCTACAGCTTGAAATCGTTGATCCAGACAACTTTAACAAAAAGTGAACTAAGGGAACTTATTTCAAGCTTCAAATGTGATTTCTATTTTCTGAAGCCAAAAAGCAAACTGTTTGGGATAAACTGGAAATCTGATAAGGAGGGGAGATGAAGTTATGACAAATTAAGTAAGTTAAAAAAATATGATGGAACAAATCCCATGGACTTACGATGATGTGGAGGAAATGGGAAGTAGCTATTAATATGAGGATATTAAAAGTTAGCAAAGAAGATGCACAGGATCAAAATAAGTACCCAGGCCCACTTTTATAAATGGGCAAACTGGGCATATGCCCAGGAGCGCCGGAGGTTTAGGGGTGCCCACTGGGTGCCCCCCAACAACCACCCGCCCGCACTAGGAAAAAAGGAGGGCGCTGCTTTTGGCTTTGCCCAGGGCTCCTCCACTGACCCTTATCGCGGCCCTGAAAGTACCTAGACAATGTTAGAAAATGGATGCACCTTCTTAGGTATAAATGGCTTTGGGAGTAAGTAAGTAAGTAATTTTAAACACTTTAATTTCGTTTTATGAAGTAGTTGCAGTTTTTTTATATATCTACCATGACCAAAAAATACCAGAAAAAATCTTTTCACTAAAGTAGGTACCTGTTGTAACGTCAGTTTCTGAAGCTGTTTCTTCTTCTTCAGCTAGCGCCTTCTGCTTCAGATACTCAACGTATCTTTCCAAAGCCTCCTCAGCAGCTTCTTCGCCACCCAGTCTGTTGATAGCCTGTGGGAAAATAACTGTCAGAGCTGTAAATGTGGCAAATCTTACTTAGCGATACTGATAATACTACTTTCAGGGTAGAGACTTTTTTCCCTTGTCCCACCTTCACATCCTAGGACGCTAGGGTGTAGCTCGGAACTGTTGCACACATTACTCAGGCTAGTCCTAGAGGGTCGGGACACTATCATTTAGATAAAATTCATTGGTGGTTGGCGACCTAAGCTCCGAAGACCCGCGCTTTACCACTACACCAGCTCGCTCCAAGGGAAGAAACTATGCAAATACGTTGTCCACTTGTTAGTTCTGACTTGATGTAGTAAAGTTTGATTTGTTACAACATGTGACAATATCTGTTATCTTCACCTGAGTTTTATTTGAAAATTATTCGCTAATATTGTTTACTAGAGTATTTACAGAGGCAATGCAACTAACTAAACATCAAAATATTTACCTTATTAGAGAAAATGAACAACTCCATTGCTCTGTAAGCTTCATCACCTTGAAGTTTCTTGCAACGATAAAAACCAGACCTAAAACAAGAGATTTGGAGTAACCAACAACGTAAAATCAACTATTAAACATATAAGCATAGATATAGGCTAAGCATAGTTATATATATGATGTAATAGAGATATGTGTGGAGTTCTGTTAAACTTACTTTGTGTTAGAAAATCTGTAGACCTCTTAAGGTAAGGTAGAAAGAGTTATAGTTTTAAAACAATACAAACACAAAAAAAAACATTTTTAGTATTATTGACGTACTTTGACCAAACATTCTAATGTAAAATTCTCATGTTAAGATAAAATTTGACCAGATTTTAACCCACTGAGTTTACAAAAACACCAAAATGCGAAATGGTATCAATATAAACAAAAACTACAATGCTACTAATCAACATGTTCAAGACCTGAAGATGGAGGTACAATCCAGACGGTGTCTCACTTATTACAAGCCCAATAATAATGGACAGCGGAGGCCAGTTTCAAACCGTCAAAAAGCTACTGGCCTTTTGCAGCATCGAACTAGCAACCTTCTGATTTTTAGGTGAGCACTATAACCAAGCAAAGTAGCATTGGTATACAAAGTTGTAGCTGTTTCGGGGGGGGGGGGGGGGGGGGGGGGGGGGGACAGAGGGGAGTTTCAGACTTATTTACTATAATGCATTATTTCTACACTTATTCATATATTTTAATCATATGCCTTCTAAGGTCTTTGGGTGGGAAAACACATTGTCCTTACACCAAACAATAGTTCCAATTACTAAAACAAGATAATCAAATTTGAATGCAATTGTTACTAAAGTTGTGAAATTTGTTCAAATAATCCTGTGTGTTCATTTTGCTATCTAGGTTTTTAACCAAGCCTATAAAGATTGCACTCAGAAGCATATTTTTTTTAGGGGGGACTTGATTAAAAGGCTTATATTAGTTTTGCCAATGACTAAAATAAAAATAAACAATATTAGCTTACCCTTTCTTGTAGTCTTCAAAACCCTCGTAAACTACCCATATCACCAATATAATAAGTAGGATGATTACAAAGCACAAGTGGGTATTCATCAGCCTATATAGCCACGACCGCTTGCCTGAAAAAAAAAACAACATTTAGAGCAAAAACGTTGTGATAAATATTCTGTACTTGGCCTGTTTCAAAAGTATAGTGCATGAAAATGGTCTGATTAAAATCGTAAGGGCTATTAGTACTATTTAAACTATTAAAGTGTGCACACCACATATCCTATAATTTTAATACTTCCACCGCAGCAAACCTGTAGCAAAATTACAGTAATCAAATTGAGATAATTTTTACTGGAGTTATCGTGCTTGCGGACACATATATAAAAATTTGAACGGGTGGTGATTTTGGCCTAAGGACACATCAAAACAAAAAAGTAATTCGGTCCTAGATCCAGGTGACACTGGGACTTACGGTAATAGCTTATTCCCTCTATGGGGAGATTCGCTAAAACTCTTTTTACCTTAAGTTTAAAAAATGACATAACTCACACATTTGTGCGCAACTTTTCTGAAACACCATCCTCACCTGTGGTGCTGACTATGATCACTCCGTAAGTGACGAGGTTCAGTTTGGGTAGGGGAGGGGGATAGTTCAACCAACAAGAGTAGAACCCCTCCACTGACTCAGGAGTAGAGTAACCAGTTATGGTCAAAGTCACGGCCTTCCCTGTAGCGGAAATCTCATAGTGTACTCCAGACTCACTGCAAACAAGAGCTGTCAAGTATAAATTCCGTACAAACTATATCCAAATAGATATATCTGACACTGACACACCATGGCGGGGATGAGTATTGGATGAAGGAGTTGATAGCATTGTTACTGACTAAGATCAGCTGGTTCATTGGCACAAACCATTTAAGTCTATGTCTAATGATCAAAAGAAGCTTGGTCCAGTTCGAATTATCAATTTTGTTGAATCTCATACTGCTTACCAATTTCTGTAGTGTTTGTTTAAGTATTTGCCGTTAGAAGGAAGATTAAGCTACACAAGAATATATTATCATTATATTACTACTCACTTTGCAAAAACAGTTTTGACTGGAGTGTCTAATCTGTACCAATTATATTCTAAATCTTGTATGCTGTTGGCATCTGTCTGGTTTCCTGAAGACACATCGTATAGACAAGGCATCGACAAACTCTCTCCTTCTAGCACAATCATCTCTTCATAGTAATCTAAAACAATATACTTTTAACTTTCACTAAAAATGTTTATTATCTCATAAATTAAAAACTTGTAGAAAGGAACCACCCTTATTTATCAATTTTTTAGCATTTTATCCGTTATCCCATATTCTAAATAGGGAAATTATTTAGAATATGGGATAACGGATAAAATGCCATATGTTTGCCCTAACTTCACAAGAGTTTGGAAAAAGTAATCATTTTGCGGAGACTTGTAATCATACAAATTTTTCAATCAAAATCAAAAACTTAATCGAAATTCTTTATTGGGGTAGAAAATAACAATGATGAGTGTCTGCAAGAAGAAGAATTAAGATGTGCATTTAGATTCTTCCTTCACTACATCTACAGCTAATTCACACTTACTGAGAAAAGAGTACATGTAACATTAATAAAACCAAATTCAGGTTGTTTGTTTTGAATCTTGATCTTTGGTATATAGTCCTTAAGTTTTACTTTGAATTCATAATAGTAGACAATAACATACAGCCAAGCCCCCATTTGTTGATGAGATTAAATTGGTTTCCTTTAATATCGTATGAAATCGCGAACACAAGGGACGATCATGGTATCGTCATGACTGCAAAATGTACTCACAAGTGTTGCCGCAATCAGGAAAGTCGATCATCCGTCTACAGTCTAGACCACACTGTAGAGAAATACAATTTATTTAGTAGTATTTATTTAGCCTTTTGGTGGGCCAGGAAATATTCTGATGTTGTAGCTTAGAGACCCCTGACCCAAATGATTGTATGGAAATACGGAACATCAGGGTTGATGAGTCGGTGGCTAAGTTGGTAGCGCAACAGACTAGGAATGTATGGAAGCGATGTAACAGAATCCCCCCACTAAATTTTATCAGAACAGTTCACTCTTGTAGGCTACTGTACGCACCCCTTCGCCGGATACATTCCACGCACTGGTCCGAGGCGGGCTTTGTGTACAGGCAAATGCAATTGCAGGCCGCCAACCTAATTTTTACAAACAAAAAAAGAATCAAATACATAAGCTCACATGTAGAGGCAGCAGTGTTGCTGGACAGGTGGTACTCCTGGTCCTGGTGTTGCGTAGACAAACCAGGGGCAGTTTTGTGAGGCAGATGGCCGAGGTCACGAATGTGATTGTCGACAGACAGCTGGCCGAGCAGTCCCAGTGGCGAATGCATTGGCTCAACATGGCCCATCTCTGAGGTTAGTACTGCCTGGAAACATGATGAGTCAGATTTGGACCCTCACATCCCACACGTTCCTAACCCAAACGCCATTGAGATGAAATAAATTAACATTCTATTTTGCAAAAGTTTATACAGTGAATGGAAATGATCTTTGGTTGACCTCCCCACCAGGAATCAGATTTTATTTGTGTGTTGACTGTTCACTGTATACCATGTGACAAGACAACCTATTTTTCCACTCCTTGGCTTGCCTGTACATTCTCTTTGTTATCGCAAGCTACATAACCCAATAGATACAAAAAATAAAACATGTAGTCAGACGTAAGTGCACCACTCTTAGCTAGGGCGCATGATAACCCATGACTGAGTAAGCGTTTGCCACTTTAACTCATGTTTTACGATATCTGTGTTGGTGTTTTTATTTATTATAATTTTTCATCTTACCGTCATCGAAAGGTTTTTTTTATTGAAAATGGCTTATTTGTTTTAGCCAAATCTTTATGCGTGACCCTCTAAGGAAGAGTAATTATTTTCTCAACATTACACTAAAGCTCACCTTCAATCTCAATCTCCTTTTATTAAAAAAGTATAATTCTTAGAATATAAATTTTACCAGATCCATTCCTCTTACTATAACACCGAGTGGCATGTTTCCCAGCAGTATGTCACCGGTGCAGTAGATATCAGGCTCTTCAGCAGTGGCGGGGGCTAGACTTACTATACAGTGGTGGCCTCCGTTCACTGACAGCCCCACAGGGCCCCCAGCCTGCTTAGACAACTTCAGGTGCAACCAGGTTAGTGGAGCTACAGTCTCCGCTACCTCACACTCCCCCGCCTGTGCAGCTGCCCTGCAAAACACTTCAAACTTTGGTCCTCGCTTGCCTTTCATCAGATCTGACACAACGTATATTTAAATATAATATATTTAAATATAATATAAATCCTCCTTCTAAGAGAAATAAAAACTCTAATCAATCAGCAGATGGACTCGTTGCAGGAAAGGCCAGCTACAGAGATCAGCTTGTGGGTCACAAGTTGGCAGTAGCTCCAGCGGCCTATCCCGATGCGAGATTCTCTGTTGAGGAATGTGATTTGTTGCAGGACAAACTGATGGAGTTGGTGTTTGGTGATGACGGCGCCAACATTCCTCATCAGTTTGAAAAAATTTACCATGAGAAGGGTGCTCTTGTCGTAACTTGTGGTAATTCTGAAACAACTGACTGGCTAAAGAGGGTGGCACCGAAGCTGGCGCTGGGAAGTGAGGGGAGTATGGAGGTCATTGTAGCAGACTATAAGGATCTGTTGCGCACGACCAAAGTGCTCCTACGCACTGACAGGCGCTTGGCCAAGGTCGAAGCCTCTAAAGTGTTTGTTCAGATTGAGCGACAAAATCCTGGTGTCACGACAAAGGACTGGCGCGTCATTGGTGGGAAGAGGAAGGATGATCATCAGATTCTTGTTCTTGCTATTGATGAAATGAATGCGCAGGTTCTGAAAGATCGTGGCTGGATTATCTATCTGGGTCTGGGGAAAATACAGCTCAGAGTTATCTCTGGTGCTCCCTCTGATGACTCAGGTCCTTCAAGCGAACCTACAACACAGTAAGGCTGCCACGGCTGTGTTCTGTCTGAGCACGGTTAAGCAGTCCTTAGATTATGCCTTGATTCAAGAACCCTGGATCAATAATTTTAGAATTGCGGGGATGGGAACTATAAAGGGTAGCATCTTCTCTGCATCTGTACCACACCCTAGAACTTGCATTTGGGTTAAAGAGGGGCTAAAATGTAATCCAGTTCTAGAGCTTTGTTCGAGGGACGTAACAGTAATTAAGACTGTATGTACTAAATCCAACATAAATCTGCTGCTGGCCTCTGTTTACATGCCACAGGGCGACGATGGACTGCTCCCATCGGCCGAGGTCAGAAGATTGGTCGACCTCGCACACGAGTCTGGATCTGAACTCGTGATAGGCTGCGACTCCAATGCCCATAATACGGCCTGGGGATGCAGGGACACTAACAACCGAGGTAGGTCACTTCTAGAATACATAGCTTCTTGCGGCCTACTTGTTGCAAATGTAGGCTCAGAACCAACTTTTTTAAGCAGGATAGGCCAATCAGTAATTGATCTTACCCTGTGTTCGGCGGGTATGGCTGACAGGATTATTGACTGGTCAGTGTCCCTTGAGCCATCCCTGTCTGATCATAGGCACATTGTCTTCGGGTTGGGGAATTTCTGCGGCGAGGTTCGCTTATTCAGGAGCCCAGTTAAAACCGACTGGGCATCCTTCAGAGCTGATCTTCGGGGCAGAATTGCCTCGAACCTGAACACATCTCCTATTAACACAGTTGATGCGCTTGACGAGGCGGCAGATCGTCTAACTAGGTGCATAGTTACATCCTTTGAGGATAATTGTCCTTTGAGCAAGGGAAAGAGCAACAGGGCTAGTTGGTGGGGTCCTGAACTTGCCTCTCTTAGGAAGAGAGTAAGGGCCCAATTTAGGCGAGCAAAGATAACCAATAATTGGGATACATACCATACAACTCTCACAGAATATAACCATGCAGTACGTAAGGCCAAAAGGCTCTCATGGAAAAATTTTTGTGGAAATTTAGAGAGTATCAAGGATACTTCTAGAATACATAAGGTACTTGTTAGAGACAGGCATGTTACTTTGGGTGCCGTTGAGGGACCGGATGGTGTAATGGCTTTTGAACCTACCGAAATACTAAAGGTTATGGTAAAAACTCATTTCCCTGGTTGTATTGTTTCTGAAGTGCAGCAGGAGGAGGTGAGTCCAGAGCGGCCTAACCTGGGCCGTCGTGCCACTCATTCTATGTGGAGCACTGCTTGCCGCATAGTCACCTTCAGCAAGGTAAGATGGGCTGTTGGCTTATTACGACCCTTCAAATCGCCGGGTCCTGATGAGGTAAGACCTGTTTGTTTGCAGGAGGGTCTTGATACAATTATACACCCACTCTGTAAACTTTTCAGAGCCAGCTTAGCGTTAGGACACATTCCCTTAGGGTGGTGTAATTCGCGTATCGCATTTATTCCTAAACCAGGAAGGGATAGTTACACTGACCCTAAGTCATTCAGACCCATTTCTCTATCTTCTTTCTTTCTTAAGATCCTAGAGAAGTTGGTCTCAAGATATATGATGGATACAGCTCTTAGGACACATCCTTTACATATTAATCAGCATGCGTATGTCTCAGGAAGATCATGCGAGACTGCGTTGCACCATCTTGTAAGCAAGATTGAGAAAGCTCTAGAGAGCAGTGAAGTGGCCCTGGGTGCCTTTCTCGATATTCAAGGTGCTTTTGACAATACTGGTACTCCAGCGATTCTTAATGCGGTGAGAGCAAGAGGTTTTCACGGTATAATATGTAGATGGATTGAATCCTTGCTTCTCAGTAGGAAGGTTAGGCTCTCACTCCACAATGATACGATCGAGGCAAGAACTACTCGAGGATGTCCTCAGGGGGGGGTTCTTTCTCCTCTACTTTGGAATTTGGTAGCAGACGACCTTATAAGGACCCTCAACGAAAGTGGGGTTTTCGCCTTAGGTTATGCTGATGATGTTGCAATCCTTGTGGTTGGAAAGTTCCACGGAACCATAACTGACCTTATGAATAGAGCTTTAAGGGTAGTGGACCGTTGGTGCCAGGATGTTGGGCTCTCTATAAATCCCAGGAAAGTTGTAATGGTACCCTTCACAAGAAGGAGGAAACTGGACGGGATCGGCCCACTAAGACTGCAGGGTACTGTAATAGAGCTGCAGAATCAGGTGAAGTATCTTGGTGTAATTTTGGACAGATCACTTCACTGGGGACCACACCTTCAAAAAGTCATTGAGCGTGGCAAATGGTCCCTTATGGCATGCAGGCGGATGGTAAGTGGCACATGGGGGTTACAGCCTAAACTTATGCACTGGCTGTATGTATCTGTTGTTCGACCCGCCCTTACATATGGTTCGCTTGTGTGGTGGCCAAAGATGGAATCAACTATAGCTGTCAAAGCTTTAGCAGGAGTTCAGAGGCTTGCTCTTATTATGATAACTGGGGCAGTAAGTAGCTGTCCTGGAGCGGCACTTGACTGTCTGCTTGACATGCTACCTATTGACATTTATATTAAGGTGGTAGCAAGTAAAACAGCCCAACGCCTTAGATGCGAAAACTTATGGATAGCCTCAGGGAACAATAAAGGGCACTCTAAAATTGTTCAGGTGGTACATAATGATGAATTGGACTTACCTTCAGATCACATGTCCAAAAAATACTCCTTTGGAAAGCCTTTCAAAGTACTAATACCAGATAGGAAGGATTGGTCTGGCGGAAAAGGACCCATACCCACAGGTGACTTAGAATGCTATACTGATGGTTCTAAGATCAAAAATGGGGGCACTGGAGCAGGTGTGCATTGGATGAATGGAGGCACTGGTATTTGTCTTCCAATGGGGGTGTACCCAACTGTCTTTCAAGCGGAGGTCACTGCCATTCTAGTTTGTGCTCAAGAACATCTTAACAAAGATATCAGAGACAAAACAATCAATATCTTTACTGATAGTCAAGCGACCTTAAAAGCATTAAACTCTTACGAATTCAACTCCAGGCTCGTGTGGGATTGTCTTGCTTCTGTGTCTGAGTTGGGTAGGAGAAATGACCTTACGCTTTGCTGGGTACCAGGACACTCAGGCATTGAAGGAAATGAAGCTGCAGACAGATTGGCAAATACTGCCTCTGCGACATCATTGTTAGGCCCGCAACCCTTCTGTGGCATCTCACGAAACAGTGTATGTTCTGCGATTGCGTCATGGGCCAAGGAAAAGCATCGCAAACGCTGGGTCGATGTTCCCCTTCTTAGGGTCAGCAAGCTTACTCTGTTTAGGCCTTCCAAAAAGGTTGCCTGTGACCTCTTGAGACTAGACAGACGAAGAATTAAATTAATTGTTGAACTGATAACTGGTCATGGAAGATTCAGGAAACATCTACAACGGATGGGCTTATATGATGGTGAACCGATCTGTAGGTACTGTGATAGGTCAGAAGAGACAGCTGATCACTTACTCTTTGATTGTATTGAGCTCTCTGACGCTAGATTGATAACTCTTGGAAATATGGCTAGAGGAAGATTTCTTCCTGAGGATGAACTAATTGGGAAGCTACAGGCATTCATTGGGCGCCTCAACTTGTAGGTCAACAAGAAAGCAATTAAGTATCTGGGCTGCGCAATAATTCGATTTCGGATGAAGTGCTTTAAGGTCTCGACCTGCCCCTGTCAGATAAGATAAGATAAGATAAATATAATAGCCTATATATATATATATATATTATCTGCCATAAATAATAAATATCTATACTATTGATTTGTGTTATTTTTTTAATACATCTCCATTCTACTGCACACCAAAGTGTATAATCTAACACAAAGATGAACGTAATACGAGTGAGAATACATTATTGGTACAAAGAGATATCCCCGAGTCAGGCCCAATTATTGAAAGCTCAATCAAGAACAGCTGGATCCAGTTCGGTACCATTAAAAAGCTTCAAGTTGCTTTGAGTGTTTTCAAGTATGAACCGTCAAGCTTCTGTTACTAAGCAAGCTCACGCCATATTAATTTTGCTACCCAGCTATATGAGCTGATAACATTAAAAAGTTAAATATATTTTTATTCTTCAACAGCATATTTGAGATCAGTAGGTAATTTGGGTATTTCATTAAAGCAAAGGATGTTGTTTGCACACTTAAATCTGATGAAGCATATGTGGAAAATCTTAAGGAACTTAAAATATAAGATATATTTAAGAATTCAGCTGTTGAATTACGATAGCTCTCAGTGTTTAACACTACTTACCTAACCCTCAACCTTATTCTGGTGTGTTCCAGAGAGACAAACAAAAAGTCGCGGCTGTCGTAGCCTTTGATGAACAAAACCAAACCATCAGGCAAGTTTGGTTTGATTGCCAAATCTACCTGGAATCAACGATATTATTGTAAAATGCTATAAGGAATTAAGAAGGTTAAATATTTCAGTTATGTTTGAATTTAAGATTATATCAACCTGACTTAAACATTTTGGCTCTTTATTTTCTAGTGCTTTTTTTTCTTCATGACTGGGCTTTCTTACTTAGTGTGCTGAATTAGACACAATCACATCTATATGTTAGTGTTTCTGTCATAAAAAGAATATAGTAGTTTTCCTACATAAAACTTTATTCTGAAGAATGTACTGTTCTCAACGAACATGTCAATAAAGATTATTGTCTATTTCTCTCAAAGAGGATTTAGTTAAAATACAGTGTGGTATAACTGATATCCTACTTTCTCTGTAATTTTCATTCTATGAATTTAATGGCGGCATAAATAGCAGTTTACAAGTGGCCCTTTGAGTTTGTCACAATTCAAAGGCAGTGTAATAAACTGCATTTTGCAGCAGCGCATTACCAATGACTGATGATTGTACTGAGCTTCTTCTAAAACTGGCCACAGTTTGTTTCAGATTTTATATTTTTGAGGTTTTTGCCAAAGCAGTCTTGACACCAAGCCAGTTTCTGCTCACTATCAGTCCACCCAAACAATGTTAATTTTAATTTTCATCAGTGTCCTGTAGTCAACGAAACGATAGCAACTAGAACACTAAGACAAAAAAATACATGTTTTTCTCTCCAGATGGCACTCACATTCCAGGAGGAAGCGTTGAGGAAGCATGGAACTTGCAGGAGATGGGCCAAATCAAAGGAGGGACCCTGGCTACCCTTACTCTTCACTTCGTTCTGTACTTGCGAGCTCTCGGAGGGCGAGATCCCACCGTCATTCTGAGCCTGCGGGAAACAACATAAACTGATTTGTAGTTGAAGAACAAGAAAACACAAGCTTGTGCTAATAGTAGGCTTAAATAAAATGTTGGTCACAATAAGTCAGCAGTGTATAAAAGATTCAATTCTAGATTTTTAAGGTTTTAAAATTATTTTTATAATAAAAAAGTGTAGCCTACATAAAAAAAAATGTATCTCAGTGATAGGCTATATAGTTGGAATTTCACCTATAAAAAAACTATTACTACCCCGAATTTAAGGAGAATTTGTTAAAATTCGGCAAATTCGCTAAGGTTGAACGAAAACCAAAATAAATTTTGCCAGAGCAAAAATCCAAATAATATACTCCTTAAGATCATCCATCTCACCCGCAAATCCCTCTTGTTGCGCCTCTTCTGGAAGTTATAGTTTTTGAAGTTGACAATGAGTTGGTTGACTTCTCCTACAAAGCCAGCTCCGCCAAGTGTCATGTCTGCGTCGTAGTTGGGCGAAGACGGACGACAAGACAGGTTGAATGTTGGGGTGAGAACACTGTTATCCAAGCGGAGTGTAACAACATCTCCAACGACAGTCAACAACACCTCATGCCAGTCTCCAACCTGTAGTAGAAAATCTTCACAATTCAGTTATCAAAAGAGTAGAATGCTGCATTCCTAAAAAAACCTTGGTACACGGTTTGAAAGAATAGTCAATTTTCAAAACTTTGGAATTTTTATTCAATAATTCCAAAATATCCTGCGAGTGCAGCTGAATTGTTATTATCTACCTCAATCTAACATCATGATGATCTCTCCCTCGATCGCAAAAATATCATGAGAATCCTGTTGAATCTTGCTGAAAAGTCAATGAAAAACAATTCCTGTATCCCGGACAGAAGGATATGTGTGTGTAAAGCAGCTTAATAGTCAATCTGAAGGTATACTACATTTTTTTAAGACAGCTGCAGTAAACATAGTTTGATTTTCAGGAGAACACGGTGAAACAGCATTCCAGGACCTCAAGAATTATATTGTCGTTCATCTCCAGCTAAATTTTCTAAAAAAGTACTTATGCTCCATATGTTTTTGTTTTTACCGTTTTTCGTTGTACCTAGTCACACTATACCAAAGTTGTCTTTGGAAAGGATAGAATGACAGTAATGGTGAGGATGGAGAAGAGAAACCATAGTTCCCAAAAGATTTCAATTCTGGCAAAATTGATTCTAGAAACAGTAGAAACCAAGCATTGGCTAGCAACTTAAACCATTGACTTTATATCTACACGTGTAGATATAAAGTCAATGCTTAAACACCATACTAGCAACACACCTTACATACATTATCTATTTAAAATATACTCACAGACAGTCGCTGACTAGTTAGAAAGTCAGCGTGACAATTCCGTTGCCGTACGGTGACAAGAACATGACTCTGGTAGAGTGAGAGTGTCACATAGTCACAGTTCTTGTCAACACAGTCATGTGGTTGCCGAGATACGATGTTGCCTGTCGGGGAGAAATGACGCAATCGTACATACAGCAGCAGCACGCTGGTGAGTTGCTGTGTGGCTTCGTACTTCACAACACTTTCGCCTGTCATGAACACAGCCTCGGATGTCCTCAAAGGGACTGAAACGTTATATATTTGATTTGAATTAAATTGTGTAGATATTGTAATACAGGAACCAGATGGGTATCATCTTTGAAATTATCAATTTATTAATTCAGTTTAATTCAATTTATTTTTTGATGAACAGCAGAAGTATTTTGTTACATGTTTTACTTAAAAGAAGTCTAAGTCGGACTTCCGCCAAATGTCGGATAATTAAAGAGTGTTTATGCGTACTTGCCTGGGCATGGTTGTACATAGCAAGACTGTCGTCTTCTTGTCTCTCCTTCACATCGTGAGCCATTGCTCTGAGGCTCTGGATTGGTGCAAGATCTCACCGAGATCTGCCAGCCAATACCACAGTTCGGCACACAGGCCGACCACGACGACCACTCCGACCAACCCCCGTCCTCTGTAAACCACTGTAGACTTCAATAAAATAATTCTCAACATAATAAATTATCTAAAAGTACTGTTTCATTACCTATACTTGATATACACCCAATATCAGGGAAAATCTGTAAAATGTATACCTAATTTATATTTATTTATATCTGTAGCTTCGATGGAACATGTACACGTAAGCTGGAAGAAAACAACTTTTAATTGGATTTTTTTAATAATTCGTTAAGTACAGTACAACTTTGGTAATCCGTCCTAAGCTCGTGTCATCACTTATCAGTAACAATGTTATCAAAGTAATATTGTGACTATTTGCCATTATCCCAAAATTGCGGCAAAAATATTGTTTATCCCCCATAATCAAGGAAACAGCATCTTCGTTTTTCACGGTCACGGAAACGTTTATCGTCATCCTTCGCAGTGGTGGCAAAATATTGAACGTCTCCATCGGTCATAGAAAAAAAATCATCACTGTCTTCGGCAATTGCGGAAGCTGTATCCTTGTGAGGAGACTAATATCTGAGATATTGGCAAACTCAAAAATATCTCATGCGGTAAAGGAAACATCATCGTCTTCTGCGATCACGGAAACTATCGTTGTTATCTGTGATTGTGGCAAACTCCTGAGTATCTCCTGCAGTAAATGAAAAAACATTGTCGTTGCCTGCGATAACAGAAAAATATTGAACGTCTCCCACTGTCACAGAAACATCATCATCTCCCGTGGTCGTGGCTTAATATTACGCCTGCCACGGTAACAGACACTATATCATCGTCTTCCACGATCAATAAATGTCAGTTAAGCAATGAACTTGGTAATTTTAAATGCTCCTCGGATCCCCGGCCTTTTCACTCTTCCAAACATGGTCCCGATCCCGTGGGTGACAGTCTAGCGATGTTGTACTGTAAATAATTTATTATGCTTCTTATGTTTTTCAGATATTGAGTAAATTAGGGTGCGACTGGCTGGCTTAAGTTAGAATCCTGCCAGTGACCAGTGGAAATTAGCCATGTGTTGATGCTAAACACACTTACCCGTGATTTGAAGCTAATGTAGGTTACCTTTATGCCACAGAAAAGAAAAGAACATAGGAAATAAAACAACTTTCTCTGTATAGAAAAGCGTTCTACACTAAGGGTAATGTTGCAATTCAGTATTACTGATTAAATTAAAGAGTAATTATTTAAAATAATTTCTTACCGTTGCATAACTGAGTGTTGCATGGTTTAATTTCTTCAAACGGACCACTGCATCCTTCTGCTATAAATAAATCAATAAAGTTCGGAAGTTGGAGTTTCTTTGACAAGTCACAGCTGAGCGGACTGAATTCTGATATGTTAAGCTCAACCTCTGATGAAGCTTCGGAAACTTCTTCACTTTCTGGGTATTGCGAAGTTGTCTGGGTGTATTTTGTACTAGCTTGAGTTACAGTCAGCGTTGAAACCTTTTTTGGAAATATTCCAAATAGCTTTTTTACTGGCTCTGTGTTTCCAGTTGTATTTAAGTTTCCGGTATTTTTTGAAACAGTGCCATCTTTAGATGACACATCTTGTTTTTTACTACTCTCTGAAAATGAGGTTGTTGTTTGTATTGAGCCAGTTGTATATTCAAAACCAACGGTGGAATTAAGCTCTAAATCAACTACAGTTACTTCAGAGGTTTTTAATTTATTTGTGTCTTTGTCTGATTTTGAGGTTATCTTAAAGCTATTTAAATGCATCATAGTAGATGTAGAAAAAGGGGGAATAACTGTACTATTCACGTCAGAAGAAGTTTTACTGTATATAACATTCGACTTTGTCTTTGTTTGGGGAATATATGGAACTGTTAACGTATTAGTATATTCTTTGTCATCTACGGTGTAAGTTTTCTCTTTCTTTTCACAAGTGGAAACAGTTATTGAGTTTTTGTAAAGTTCTCCACACTGACTTTCTTCACTATCCAAAAGAATTGGATCAGTTCTTTTGCTCTCTTTCTTTTTGATACCTAATATTCCGGTGCATTTAGTTGTCAACTTAGACATTTTTGAAGGTAGATTTTTACTTTCGTTTGAACCAAAAGAATCTACATTTTCAGCAGATGTAGATTCAGTAGTTATGGGTGATTTAAGTTGTGTCATTACGTTCACTCTAATGTCGTTTAACAGTTCTTTACTTCTAAAACTATGAGTTAAAGTTTTTGGATGATTTCTAGATGTTGACCTACTTTGCGTTTGTGTTTCAAATGTTTCTGAACTAAAAGTTGATAAAGGAATTGAATGAAGTTTTGACGACTCAGTTTTCAATTTAGTAACCAGTCTTTGATCTTCAGTCTGTTTAAAAATCCACGAATCCTGCTCTAGTGCTGACACAGTGGTGGGGTTTTCAACACTTTTCAACTTACCACCCCTGTTTTTATACTCTTCTCCAGTCGTTCTCTTATCTTTTGAAGTCGTTTCTGTCAAATCATCTTCATTGTTGTCATTATTGTAGTATTCAACTTTGTCACAACTTTTGCTCCTCTTGACTCTTAAATGGATGTTGTTCGGGTTGTTATTGTTATCTTCGTAGGCATCTTCAGATTCTTCCCTGTCATTGTTGTTGTAATAGTTGTAGTAATCGTCAGCGTTTGCATACTCCCCACTATTGTCATAATCATACATTTCATTGAATGCCGTCTCTTTTTCATTTGATAAAATCTTTTGTTCTTTGAGACATTCTCTGGTTCGCCTTTTATATCCAAAATTACATTGAGCTGAGCATTCGGACCACGACGACCACTCACTCCATTCTGAAGCTGAAAAAATGTTGTGTATAAAACTGCTTAATTTACAAATGAATACTGAATTTTACAAAGTAAAATTAAATTAAATAAAAAAAAAATAATCTGGTGTGTTTTTACTACACAGAAAATAAATTATTCACTAAACTAGACGAATAGCCTAAGAACAAAGTTTGAAGAAAACAATGTTATTAGTTGAACAAATAACGTTTTTTTTTATTTGTTGGATATGATGAAAATAATGACATCAATACATCTTAGAATGAATGGATGTATTTTTTTTTTTTTTTGTCAAACACAATTATTCCAAAATTGGTTTTAGAATAATGTATTTTTTTCTGAGACCTAAGGTGTGGAAGTTCAACTATTTCTTCAGAACAACAATGCCATCTCATGATGTTTGGATATAGATATATTATGCTCTCGTTGTTATTCAGCTCATCTTAATAGAGACTTAAAAATAATAAAAATATAAAAAAAACACTACAGAATCCAAACTTAGATTTGGGGCTTTCCTATGTAGTGTGAAAAAACCTGTTCAATCCCCGAGGTATGAAAAAATGTTGAGGCTTGTACTGTTTTACCCAACAGAATTTTATGTTAACTTGTAAAATGCAACTGGTATGCAACAAAAAAACACAAAGGGCCTAAATATCTTACCTTTGGACAGTCGTGTGCCGCATTGTACACCTGTACAGGACTGGTATTCACAGCTGTCCCCTTGACATGTCACATCATGCGTGGAGGGCGGCGGGTCACAGCATGCTCGACACCTCATATGTTGTCCCGGGCCGCAACGTGCGTTGCAACGTGTCCAGGGAGACCAGTCCCCCCAACCTCCTGCAACTGTAGTAGGATAGAAAAAATTTACCTTTTAGCGAATTTCCCTATAGGGAATAAGCTATTACCGTAGGTCTCATGTTAAGACCTAGACCCGGGACCGATTTACTTTTTCGTTTTGAGGTTCCCAGAGGCTAAAAACACCATCCGTTCAAATTCATATATATATTTCCGTTAGCGCGATAACTTGAGCAAAAATGATCCGATTTTTATTAAATTTGGTACAAACGTGTAAGCCTACGTTTATTCGAACGAGTTCGCGAACCAGAATAATCGGACCGTGAGAACAGGGGTTTATGGGGGGGTTATATGGGGTAAAAATGGGTTTTTCTCATTTTTTACTCTAAAAACAAAACATTTGGCAATTTCTTTCTTAACCATTTTGTAGAGCTTACAAAAAGAAATAATTTAGTATATTGAAGCGCTGTTGTATGCCTAACGGTCACGTAGAAAATTTTAAAAAAGTGTAATATAAAGCTCCTATGTTATTCTTAGGGGGAAAATGAAAACTGTTGAAGTTTACTTGTTTATGGATATATGTTGATAAAATTTGGCAAATTTATTTATTTCATCCTATTGAGGTATGGTCAAAAACCACTTTTTACCTTCCCCGTAGCAGCAAACCTAAGCACTCGTTAAATCTAATGTTATTAAAATTGCGAATAAATATGTCTTAAGGAAATATTTTAGTAGAAATGTTATTAGACAAGTTGAAATTCGCTTTGAGTCTGCGAGTTTGCTGCGGCGGGGGTATTTTTGTTTTAGGATAGAAAACCACGTTTTTTGGGTTCAGGGGGACCCAAACGGATATTTCAATCTGAAACTGAGCCTCGAAAATTTTGACAAAAGCAATAGTATCCCTCATGTGGGAGAAAGTTAAAAAGTAGGTATTTCAGGTACCTAAGGAACACTGTCCTTTAGTAAATGCTATGCAATAAAATAGGATTTTTTAAATAGTCGCATGTAATGAAAAGCATTTTCTTAAGCATAAAAAAATTGTACATAGCTGTAGGATGTTAAATAAAGTAAAATTCAAGGTAAACAACAACTCAAAACATCATTTTTAAAGGTCATAAAGAATGGTTTAAATACCTTATACGGTCAAAAAAGATCCTTCGTAGTCTACGTGCAAGCTACTGCAGTTTCATTCCCAAAGGGAACTTCATCAGCACAGTGTGCATTGCATGCTGTCACACACTGGCAGCTCAATGCACACTGGGATGAAGATTAATGCACAATTGCCTACTGTATTTTTTGACCAAAAAACATAATTTGATTCATTTTCGGATTTTTTCTTCAATTTAAGATGTATTTCACCAGTTATATAATTGTATAATCATATATATTTTGGTCTAACAACCTCCAGAGAAATACCGGCTTTCATTTAAGCTATTAGTTTTTTAAATTGGGCGAGTTTCAAGCAAACGCAAGGTGAACAACATTTTTTTTTCTAAGGTATTTCTACATATGATTAACAATCAATAGCTCCAGTATTGTTTAGGTTTTTTATTTGTTTTAGACTCAAAATAATCAGTAAATTATAGGCTTTAATATGAGCTATTGATCGTTTGAATCGGTTAAGCTCAAGATACTGTTTTACTCAATCAAAAATCATGAACTTGGTTATATCTCGGATATTATATTCATTTTATCCCTGCGGAGCAGCATGGGTCCTCTAGTTACTGTAAAGATTTTTAAGAATAAAGACAACATAGTTGAACAATAACAATATACAGTATAACAAACGTTTCTACCGGATCTGACATTTTATAAAATATGAGGAAACAACTTAATACTGGACCAAATTCAATTATTAAGTATATACAATTTTTCAGACTGGTTGGTAAATGGTAAATATGTACTTCATTAATGAAACAATTATTTATGTATTATTTAAAAATGTATTTACTTACCTGGACATCCTGTATTTGTCTTGACACAAACCAAAGAGTTCCAAAATTTAATCTAAAAACATTTAAAACTTTTACTATTCTGCAAAAAATGTTTCAGATTTACTATATTGTATTTTTTACAGATTTGATTAGCTTATTAGGGAGTAAAAAGCATTTTTAGTCTCTAGGGAGTAAAAATAAGCTGTTGTAAACAGTTGTAAATTTCGATTATAGCATTCCTATCGATCAAAATTATTTATCGATTGATTTAATAGGTCAGGTTTTAGCCTATTGTTGTAGATTGATCGAAATATCGAGGGTAAATGTACTGTAACACAAAAACTCTTATTTCTTTTCAAAACCATTCCTAATAGCTTGGTTTTTCCTTTAAAAACAAATAAATAATACAAAACACTAACCGACTCTGATGCCAAAGTTTTCTCAACGTCTGACATTTCACAACTGCTTGAGAGACACTTAGTCAATAGTGCAGACTGTGAACCGCTGTACTTGCGTAAGTTTGCCAACTGTTCCAGCCGAACATCGTCCTGCGCAAGGAGTTTCTCATACTGTTCATACGAGCAGCCTGGAAAAATATTGATATAGTGTTTCAATAGTTTTGGGATGTCAACATGTATTTGTTGGGTAAAATCTCAGTTCATACCACAAATGGTAAAATAACTGTCCAAAGACGCAATTCTAAATCTTCTGTTGCAATTGTAGCCACAATACTTTGAAAACAGCTGGTGTAGAGTTTGTTTAGCCAAAGCTTAACAATCCCACTTCTCCAACAGCGTCTTGAGCTATGTACCTTGACGCTAGTCACAAATGAAGGAAAATTGACGCCAGCTGATTTTAAAGCATCTAGGCTAGGTTGTGCAGCTACAATTGGAACAGTTTTTTGTTCGATTCTTTGCAATAACTGTTGAATACCGAAGTTTCTTTGTGAAAGTATTGGACTTAATGGTACTTACTTAGTTCATTGTCAGGTCTATATCTGAATAAAGGTTAAGAGCGATAGTAAGATTGAAATCTTGATCATAAGCTTCCACGGTCAAAGTAGACTATTGCATCTTGGTCTTCGGTACATAAAAACGTAAAAAGGGACTGAAATTCAGGTATATTACAGCATTCCATTTTCAAGGACTGCAATTCAACTGAAACGTCAACCACTATTCACCCACTCACCATCACCGTCATCTCCCAAAGAGTAAGATTTGTCAAAGTTAAAGCATTCACAAGCAATGTCCAACAGCGACACATAAGCACAATAATTTATGTTACATTATATCCTGACTCTCCAATCACCTGGGACGCTACAAGGTTTTATCTGCAGCCATTCACCATCACAGTCAGCTCCGTTGCGCTTTGGAACAGGGTTGGAACAGTTGCGGATCCGTGTATGTCGTCCCAGCGCACCACATTCACCTTCACACTCGCCCCAGGTCGACCAGTGGCTCCAACCTCCGTCTTGGGGACAGAACTTCTCATCCACACGGCCCAGGGCGCAATCTAACCTACAATTGCTGTACCAAAGACTATAGTAGTTAACATAGCAGCAAATGATTATGTTGCAATAAAGTTTTTTTATTAGGTACTGTAAACCACAATTAATTCTAAGGCTACGATCACATTGCTTGCACGTGGATTAGGTGACGCAAGCAAGCACGAGTTGGGGTGCTCACATTACTTGCACGTACATGTATATTGCTGGCTAGTCAGTGGCTGAAGCTAAAGATGGAGTCATCTTTTGTGATGGAGAGTAGTGTTTTGAAGTTCTTAGTGGTGGATAGCACAAATATACATCATATGGAATTGATACATTATTTTGTATTGTACTGTTGTAGTTAAGTTTACTATTGTGTTGTTTTTATTAATTTTAAAACATTTGAAAAGTTTAAACTGGAGAGGGCAATTCATCCTTGGGAAAACCCTGAATACCTATATTTGTCCCCCCTAACCTCAAAAAATGTGTCCAGGTAGTTATTAAAATTGGCATACACAAGCAAGTGTATTGATAATAAACTTCTAGAACTTTTTTGGGATCCCAACAAATTTTTCAGCTCACCGTGCCTAATGACAGAACAGAGGTCCTGGTTTTCTGGGACGTTTGGTACCCTGGGGCATTTTACGTTCAAATATGGATTAAAATACAACAAGTCCTCATGTTCAATGGATGATGATGATGATGGTTACTAAAAATAAATCACAATTCCAGAATGAGTGTTTATCAGCCAGCAAGTAGTAACAACATTAACTTTCTGTTACATTATACAATCACTGAAAGAGTGTGATTTTATCAGCCAGCAAGTAGTAACAGCATTAACTTTCTGTTACATTATACAATCACTGAAAGAGTGTGATTTTATCAGCCAGCAAGTATAACAGCACCAAAAAGGCTGAAGACTGCCCATGAAGAATATGACTTTGAATTGATTTTGACAGGTAGAGTCTACCTGTAGGCCAAGACAATCAAAATCAATTCAAAGTCACACGCATGTAAAATATATAATTGAGGCAGATGCTCATTGTTCGTTCTAAGAAGTTTATTCAACATAGTTTTACTTTGGCTGTTGATGTCTGATTTTGTGAATTTAAGGCCATGGAGAACTTTAGCTCTTAAAATATTGACTATTCACTTATCTGAAGAACTTAACTAGTTAAATGTAAATTAATGAATAAATTAAATTATAAAAAAGGAAATATACGCTTACTTGTCGATAGAAAACAAACGAGGAAACCTCAGAAGATAAAGTAGAGTAAGAAGGACTTGCATGTATGAACCAGTTTTCAACAAGGATTAAAAATTTTCACAAGGTTTTGAACACTTATAATCCCTCTTCATGGAACTATTTACAATTACAGCACAAATTTTAAAATTATTACACTTATTTCAGAGTCTTGATACACAATCTCAGTCAGGAGCTCACAATTCACAATTAAACAGTATTTGTTTTGCTAACATGTTTTGAAATTTAGCTTATTTACAAATAAATATCATATGACACCACAGGTAAATTTGACCAACAAAACTCATTCACAATGTTAACATAAAGTAAAGTAGACTATGGAAAATGCTTGACTTTTCTTGCAAGCATTGAATTTCGTACTCAAGTGTAAAATAGTTAATTTAATCATTGACTTTGGATACTACAAGGAAGTCAAGTCAAGTCAAGTCAATCATTTATTTTCACATAACGTTTTACAGATCCAGCATAGCTGGGAAACAGGTGAAATGGTCATGGACAATTAAAATACATAAAACTATAATAACTATACAATATGCTAAGAAATCAAATATATACATCATTTAAAAAATCATCAACTTTGTAATACCCTTTATTAAGCAGCAATTTGGTAACTTCTTTTTTGTATTTTTCAAAAGATTCTAATGATTTAATATTATCAGGCAGTTTATTATACAGTTTTTTTCCCTAGGTATTGTGGAAGGGTTTCTAGTGAGGTAAGTCTATGAATGGGCAGTTGTAAATCATTTCGATGTCGTGTTAAATAATTATGGTTATGGTTTTCATTCATAAAATATTCAAGATTTTTTTTAATAAATATTAATGTTTGCAGGATATAAACAGACGGAAGTGTTAATATTTTCAATTCTCTAAATAATAATTTACAGGATTGCCTAGGCTTTGAAAATGTCATAATTCTAAGGATCTTTTTTTGAATTTTGAAAATGGTTTCGGCATTTGAGCAGCTGCCCCAGAAACTTCTCATTCTACCGCATTTTAAATTGTAAAGCATGTTTTAATGCGAGTAATATGTAATATAAAGGTTTTTTATGTCCAATCACATATATTGATACGTATAGGGAGAGAGGCAAATGGATGGAACTATAATCACTTCCATAGACTAACCAACACAAGTAGACTTCTGATCCCATCGTCAAATCTGAAGCTTTTTTTCATGTAGCTTATGTTGGTGACTCTTGAGCTCTAGTGGCACCAAAAGTTTGTTTGTATTATTCTAGAGTTAATTTTATGATTTGTGCTTTACAGTTTAGTTCTATAAAATTGCTTCGGTATTGTTTTATCTATAATTTTGTAAAACATTCACTGCTTCCCTTCTATAGTTTTGAATGTGAACATAATTGTTCTATATTGAAAAATAGCTGACTGGTTAGTATGCTCCCCTGGTAATTACATTCTGAGGAAGTCAGTAGCTTTTTGATGATTTTAAACGTCCCATCTATGTGGACTAGCTGTCACAAATTTTATGAAAAAAGAACACAGTTGTGGGCCAGTCACAGAATGCGCTAGTGTCTAAAATTCAATTTCCTACCTTATTTTTTGTTCACCAAGTCATTCCATATGTTTGACTAATAAATCAATTAGTTTTGTGTATTCTACAGAAATAAGTATTTTAGATCAGCAAAATCTGTTGGTGGATCACATCGACGATTTTGTCGATTATTCTTCGATAATTATAATTATTCAATTAATTATTGATTTATTGTACAATAAGAGTAATTAAATGTTTGAAATTTAGACAATAAACCCACGTAAAACCCAAATTAAATCTAGAATGTTACAGAAATATTTGCGTTTAACCGTTTAGTGCACAAACCTATTGACAGTTCTCCAATTTACACAATACAAAACAGTTTAAGATCAACTGAAAAGAAACATCATAATAAACAATTTGACTATTAAAGTTAATTAGTAGAAGTGGGAAAATTAGAAACCACCACAGTATAAACAAAAAATTTATTCTAGATGCATGGCAGTCTATACATTTTTATACTTTAAATATAAATTTAACAAAATGTAAATGATCAGAGTTAAGTTGATACAGATTCAACAGTAAACAACATCTGTACACAAACAAACTCAACATTGCCGAACATCCAACATTGTAACCACGTGGTAACTAGAGTTAGCTCTGTTGAACAAGTCCAGCGGAAATAAATCAGTCTTCAACTAAATGTCGTGATTTAAAAAATTGCTGCGATGCCTTCTTTTAACATGGAATCTTCACTATCCTTGACTGACTATTTCAGTTGACCCTGAAAAAATTCCAATTCTTAGTACTTTATTGATTGGGTGCAGGAAGGCCTAATTTTTTACCATCTTAGTTATTTGGTCAAACTATAACAAAAGTTTTTTAATTATATTACAATTCACTTTCTTGAGCAATGAAATTCATTACTGAATGTTTTTATCCAATAATTTAAACTTTAACAATTCAATTACGTATTGAAGTAATTGTCCAATCTATATAGACCAGCTGTAAGCAGTTTCCAAACAAAAGACCAAGTTTAATGAGCTACTTACAGAGTGTGAAGAGACTAAAACTTTATTTTCTCCCTTTGTTCTTGTTACTGTGATGTTGAAAGATGCTATTGTTACAATAAGTTGTCCTTTCAGTTTGGTTTAGTTGAAAAGTAATCTTACTAATATTATAAATGTGAAAGTTTGTGTGTTTGTTTGTTTGAAGTTCAATCACGCATTAACTACTGGACTACCTAAACCCTTTCGGGCTCCGCCCCAGTGGCTCTGTAGTTCCCCATGTTTTTCATATTTAAAGGGAATTAAAGAATTTAGTCAGCTGTCTCAATTTAAAAAGTTGGTTCTATGATATGCAAAAGCATTAAAAAGTTACAAGATTCACCAACAGGGTGCAAAACTATTATTTTTTTGCATTTATGAAAACAGGTAATTTGAACTAAGCAGCAACAAAAAACTGTGATACGCAATGAGAAATGTCAAAGTATGATTGTTTACAGTTTTGTTTGTTTTTAATGTCATGAACAATTTGTGGTATTTTGCGTTCTTTTAACATTTATTTTTCTCTATTGTTTAGGTGAAGTGGTAGAACATTATGGCTATGGTAGATGTGAAACTGTAAATTTAAAGAAGAAAATCTTATCAAACTGTGTTTGTTCAGTAAAAGGCCAGCTGACCATATGAGCATATTAAAATAATCCCCACGTCAACAACAATACAATAATAAAATTAACAAATATAAGATTATAGTAAATAAACAGACTAGGTGAGTAAATATGCTAAGTTCAGGAAAGACTGTTCTGCATGAATCATTTTCATTTAGGCCACAGATAACCCTAATTGCTTTTTTTGCCAAACAAACACTTTTTTTGCTGATGGTGAATTGCCCCATAGTCTTATACCATAAATAAGATGGGTATGAAACAAACCAAAATAAACCATAAAAAGAACATCAGAATTAACACAAGTTTTAAGTTTTCTTAAAAGACAGGTAACACGAGCAAGTTTTTTGCACAAGTTGTGTACATGTTCGTCCCAACAGAGTTTACTGTCCAGAGTAATACCCAGCAGTTTTACAGGCTTGAACAAGTCATTATCTAAATCTAAATCACAATGGTTCCTTAGTGTAAAAATTAAGCGCTCTGTTTTACCTTCGTTCACAGCTAACATATTTGCAGAGAACCATGATTTTGACTCCATCAAGGCTATGTCAAGTTTGTTCTGAACACCCACCAAATCTATATCAGATTGTACCAGGGTGGTGTCATCAGCGTACAACACAGAAAAAGTAGAGACATTAGAGCTAAAATCGTTAACAAAAACTAAAAACAAAAAAGGACCAAGGACAGAGCCTTGTGGTACCCCTACTGTAACATCTAGGTATTCGGAATTCATATTATTAAAGCTAACCATCTGTTTTCTGCTTTGGAGATATGTTTGAATTAACCTCAATTCCTTATCTGCTACTCCATAAGACTTTAGCTTGTCACATAAGATTTTGTGTGATACAGAGTCAAAAGCTTTACTTAAATCAATTAGCAATGACCCTACAGTGAGTTTTTGTTCAAAGCCATTTAAAACATATTCGACTACTTTTTCAACAGCATCTATTGTCGAGTGTTTAGGCCTAAAGCCAGACTGAAAAGGATAAAACAAACTATTACTTACAAAATAATCATTGAGCTGGTTTACAATACAGTGTTCTATAACCTTGCTTATAATAGGAACGATTGCAATTGGCCTGTAGTTTTCAGGTTTGTTTACATCACCTTTTTTGAAGATGGGTGTAACTTTTGTCACTTTTAAGCATTCAGGGAATATGCCTGTGCTAAGAACTAAGTTAACAATAAAAGTTAATGGTATTACAATTTCATGAATTATATTCTTAATTAAAAAGTTTGACATTCCGTAAACATCTTCAGATTTAGAGTTACTCATTTTATTTACAACACACATAACAGTATTTACCTCAACCAAATTGACCTTAAAGTTAATACTAGGCCTACTACAATCTAGATTTACAATCTAGCACAGCTATTGAACGTCTCTCGTCACCGCTACTTCGCTTTTGGCAACAACAAGGGGTACCGCAGTGCAATCTTATCTCTGAAGACGATCGCATCGCTGAAGATCACTTCAAATCAACTCACTCCCGCTCTCCAGATGGAACATATGTGGTTCGACTCCCTTTCAAGGACCAACATCAACCTCTGGGCACTTCAAAATCTGCTGCTGAACATAGACTTCACTCAATTGAACGAAAGTTTGAATCCAACTCTAATTTCAAGGAATTGTATACACAGTTTATGACTGAATATGAACATCTCGGACACATGGTCAAAGCATCCCCTTCCGATCTTTCGCAGCCACACTACTATCTGCCTCATCACGGTGTACTGAAGGAAACCAGTAGTACAACCAAACTTCCAATGGGATGACACTCTTCCAAATGAACTCGCCGAAAAATGGCACATTTTCGTTGATGAAACCTCTCTACTTTCAAGTATTAAGATCCCTCGCTCGTTCCATTTCACTACCACATGTTCCTTAGAACTCCATGGATTTTCAGATGCCTCCGAAGTAGGATACTCAGCAGTTTTATACTTCCGCTGTGAGTTTTCAACTGGAGAAATCATCACTCGTCAGATTCTCGCAAAAACACGTGTAGCTCCTTTAAAACGTGTTACTCTACCCCGCTTGGAACTATGTGGTGCATACTTACTTGCAAAACTCACAACCTACTGTTGTACAATTTTCAAAGAAAAGATTGACCTTTCTCAAACTACATTGTGGTGTGATTCATCAGTAACCCTCACATGGTTACACACCCCTTCATATCGACTAAAAACGTATGTTGCCAACAGAGTTGCTCAAGTCCAAGAATTGATCCCCTCTCACTCCTGGCGCTACGTTCCCTCAACGGACAATCCCGCTGATTGTGCGTCACGTGGTTTGCTTCCCGCTCAACTTATTGATCATCCTCTATGGTGGAATGGCCCTCCATGGTTAATTCTTTCAGATGATCATTGGCCATCTAATCGCTTCGTTCCAATCAACTTGCAAGACACTCAAGAATGTAAAACTACTCCTCTAAATGTCCTAGTTTCAACCCAACCTCCAGAATGGGATCTTCTCTCCAAGTACTCATCGTGGTCCAAACTACTTAGAGTAACAAGCTATGTCTTGCAGTTTATCCACAATGCACGTAGCTCTGACCGAAGCCATGGGCATCTCACCGTCTCTGAACTTAAGAACTCAGAGCGTACCATCATCAAGTGTGTACAAGCTACATGTTTTACGAATGAATTGACTCTACTTCTCAAAAACACACCCAGAACCTCTAATCTTCAACCCTTAGACCCTTTTCTGGATGCTTCCGGCATAATTCGTGTGGGAGGCCGGTTAAGAAGCTAACACGTAAATTCAAAGACAAACCTCCTGTAAATAGTTGTAAATAACATTCAGAATATTCTTCAGTGCTCCGTTTTTGTACAATTTTGTGTTCATTGTTATAAAACTATCGTTTTATGGAGGCCGGTATGTTCAGTAAAAGGCCAGCTGTCAACAACAATACAATAATAAAATTTTAAAAATGTAAACTTTCCAAGGTAAACATTCTGGTTCAAAAAGTGCAATTTTTCTCTCTTGTAATATCGTTTCTTTGTGTAACATAATTCATTTCTCTCTCCTTTTATTTTGACTTATTTCATTTACCTTTTCCTTTTGTGTTCATTAAATAAACCCTTTTTAATTTCACTCTAAATTCTGTGTACCTACTGTGAGAACATTTGGACATTAATGAAACATATTATCTTCTCGACTAGAGCCAACATTCGACCAGATCTTCTTTCAAGACCTTAATAACGTCAAAGTGGTAACATAACTATAGTTCAGTGTTAAAAATTTATACCAAAAGTCCATTATTTTCTGTTGTCAAAATTAAATTAATAACCCATATACAGTCCACTTTATTATTTCTACAATAACCTTTTGATTACCCTACAGTGTTCTCCCCCATTGCAAACACAAAGCTTGAGTATAACTACAATAAGCATTTTATACTTATATGCCAACCCCGTACAAAGGACGAGTACTCTGCTAGTTGGATATAAAACAGCTATTATCAGCTCATTCTGTCAGTGGCTCAATTATGTTCTTTTGGAATGAAAGATTTAATACAGCTGGTCCATATAGATCACTTCATCAAGTTCAGTGGCTACGTCAATTCTAACCCTTAAACTAACAATTTAAAAACATGAGAATGGAACGTTTCCTTCAATTCTTGGCCAAGATTCAACTCCTTGTTAGAAACAAATATTTAACAATTTACCTAAAACTTAACAATTACAATCGCCACCCACCTGAGCGTTACGAAGGTTTGACGCTTGGTTCCGCCTCGCTGGCAGGAGACGCAGATTTAGTGGTGGGGGAGGGGGGAGGGTGTAGTGTATATGGTAAACCCTCGACTCTACTGCTGATGCTTTTAGACTCCCTTCTTTCCTGCTCACTTTGCCATTCCACCTGAAAGTTATTTTGAAATAAATAAATTGTTTACTACTAAGTAAAATTGTCAAATTAAAAGGAAACATATAAAGGAAAATGATTAGGAGAGGCATACGAGTTTAAAAACAGGAAATAAGGAAAAAAAAAGTGAGAACACACAAATGTAGATAAATATTCCAAGCCAGTGTGGAGTTAACTGAGTCAACAGAAGACAGATAGCCAAGAAAAATAATTATGGAGAGTAAAAGAATGCATTCAGATTTATAATAGGAGGCTACAGCGGAAAAAATTAATTTATCTTCCAACTCCAACATTAAAGGAGTATGCCTAAAATCATAAAAAAGAATAAAAGTATATACATTTAAAACTAATAATGATTTAGAACCTGTACATTTTTTAATGGGATATTTTTAAGTGATAATACTCAATTAGATTTTTTACGTAATTTTATAATTTTTAGTAGGCCTACAGCATCAACGTAAGCAGTGAATTATGTTAAGTAATTTCTCGAGACTTTTGACTCGTGTTTAATTCCACAAATTTCACAGTCACACATGATCTCTAACTCCAGGTTACATGCATGCTGTGCTCTAAAAGAACCGTACATAAAATACACTGGCCATAAAACAAGCTACGAACACTTCTTGTACCTTCTGCTGATGCTGTTTGACGGAGTCGTAAGTTCTGTCACGAGCCATCTTCTCCGTAAGCACGCCGTCCTCCGATGCATAAGCGGCCGCCTGCCATGACACTCCAAGCTTGGCGATCTCTCGTCCGGACATTCCCTCCGTCAACTTGGCCATCTCTGAACAGAACGCTGAGTAGTCAAACTGCTCCACCTTGAGTCGGCTGCAAAATTGTGGAGAGGTAAGAATCTACCTTGATAATTATTGTGTTTAAAAACGATGGGATGTGTAGTAAGTAGGGATGGTCAAGTCTCAAAATTTCGGGAAATTTTCGGGAAATTTTAAATCTCGTTACACGAGACGAGATTTCTTTTTGGCCGAGATTTTTATCGAGACGAGAATAAAAAAAAAAAAAAAATTAAAAACGCCTGCAGAAAGTCAATGCAATACCCGCAATACAGGAGCGTGTTGTAGTTGCGTTTCCTTTGCGAAGGCGTTCTTATTTAATTAATTCTTTAAATGTAAATATTACTTTAATTATTTTAATAATATTACTTTAATAACATTTGAGAAGTTTTGTTAAGTGTAAGCAGTGTGAGGAATATTTTATTACTATAAAAAGTCAAAACAAGTAACTATTTTATAAAAATTAATATTGCTTTTATTTTATGATTTATTTTATTTTAGGATAAGTTGAACTCTATCCTAACTGATATCACTATGTTTCCTAATCGTAGGCATTTTTAATAAGTAAGGCGTTATTAATAAAAAAAATGTTATTCTAATGTTAACAGGCCCGTTTTTGACCCTGTCAGCGCCCTAGGCACAACTAATAGTAGCGCCCCTTTGCAATATATATATATTAGGGTGTCCACCGACCGGGAAATCCAGGAATCATGCGGGAATTTTATGAACCGGGAATTATGTGTGAATTTTGTATTTCTACCTGGAGTTTCAAATTACCGTGATCGCACATGACAACAGTTTCCGTGACCGCGGGAGACGATAATAATGTCTACACTCGGCCGCGAGATATTCAGAATATTGCCACGATCACGGAAGACGATGATAATGTCCACACGACCGCGCAAAACAGCAAGAATTTTACCGCGATCGCGGAAGACGATGATGATCTCCACACAACTACGGAACATGATTAACATTTTTCTGCAATCGCGGGAGACGATTGCCATGTATACACGACCGCGGGAGACGGCTACGATGTCTACAGGACCGCGGGAGATACAATAATGATTTACACGGCCGAGAGGGACGATCGGAATTATGCCACGATCGCGCAAGACAATGATAATGTCCACATGACCGCGGGAAAAAATCAGAATTTTGCCTCATTCACGGAAGACGATGATCTCCATATGTCCACAGGACCGCAGGAGATACAATAATGATTTCTACATGGCCGCGAGGGATGATCAGAAAATTGCCACGATCACGGAAGGCGATGATAATGGCCACACGATCTCGGGAAAAGCTCAGTACTTTGCCTAATTTGCGGAAGAGGATGATGATCTCCACGAGACCGAGGGAGATGATTACAATTTTTTTACAATCGTGGGAGGCGATTAATATGTTCAAACGACCGCGGGGGACGATATAATGATGTCTTCACGGCCGCGAGGGGTGGTCAGAATTTTACCGCGACTGGCAAGACGAAGATAATGTCCTTACGACCGCGGGAAAAGATCAGAATTTTGCCTCATTCGCGGTAGACGATGATAATCTCCTCACGACCGCGGGATATGCTCATATATTGCTTCGATCATGGAAGACGATAATTATGTCTAAACAACCTGACCGCTGAAAATAGTAAGAATCTCGCCGCAAACGCGGGAGACGATTACGATGTCTACACGGCGGCGAGGGATTATTAGAAAGTTTACCGCAATCGCTTACAAACAACCACAAATTTTTTTTTTTTTTCCAAATTTTTGGCGCCCCCCAAAAAAGCCAATTGCCTTGCGCCCTAGGCACGTGCCTACCGTGCCTATTCGGTAAATCGGCCCTGAATGTTAAAAGATTGTAAATATTCTTGCCTATTATAATTATTTTTGTATTTAAACAGTCATCTAACAATGTTACAAAATCAGGTAAAAATTTTGAACGTGCATTTCCCGTTGTGTATGAGAAGGGAAATCCCGTCTCGATCTCGTCTCGAAATTTTATGAGAAATAAAAAATCTCGTCTCGTCTCGTCTCGAACTAAAAATCCAATCTCGTCCATCCCTAGTAGTAAGGTGTGTTTCCTAGTGGTTTGGGTCTTGGTCTTGATACTTACTTACTTGGGTCTGTAGGAGGGGGAGGAGGACAGATTTAATACTCAGCATATCTAAAAAAATTTAAGAGAGGTTTGTATTACAAACTCTTCAAAGCATTTATAATTCTCTTAAACAAAACACTGCTGGTTTAAAAGATAATAAGAGTGAAATACTACAGCAATATGATAAAGGATAAAAACAAAATGCTATAAAATATGACATGCTGTTTTGTTGTGTGTTTGTTATGTAATAATACATCATTTAAAACTAAACAAAAACAAAATTGATTTTGATAGTTAATTATAACTTCTCTCGTGTAAGAAGAGACTACACTAAATCTATCTCAATCACAATTACTCAACAACTTATTTATTTAACCAAAGTGAGACATATTTACATGGATTGGTTGTGTCAAAATAACATGTCATTAATCTTACAATAGTAGGATTAGACTTTAACATCCTCAACGTTAAGCATTGCACGTGTTGGTACTACAGTAGAGTCCCGCAAACTCGGCGTAATGTGGACTGGAAGGGTGCCGAGTTTGTGAAATGCCGGGTTATCGGGAACTAGGGTTAAAAATGAGAACAATACAGTTTTTAAGCTTTTTAACTGCCTTTTTTATTTATATTTATATTACAAGTCAGTATTAAGTCATCAGATATAGTACAACAAATCCTTAATACCAGTTGCGAATAATTTGACTTAAGCTGGCTTGAGTCCATGATTAACTAGCACTCAAAAAATCACTAATGTTCTGAGCCAGGTGATGGCCGAGTTATCCAGACTGCCGCGTTATCGAGTGCCGAGTTAGCGGGACTCTACTGTATTATACAAATATAATAAATCTTTCAAAACGTTTTAATACATCTACACTAATGCTTAAACAATTTCCGAGAGACTAAAAGCATACTTAAAAAATGTTAGAATAAATTTTTGACCAGTAAAAAAATGTTAAAACAGAGATAGTGTTTGGCCAGTCTTCCAACCAGTCACCAAATAAGAGACTGAGAGAATCAAAATGGCGTGCTTGCTTGGATACTGTTGGTCCCCTCCCCCACCATACACTTTATTATTGGTTCCCTTAAGTACACTATAGTGGCATAATATTAGTGGTTAATAACTCCACACAATACTCTACAAAAATTAAACCTCCTGCATTACTTCCCCAAGTTTCTAGTTCTAGAAAATTTCCAGGTAACAGAGACTACTAGCGTTTGGACGGAAAGGTGTATACTTACCCTTTGCCCTCGAGTGCAGGCTGGAGTACAAACTTGTCAAAGTACAACCTCATGAGTCTCTCGCGCTCCTCCAGTCCAGGCAGGTTGAACTCCACCATCTCGTCCAGACGATCGTTGACGGCCCAGTCAAACTGCTCTGGAGTGTTACTGGCAAGTACCAGCATAAACCTACGCATGACATGGCCATGTTGTAATATACTTGAAAAAGTTTAGACATGGTGAAATATAAATAGGTTTGCACTTTTTCACATTCATTGTCATCGATTCAGCAGCTCCAGTCAATTAGGTACGATGCTAAGCCTATTCTATCCTTGTCTTGTTGGTAAAGCTGATCATTTTTCATTTGCCGTAAATGTTTAAAATTTTTAAGAATGAGGTCCATATGATAAGTTACAACGAGTCCAGAAATATGATCTTATTTATTTTGTTATCTCGTCTCCATATCCTTTATTTCCTACCAATTTCTCTCTCAAGAATGTAACAACTCGATTGAATTCAGTCAGGTTTTCACAGAAACAAGAACCGTATTGTTTTTCATAAATGTCTGAAACATCATAATGACAAATGCACACTGTTAACGGCTAAAACTGTCGACTCACTTCTGACTTTGCTCTCCAGTTCGGTAAAGGAAAGCGTTGAGAGTCGCACGCAAGTCTTCGCTGATTGTTTCTGAACTGCGTTTACGGAGGAATGCATCTGCTTCATCCACGAACAGCAGCAGACCTTTACGTGATGTGTTGGCCCAGTCAAACACCTGCGGAATAAGATTCACAATGTCACAGAATATTTTCATTGAAATGTTAATATAAAAGGTAGACAACGACGTGTCAAACAAAGAAGGATATAATGACCGAAACATACAAGGTTTTATGACAGAAAGTTTAATAGAATCACATTCAACATTTGATATGTGGTAATGTATACTTCAAAGAGAAAGTTTTACACGTTTGACTGACCTTATGAATAGCTGTAACTCCGTCCCTTCCCATCGGGGCTACATCTCCTCCTGTCAAAATGGCGTAGTCCATACCCGAATTGGCTGCCAATTTCTGAAATAAGTACTAACTTAGACCAGATCTGTCACAAACAAAAAAGGTAATATTAACACTATTACTCTTTTGTTTACGCATGTAACTGGGTTCTATAACACTTGGGTAGGATATAAAGTAAGATAGGCCTACAATAAGAATTCTGGATAGGTGATGAATACATACTTAAGTTTTGAATTGGATTTGACTGATTAACACGTTCAATACGGGTGACGAGTAATCTTGTCACCGGTATTGCCTCGATATCAGCTGAGCTGTCGTCGGAAGATGTTGTTTTTCGTTGCGCTGTATGTAGTAGTCCTTTGTTTTTTCTCGGGCGGTGTCGATCCCACGGCGCACAGTTTTTATTATTTGTGTGTTTGTTTTTTTTTTTTTGTGTGAGTGTGTTTTATGACGAAGTGTTGTGCCATAGTGAATCAATATGGCTGATTCTTTACGAATTGATAACTTTCTTACTGAAGATGAACTAGGATATACGGATAACAACTGTTTACAACACAAACGAAGGATTACTTTTGGTGTCACGTGCGTCGGTTCTAGGTTCTACATGGCAGCCGGACGATGCAGCGCATGACGAGTATTCCCGTCAAAAACTATGAGGCCATATATCTTGTCAAAAATTGAAAATTTTGAAGAAATAACACCAGATCATCATCCAAGACACCATTTGATAAGTTTCAAAGTCAAAGTCAAAGATTTTTATTGTCTTTAAACACATGTGTGCAATTGACAAAGTCACAAGCATATAATGTATGTAAATAGCCTATTCTAAGTAAAAGGTACATTGAAAAATAGAATATTAATTTATAGATAAAAACAATAACAAAATATAAAAACACCAGGGAATGACATAACAAACAATTAATATAAAATCTAAACAATTATCCAATTTAAATTCTTAAAGTACTAATGTCACAAGCTAAAAATTCATCAACAGTATAAAAAATATGTTCTCTTAACCATATTTTAATCTTATTTTCAAACTGTTTTGAAGTTATATTCCACATGTTTTCTGGCAGTTTATTAAATAATTTAATTTTCATATAAACATGACTGTTTCTTGTTTTTTCCAACCTTACAGAGATTAAGTTAAGAAGATAGTTTTTCCTCGTTTGATAGCCATGTATTTCTTTTCTAACAGACAATTTACAAATAGAATTCTTAACATCCATCAGGCAGCAATATATGTACAAATTTGGAAGAGTCATTATTTTAAGCTCTTTGAATAAAGGAACACATGACTCCCTATCTGAAACATTTGTAATGACTCTTACAGCTCTTTTTTGCCACTTAAAAGCCTCTAATGCACTACACGAGTTGCCCCATAAAGTTATGCCATACTTTAAGTGAGAATGAAAAAAAGCATAATAGGCAGTTATCAGCATGTTTTTGGTTACACAATCTTTCAACTTTCTAAGAAGGTGAATTACTCTAGACAGTTTTCTACACAACTGCTCGACATGAGTTTCCCAACTTAACCTACTATCAAGATAAATACCTAACAACTTAACAGGTTTCACATCTTTATAAATAGAAAAGTCCAAAGAAAAGATAATTTGTTCAGTCTTTTTCTCATTAACAATTAAAAGATTAGAATGAAACCATTCCATTGCTATTTCTAAGGCTTGGTTCTCAGTTCTTATTAGATCATCTAGGTGTTTTTTACTGTTAAGAAGTGTGGTATCATCTGCATATAACACTGTGGCACAAGGAATATTTGAAGCAAAATCGTTCACAGCAATAATAAATAAAAGAGGTCCAAGGACTGATCCCTGAGGCACACCCATTAATATTGTTCTAAAGCCAGACTTATCACTGCCCTGTACCACCATTTGTTCTCTACCACTCAAGTATGATTTAAATAAATTAAGTTCTTTACCTCTGATACCATAGTGAAACAGTTTGTCTAGCAGTAGCTCATGATTCATGCAATCAAAAGCTTTAGTAAGATCTATGAGTAAGGCAGATGATAACAGCTTATTTTCTAAGTTTTCTAACACTGTTTCTATCACATTCTCTACTGCTTTTACTGTATTTTTACCTTGCATGAAACCATACTGTTCCTCACAAAACAAATTATTAGTCACAAAAAATGTATCAAGTTGAGCCTTAATACAGGATTCAAAAACTTTACTTACTATAGGAACCAGAGATATTGGTCGGTAACTAGATGGGCTCAACTTTTCACCCTTTTTATAGACTGGTATCACTTTTGTTACTTTTAGTGCTTGCGGATATATACCCTGTTCCAAGATCATATTAAACAGTAAAGTCAACGGTGTCACTATCACCTGACATATTTCCTTTAGAACTCTATTTGATAAACCATAGTAATCTTCACTACATGATGAACTTAAGCTAGTAACAACTTTAGTCACATCTTTACCTTCAATTGTTCGCCAAACCAGATATTTATTCAAATCTTTTTTTCTTTCAAGGACAAAATTATTTACTAATTCTACTGCCTTGTCATGGGATTTATTCTTATCACTAACAACATTTATACTACCGGTACTTAAAATATTAACAAAATAGTCATTAAAAGTATCTGAATCAATTAATACATTTTCTTGCTTAGTGACATTACAATTTGACTCAGTTTTTATTAAAGCCCACGCAGCTTTACATTTATTTGAGGAATTTAAAATGTACTTTTCATTTGCAACTTTCTTGCAATAGTTAACTTTGTGTTTGTACCTTTTTTTTACATCTATATATTCTTGTTTGAAGATATTTTCATTTTCTGTGCCCAAGCTATTTTTATATCTATCATAAAAAGCATTTACATACACTTTAAAGCTCTTCAATTCTGGTGTATACCATTTTAAGTCAGGCTTTTTTCTAGTTTTCACCTTAACTTCCTTAACCCTACAGCATTCATTATATGAATTTGTCAACAATAAATTAAAATGATTGAAAGCTATATTTACATCTCTTATACTACATAACTGCGTCCAGTCAATTTGGGACAATTTACTTTTTAAATTGAAAAGTGCTTCAGGTGTCAGTTCTCTGACTTTCTTAGTCAAAACATTGTTAGGTATCACACTTTCCACAGAAATTTCTTTAAATTGAGCATATACCCCCGCATGATCCGATAAATGAGGTTCTATTACACAACAAATTGTTTTCTTTCTATTAAAATTACTTACAATATTATCTATGCATTTCCCCCCCCTAGTCGGTTCCTCATTCAACCAATACATGTCAAAGGATCGCAATAAATTCAAAAATGATTCTCTTTCATGTGATTTTGACAAAATGTCTATATTAAAATCAGCTGAAATAATATGCTTCGACCCAGAATATTTACCATATAAGTGTAACAAAAACGATTCAAATAGATTAAAAAACATACTAATATTAGAATCAGGAGTTCTATACAAAGTGGAAACAACTACATTATCATTAGGTAACAAAATGGCAGTAACTTCAAAAATGCTGTCACAATAGAATTGTTTCACATCTATAGCTTGAACCTCAATCCCATGCTTTACAAAAATAACACTTCCACCCCCTCTATTCAGTGAGTTATCCCTAGCACAAATATTACCCAAGTTGTACCCAGCAGGTATATACAAACGGGATTCTTCTTCAAACAACCAGTGCTCATTTATCGTTAAAATATCACATCTTAAACTACTTAAAAAAACATCTATTAAATTTAACTTATTTCTCATTGACCGGACATTACAGTGATAAATACTAAAGTTTGTTGGTGAGAGTTCTATGGTTGACGGTCTAGTGTTGGTGGTGAGTCGTTTCCCAACAAAGACTCGGTGCCAGGTGGGAGAGGTTGTTCTTCATTTGGACTCGCTGGATGATTTTCCATCTTCCTTGCCGTCACAGCCTCAGATATCTTTTCAGAGAGCCATTTTTTCCCTTGCTGGTTTAGGTGAAGACCCTGACGTGTGTGCGAATGTCTTCCAGCATTGCTCGCTTCCACCAAGATGACATTGCTGTATTTTTCACTAAGTTCTTTTAATCGCTGGTTAGTTTTTCTTACTTCTTTGTTAACGCAAGACCAGTGTGGTAAGTCATACCTGTTAGGCAAATCCACTAACAATACTCTTGTTTGTTTAACTGTGTCCAGTGTCGAAGTAATGCCATCAATGACTTCATCTGCTTCGTTACTCGCAACATCATTAGTGCCACAGAGTAATACTAAGGCATCATCTTTGTTGAGACTAGCTTCCTCAATATTCCTCTTATCTAGTACCTGTTTTGTTCTTCCACCTGGTTTAACATAACCTATTGCTTCATACTCATGTTGTGATTTGTTGATGTTCCAAGCTAAATCTCTGCCATGGCTATCGGCACAGATCAGCATTTTCTTAATTTTTGTTTCACACTTATCAGTTTGTACATTATGTATTGCAGCAATTGAGACCTCAGGCGTTTCCTCCTCATCAATACTTAAAACTTCAAAACGGTTTTGTATAAAAGTGGGTTTCATGTTTTTAGTCTGTTTATCAGAATTTACCCTAGACGAGTTATTTCCCTTAACAGCCATAGCAAAGGATTTATTTTTATTTTTTTCAGAGCTCCATCTACTATTTGTTTTATCCCCAGAAACAGGGGTGCTGTATGTAAGAGGGCGGCTATGTTGCAGATCCACTGCATTGGATCTCAAAGCTCGCAGTCTGTTAGAGTCGTTTTTAGTTTCATCACTTAATAGTTCTTAGTTAATTTAAGTTTTCATTTTTTAGCCATACGAGTGATATGACCAATTTCGGTGCCGCATTGAACGTGTTAAGAATAGTCAATTTTACCAAAGACTGTTTAATTGTATGAAATTACCTTAGCAAACATAGTCTTTCCTGTCCCCGGTGGTCCGTGCATCAGAATGTTCCGATACATTCCCTTGTTTCTCTTGGTGTTCCTAGTAGCTATCGCAACGTCCCTGGAATCGGTAGTTTAGGTTACAAATCATCAACAGGTTATACGCTTATGTTCTAACGTGTACAGTCCTACTTAAGATAAAACAAATGTTAAGTAAAAGCAAAAGTATACTTTTTGTAATTTACAATTCAGCGTTTGATTATTCTACTTAAGTTTAAAAATGTTCAAGTAATCCTTATAATGCGAAAAAGATTATTCATTGATAGAGACCTGTCCTGATTACACTCCACATACCTTAGTCTTTCCTCCAGTGAAGGAGCCAGCACCACGCCCGACAGAGCGTCTCCAGACGCAGGCTTCAACTTCTTGAAAGTCTCCACCGGCTGTCGCAGACTCTCCAGTAGTGACAGTCGTGATGTATCTCGCACAAGAGATGGTTTACCTAGACAAAATGTACAAGTAAAAGAAAACTGTTTATGTTTACAATGACTAAAAATAGCCAGATCGACTTGTAAATTAACAAAGCAAATATTAAATTAACTTAATACTGGTTTAAAGTGTCTGCCCGAAAGAACTACAGTAAAACCTCTTTAATCCGAACTAATTGGGACCGGGGGTAGTTTGGACTATTGAATAGTTCGGATTACAGAACATATTGGTGTCTTTACATAACAATAGCTAAAATGGATCGTAATTGCTACGGGAAAAGTAAAAAAATGCCTTATAAAGTAAAATACAGTATTTATTTAATACGGTAGGCCTAGTAAACATAGTGAATAAACAGTACTGTAGCCTACATTAAATACAGTATACAATATAAAACTACTGTACTGTGTATAGAGTGCAGCAATGAGGTGTTCGGATTAGTGGACGTTCGGATTACGGGGGTTCGGATTAAAGAGGTTCTACTGTACTTCTAAAGTAGTTCATGTTTTATGAGAATAACAGGTTTATAGTGAAGAAATGGAGAATTATGTAAAATGATGGGGAAAAAACCACAATAGCATTAGAAACAACTAACTTGAATTTAGAGTCAAACTCTAAATTTTGTACACTTAATACTTGAGTCCCTAGACAACCACTTAAGTAAACTAACCTAGTCTAGCCTCGATGTATCTGGCAGTCACCGAGGTAGCACCCTTGGCAGAGTAGACTCCTAGTGCCAGCAGGGACACACCACCAGCCAAGGCCAGCACTTTGTCCCAGTCTGTCAGTAGAGCGGAGAACCCAGACCCTAGCACTGTACCAGCACTCCTACAAACCATAAGTAAATATCAGTAAACAATCCTAAGAGGTGTTTATGAATGATTTGTCAGTTTTTATAACTTAAATACACAAAAAATTAACATTACTTCTTAAATCTATCTCAGGTACCCCTACAAGCGCTCAATCACTGCATTAGCCATGCAACGTTTCCAATCAATGTCGTTAACACATTGAGAGGTTGATTGAATCTTAAGTGATGCAAATACGTTTACGTCTAGCTCTTGAAGTGTTCGAGGCATTGTCGGTAAATAAACGTTGATTTTACATAGACCCAGACAAAAAAATTGCACACTGTAAGGTCAAAAAATTGAGGAGGTTATTTAAGAAGGGAGATGTTATTTTTGTTGGTTATTAGTTTTATATAAGTAGGCCCTACTATAATGGAAAGTATACTAGGTGAGCTAGCATGAAGACCTGTAGTCATACCTTGCAAGCTAGGAGTGAAAAATAGGATGTGTATTGGAGGCAGGGTTGCCACCTTTGGTTAGGGGAAAATCAGGCAGGCCTCCCCTTCTCTCAGGAATAAAAAAGGCATGAACACAGGCAAAAAGTACCAAAGACTGTCCCAACAGAATTGGGATGCGTTGCAACCCTGACTGGAGTCATTTATGAAAACACTTTCCTATATTTCAAAATACTCAAATGATGATAGGCTACTTTCTAATAAGAGAGACATTGACGAGTAAAAAGACTAAAATTTTAAAATAATCCCTGTAAAGTAACAATTTGAATCACTAAGACGCAAAAACTTCAGTTAGATATAAACATTTCTCACTTGATTGACTCGAGGATCGTGACTCTTTGTTCCGCAGCCCGAACTCTGATCTGCTCCAGTGTCAAATCTTGGTTTTCCCGGTCAGCTTTCGCCTTTGCAGCCATCTCTGCCTCCAGTTTCTTCATCTCTAATTTCGCCCTCATCTCCATCTCGTGCTCAATGGTAGCTGAGAAAAACCAACCCTTTAATCGTTTGAACATTAGGGAGTTTTGTGTGGTTGGAACTGCTCTTGCATTGAAATGAAATGAAAAATCCTTTATTATTTCAGGCAAAGTTAGGGCCACATGGCCCTTTCTTACACTTAACCTGACATTAAAAATATAACAAAAATAATGTGACATAGGGATAACTTAATCTAATTAAACATAAAATATTTAACAATTCAAGTACCTACATATCTAAAAAAAAAACATAAAAATTTAACAAATAGAAAAACACATTCACACACTCTCGCATACACGCATCAGCAAACGCGCAAGGTAACAGTAGCCCTAGGACACGACAGCCGAGACCATCTTCTCTTGCATTGGTATGTTGTGAGGTGAGTTGCAGAACAAATCCTATTGATGCTATGATGTCTTTTGCTAAATTTGTTCTTTCCAAACAGTTTTTCTTTCCTACATCCTATGGCGATGGGAACAAAACGCTAAGCTCTACAGGATGTTACCAAGGAAAAGTTATTTTTTATTTATCCTATAAAAAAGTGCATATTGCACATCCTGTCTTGTAACGAAATTGTTGCTTGTATATTTAATTTTGAAAACAAACTCTGCACTGAATTACGATTAATTTGGAAAGCATCAAATAGTATTACTTATGGTACTAAAATAAGAATCACTACTGACTCTTGTCTACGACTATTATTATTTTATTCCACTGGTAGTATTTGACTTTACCGTGTTTAGGGTTTATTTGTGACTTTTCTGTCATTAATACTCAAGAAAAAAATAAATGTGTAGCCTAGTTTATTTTGTAAATAATGCACGCAAGACTTCAGAAGAATGATTATATAGGCCTAGTTCCAAATGAATGGTACTTCATTTTAATAAAGTGCTCATGGATTGCCCGTTTTATCCGACATTTTGAGTTATCCGACCTTGGTCCGGTTAGGGTATGTTAAGAGAGGATCTAAAGTAAAAGATTTTCTCCACAAAAAAAACTATTTCATTTTGTATTCCTTCTAAAATAAACAATGCACTAAATGTCAAAATTAGGGGGCTCTCATCAAAAATATGTTTCATATTATAAGTAAAATTAGAGTTATTCACCTATAGGATAGTCTACTTCATCCATGTTTTTGCCTCCTTGAAATGGAATACTAATAAATAGGTTACGGTTAAGGTTAAATACCTTTTCACATCATCAATCCTAGTAGTTTTTTTTTCATGATGACAATAGTTTCGAGGCTTGCTGCCTCATTGTCAAATCATATGTCTTCATTGATTGTTGTTAAAACAGAAGTCGTCACAGTTCCTCGCGAAGTAGTTTAATTAGGCCGGCCAAGATATTAAATGTCAGTGTAAAACTGTGTGTATATGAACTATATGTGGAACTGTGATGACTTGTGTTTTAACAATCAATAAGACACATGATTTGACAATGGGGTAGCAAGCCTTGAAACTATAGTCATCCTGAAAAAAACTACCGGTACTAGAATTGAAGACGCGAAATAGTTATTTGTGCAACTAGTGAGAAAAGTGAGCAATTGACTCACTCGAGAGAAATCCTTACTCACGAGCCGTAGGCAAGTGAGGAATGGTTTCTCGAGTGAGGCAATTGTACTTTGAACTCGAGTTGCACATTATACTTTTCCTACAGTTACCATAAAACAAATAAATTTGTGAAGAAACATAACCTATTTTTACACAGAAGTGAACTTTTAATATAACATTTAATGTGAAGTGAAAATACAACAGTAAAACAGCTGACCAGCTGATTTACAGCCAGTGCTGCCAACGTATTTCGTGCACATACGACGTTGCCTGCATGTTACACGTTCACTATTTCGTGCCTTCACGTTGCAAATCTGGAGTGAGACAAAGTAATTAGAGTGAGACAATGTTAACATTGTCTCACTGATGAGCGAATTGGCCACTTTGCTTTCTCAAATCAGTGAGAGAACATGTACATTGTTAGGTAACTGTAGGAAAAGGTATTTAACATATTTATTAGTAATCTACATTCTAAAAGTGATAATTTCGAGGCAAGGAGACAGAGAAGCAGACCTAAAAGAACATAACGAAGTGAGATGGCAGATGAAAGAAAAACAGTAGATGGATGGGGAAAAATTGAGAGACCTAGTCAAAGTCCAGATTGGGAAAATAGAATACATGACATAAAATAGTTAACATTATACGTGGCAAATCATCAGGTAGAATGTTTTCAGATTAGGCCTACGTGATCAATACCTTTTCGCATTGCTTCCTGTTTAGCAACAGACTCCTCTTGTCTTCTCAAGTTCTCATCATTCACCCTTTGTTGTTGAAGGAGCTGATCTTCATACCTGCAAAAGATTATGTATTGTTAATCAGAACAAATGAATAATACTTTAAATACTTTTAATGGAAATGGCGACCATACAAAGGTAGGTATTTTAAGCCAAGTAAGAATGGAGATGAGTGTAGGATGAGTGGCGCGATCTTGTGGTCTTGTTACTGGGAAGGGCGATATGTTTTTAGCGAATTTCCCTATAGGGAAGTAGCTATTACCGTAGGTCTCATGGTAAGACTTAGGCCCGGGACCGATTTACTTTTTCATTTTGATGTCCCCAGAGGCCAAAAACACCATTCGTTCAAATTTTTATATATGTATATATATATAGATATATATATAGATTTATATATATATATATGTGTCCGTGAACACGATAACTTGAGTAATTTTTATCCGATTTCGATGAAATTTGGTTTGAAGGTGTAAGGCGGGATAAACTTGAATGAGTTCGCGATCCAGCATGATCAGACCATGGGAACAGGGTTTTATGGGGGGTTTTATGGGGTAAAAATTGGGTTTTCTCACTTTTGACTCTCAAAACACAAAATTTCCCAATTTTTCTCTAAACTTTCTTAAAGAGCTTAAAAAAACAAACAATTCAGTATATCAAAGTGTTTTTGTACGGTTATTGGTTACGGAGAAAACTAAAAAAAATGGTAAATTTAAAATTCCCATGTTATTCTTATGGAGAATATTGTAAAATGTTGTAGTTTGCTTGTTTATGGATATATTTTGATCAAACTTGGCAAATTTATTTATTTAATAGTAAGCTATCAATATTTTACTAAAAACACACTTTATTAGTTTCCTTGTAGCAGCAAACCTAGGTACTCGTTAAACCTAATGTTATTTAAATAGATCAATTGAAAATCAATTCAGCCAAATGGAAATTCGCTTAGACGGCAGGTTTGCTGCGGCGGGGGTATCCTTAGACATGATTGTTAATTAATAGCCAATACGGCCAATGGCAACTAAGGGAACTACAGTTCATAGAGGGATCCGAACCACATTTTTCCCTTGTAATTAACAAATTGTTCTAATTACAGTATCAGGATAGTACTGCGGATAGTCGTAGTAGGTACTCAGTGGTACGTACGTTAATCCACACCAGGGAGTATCACATCCAAGATCATGCCAATAAATATCCACAATTTGTTTACATGTTCAATAATAAATACTACCATGTTACCAGTTTTGTAACATATTATAGGCCTAACCTAATATGGAGGTGGCACATTAAATGCGATGGTTATCTCAGTGACCTTCAAATCCAGATAAGAATTCTGTGTTTGGTAAATTACATTTAGCATTGACCAACTATTTTTCATCAAGAACAAATTTTTATATTAAATTAAAGGTTTAGGCTTGAGTTCAAGTAGGCATTGGTCGATTATGAAGAAAACAGATTTTTTTACGTGTAAGTGAAATTAAAGTTAACTGATGTTTCATTAGGCTACATCATTAAGAGGTATCAGTACCGATAAAATACCTATCAGATAGAATAGACCTACCTCTTGCGAGCTAGTTGGTCCTGGTATTGAGCTCTAGCTTGATGTTGCCTTGTCTCCTCTGCCAGAGTTTTCCGCTTCTCCTCAGCTTCAACCCGCTTGAGTTCACTCTTCGACTGCTCGATGTGAGCTTCATATTCTTTGACTTTTGCCAAATATTCCTGCTGGCGAGTAACCTCTTGTTGTTTAGAGAGATCTAATGCTTCCTTGGCAAACCCTATAAGTAAAACCTTATTTTGAAATAATCAGATAAAACCATAAGGAAAAACAATGTTAGCAGTTTGGAATTTAACAATTAGGCCTAAGTACTATACTAATTTTATTTTTTAAGAGTAGGCTAGCACCTAAAAATGGCAAACAGTCAAAACTACATTAAGATCTCTACCTAGGTGAGTTTAAATCACCAAAAACATATATTGTTGCAAGTAAAATGTAAGTTACGTAAATTTTAGGCTAATTTAAATTATAGATCTTTTTAAAATATCTTGATAAAAAATCACTCAGTCATTGTGTCTCAGTGTATGTTAAGTTACTAAGCAAACCCCCAATGTGGCCTTTAAAGTGCCTTCGACTAGCAACTAGCGTCTAGACTGCCAGTGCAAGTCCGAGGAACGGAGGATCGTGGATCAGATCATACCGGCGCATCAGCATAGCTTATCTAACTGTTCGCGGAAAATTGTTATCTGTATCACTGTTGCTGTCAAAACGTATAATTTGTAGATTAAATTTGAATTAAATATAATTAAACTATCATAACCTAACCAAACTTTCTGATAATGATAAACTCGAATGAAGGTTTACTAATCAAAAAATAGCTCTGTTCTAAAAATAAAATTTAAAATGTCTCAAATTCAATTTTACAATCTTTTAATTATAAAATTAAACTGTCATAACCTAACCAAACCAACCAAACTTGCTGATATGAAAAAAATTGTTGACAAAAAGTTAGTGCTCCCAGTGGGATTCGAACCCGGCACCATCAGATTATCAGCCCGACACGCTATCCACTACACCACAAAGGCTCATGACTCAGTTCGGTTCAGTATCGTTGCAGTAATGGTTGACGTCACGCCATCGGCACTGAGCGGTGGTGGGGGGTTTTTCAATCTGATCCACGATCCTACCGATCGGCCGTTCCTAGGAGTTGCACTGGCAGTCTAGATGCTTATCGACTAGCATGGTGGATCTAAAACTGACATAAAACCTTCAGTACAAGTTGGGGTTGTATAAGTTTACTTGGCCTTTATTTATGTACAGAACCAATAAAAAAACACCTCATAAATTAGCATAGGGCCTACCACCTCTGATTCCATTGTGTAAGTTATATACAAGTTAGGCATAGTCTCAATAGAAGTAAGATCCAGTGTAGATTTTGATTAAATTAAAGAAATAATCTTAATAGCTTATACAGGTTGGACTTATTAGAATACCTGTACTCAAGAGAACTGTTTGCCCTGTTGGGAGTAGAATTAAAGTATAGACAAGAAGCTAAAGTTCAGTTAGTGGGGGCAGTTAGTTCTAGGAACATGTATTGGTACACCGGTGCAGATGTGCACCAGTGACTTACTCAATGGTAGCCTACCGCCCCAAAGCAAGAGTCTTGGGACCCCAGAACGGTTTACTATGCACATCGTATTGTAATATAGATATCAGCCTCCTATTTACTTAATAATATTAAAATCAAACCAACTTGCCCTAGAACATATTACCGTACTGGTAATTTATTCACTTAATACATAATATAATCCATCAAACTGGTTTAAACAATTGACCATTTAAGTTATTTGATGGAACCATACATAAAACATAGTTTAGGCCTAATCCCTTACTTTTATGTTGGTTAGTATTATGACGGAACCGCCATCCTGCTATAGCTGCAGACTGGAGTCCAAGAAACAGACCAATCAGTAATTATCAGCCTAAACTTAATTACCTGGTCAAACTTTCACCTCATTGTTCTTGTTGATTCTTGTATGTTTGTTATTGCTATTCTTGTTATTATTGTATAGTGCTATTTTTTCCAATCATTTCATTATTGTTAGGCCTATTGTTATTATATTTTTATGCAAAACAGTGTAATCTGCCTATGTATATTATTGTTAGCCTAAATGGTGTTTCCGTATGAAATAAAAAAAATAAAATAAAATAAAATAAATAAATAAATCAGAAGCCGTCGGTGTATTAAGTTATGCACCCTACAATTTCTCCTGTGCATGAATCTTGTGCAATGGAGGAAAAAAAGAGGAAATAACTGTCTGGCTAAGTTAAGTCTCCAATCTCCCAGAACGACAAATTTTTTGCACCAGTAAGTGTTCCCAGAGCGCGCCCAGTGATTGGGGAGTTTTACTATTTCTAGGCAGCAGCTTTATCTGACAATAAAACGTAAAGGTATGCCTACTAGGAACATAAATTACCAGGTAATTATTACGTCTAAGTATGAACAATCAACACAAATAGATTCATTGGTGTACCCTGACATGACTTAATCAGATGGAAAAGAAAGAGCCACTAAGTTAACTTGCTTGTAAAACAGTATTAAGAAGAATCTAAACGTAATATTCGGGTACACTTCCATATCTGTTGGCTCAAACAACCGAATGAAAATATCGATCGATAAATCGAATTAAACAATTGAATAATCAATATTACTCATTCGGTTGTTTGTGCCAACGGATATGGAAGTGTACCCTAATATTATCTTTATATACATAGGCTCTAACTTACTTGACGTTTCTAAATCCTTTGCGGCTTTTGCAGCTCTTTCTAAAGCAGCAGAATCGAACCTATAAGCTTCCATCCTCTTCTTGCGCTCTTCATCAGATTCTCCTCCTCCTCCATCACCTCCACCAGCAGGAGGAAATTGTGGAAACTCTCCTGAAGGTGGGTCATTTCTTCTAGACCCAAAAAGCCACGAAGACATTGTTTTTGTTTAATTTACCTGTACTGCTACAGTAACTAGCAAAATTTAGTTTTTGTTGTTGGTTCCCAAAACATTGAAGACCTAACCTCACTTTGAAACTATGTTTAATTTCAAGTTTGACCTGAGAAGTAAAATGAGAAAATGACACAATCGCGGCAAACCAATCAGAAATTTTAATCGCACTTCTTATAATGATAGCAGATTTTTAAAATACTAACTTATCCTTGAAGATATAATATATTACATCATCTGAATGATATTGCCGGTTGTAATCAATCTCGTGGGTCATGCTCATTGCTCATGCAAGCAAAAAGCAAGATCAAGATGCAAGAAAAGAAAGAACAGAAACAGAACAGGGAGAAAAAAATATATTGAGAAGGACGACATTGACGTTAATGTATTTTTCGGTAGGGTGGCATACAATGGCTTATCAATTAATTGAGAATTTGATCCATAATCTATAATCGTGAAAATGTGGCATAGCTTAAAAGGGAAAATTTAAATTGTTTCATAATTTGTCAGTATTTATTCAATTAATTATATCAAATTGTCAACTCAACATGTTTACATAGATAAAACATACTCCTCAAGAAATCCGAAAGAATAAATAAATCCAAAATAAAACAATGAAACCCACCAACCTATGCACATACTGACAACCGGACAAGACTCCGGTCCGGCAAAAAAGCACTTACAAATCACGTCAATCATCAATGTATTTTATAAAGTGCCAAAGTGATAATGACACAACACACCACATTAAACCACATTAAATACATGGCCCACGGCCACCTTTAACTCTAGGCCGCGGCCTTCGAAGTGGCAACGTCGCAAGTAGAAGGGTTGTAACTGTTTTTTCCTTCCACCATGGTTATGGGTTGTGTTGTAACAGCTGTTTTGTTTGGAAGCAGCTAATAGTGGAATATGAAAATATTGACTCCGCTGTAAATGTACAGATATAGGTTTTCAATTCTGTATGTTTTATTTTCAATATTTTAATAAATTTAAGTTCATAAATTTATGATCATAAATTTAAATTTAAATCAATAAAGTGTGAATTAATGAGCTGATGCCACCTGTCTGCCTTGTTATCTTATGGCACGTCTGACAGTAAACATCCCTACTTGCGACGTTGCCAATTCTACCAGGCCGCGGCCTGGGGCCCATTTCATAATAAAGTACAAACAAATATTATTAGTAAATCAGCTGATCGGCCAATGCAAATCTAATGGAAATTACAAGTTACAAGTAACTTGTAGTTTATTATGAAATGGGCCCCTGGAGTTAAAGGTTGCCGTGCATGGTCGCGGCCGGCGGCTGACGGGGGTGGTCCGCCCCAGGCCCAACACCAACATAGACCCCCAAATCAGGGCCGTATTCCCCCAACGGCGGGCACGGCGCGGTAATTGCCGAGAGCCTCTCATCGGTCTAGGAAGGGGCCTCACTTGGGTCTCAAAAAACGTATTTACTCTTGGAAAATAAATTTTGCTGTTAGAATATAATATTCTGATCTCACAATCGCCACAGGCGTCTAGTGGCCGTGACCCGCGGTGTTAATGTGTGGCAACGTCACATCGGGATGGTGGTGGCTGTGAATGGCTACTGCCATAGTATTAGGTGTGGCTATTGTTGAGCCTTTATCACTTTAGCACGAACCTCTAGGTCTTGCTTGAAATAATGAGTAAAACGGCCTGGGCTAGAGCTAGAGTCCTAGGATGTAAAGGTGGGACAAAAACATACTTGCATGTCAACCTTGTTCGATCCTGAGAAAAGTCAGTAGCTTTTTGATGGTTCGAAACTGGACCGAGCTGTTCCTGATCATTGGGCTTTAAATAAATGATCCTGACTAATGAAACAGCTGATCTTAGTCAGTAACAAAGTTACACAGGTCACCACACACCATTAAAATACACTCATATTTGGGTTAAAATACGCACCTAGTTGGCATCCCCATCTCAAAATTGATATTTGATAATAGTGTCTGTCCCTCTTTAAACCCCCCCCCCCCCCACCCTCGAAGCAGCTGTGGTCGCCTGTTTCTAGTCTTGCAGGCTCACAACATGCGTGCTTCTGGCTTGTCGTGGTGATTACTTGTGCCAGGGTGTCACAGGGGAGCTAGGTGGTCTAGGTAAAGCCCGGGGCTTCGGAGCCCGAGGATTTAAATTCTGCCAACAATCAATAGATTTGATCGATGTGATTATGTCGAAATCCTCTAGGTCTACTTGAATTGATTTGTAAAATGGCTCCAGACTAGAACCACAGACAATATAATATTATAGTTTCTTCCATTGTCTGTGCTAGAACACGGCCTTTTCATCCTTTCACGGCCGCATTTAACTACAGGCCGCGGCTTGGTAGAATTGGCAACGTCGCAAGTGGTGTTGTTTAGTGACAGACGTACCATATGATAACATGGCAGACAGGTGACATCAGCTCATTAATTCGCACTTCATTCATTTAAAATTAAAATTATGAACATAAATTTATTAAAATATTGAAAATAAAACATACAGAATTGAAAACCGAAACAATATTAATTAAACATCTATATCTGTACATTTGAAGTGGAGTCAATATTGTCCTAGTCCAGTAACCAATCTTTTGTAAATACACAAATACCATTAGCTGCTTCCAAACAAAACAGCTGTTGCAACACCACTTGCGATGTTGCCACTTCGAAGGCCGCGGCCTGGAGTTAAAGGCGGCCGTGGCTAGAACCTAGGGTCTTAGGATGTGAAGGATAGACATAAAAGGCTGTAAACGCCAGTTACCAAAATGTTGAATGTTATTAAGATATTTTATTTATTGATATTCATTTTCTATGGGTAAAGCTATAGTCCACATGATTTTATATACACAATTTATATTATCTTTATAAACTGCAATCAATTTTATTAATATTTACAAACAAGAATGAAACTTCTTACTCAACTATTATTCTAATAATTTTATTGTATTTTATTTTAACATGCCAATCTATGGCTTAGTTAATACACAAAAATACTGAACAATAAATTCGATACTTACCTTGCTCAATACAACGACCATTGGTCTATAACCAAAGCTTATAACTAGTCAATGGTTTTACCGAGTTCCTTAGTCAAGTGCCCATCTAAACCAATCAGTGAGTCTCTAGGATGTTTAATCTCCATCAGCCAATGTCAGTCCAGCATGTTCAGCTGATTTTTAGCACCAAAAGCAAATTCAAATGAAAAGTTCGTTACTCTATTCTTTTCTATTGAAATTGAATTGCTGTCAGCAGTGTACGTTGGTTTGGTTTTGGTTTACTTGGTTTGTTGAATGGTGACTAAACTTGCTACATTTGATTGAAGTTTATGTGAAACTGAAAAGTGTCTTTTTGCTGATGACAATATTTGGACCGATCAATAAGAACAATAACAACTCTTTCAGGTAAAAACACATGCTATGCAAACTTTAACGTTATTTTAGTTAGGCCTAGATTTTAATTATGTTAAGTTATGAAATGTATTTCAAGTTAAATTCGGGACATAGGCCTGCCTGTTCAACACGTTGAGCAAGTATTTTCAAAGGCTAGATATTTCATGTTAATTCTTGGTCAAATAAATTAAATACAAAATAAACTAGGCCTACTACAATATGAGTCTAAGCTTCCCTGTTAGGCCTAGCTCTTTTAACCACGCTCAGCTGCATTTTTAGCTAATTTGTTTTACCTAAAAAAATTTAAGTTAACTTATTAGGCTTCTTAAAACTATTAACAAACCTGTCTCTATATAAACTTAAAGTAAACTTGGCTGCACTTTACTTTAGGTCCTACACTCATTCGAATGAAAATATCGATCAATTTAAAGATTAATCGATTGTTTCATTCGATATATCGTTTGGTTAGTTAGGTAGAGTTAAATTGGTTAAATGGTTAAACCTAACCTAACTAACCAAATGAAACAATCGAATAATCGATATTTTCATTCGAATGAGTGTAGGACCTAAAGTAAAGTGCAGCCTCCAAAAGTAGTGGAGAATTGACCCTTTTCAAAGTCCTCCTCAGTGGCAGGTCTAACTTAATTTAATGTTATCAAAACAATTATAGGTTAATTTGATTATTAATGTTGTTGACAGGTCTAAGTAATTTTGGTTCTTTTTCAGGTTCTAAGACTTCAAAGTTACTGAAATGGCCCAATTTTCCTTCTTCAATGACCTCAACAGTGCTGTCCGGATGGATGATCCTCTTACAAGAGGTCCTGTCCCGAGGTGGCAAAAGAAAGGATTGGAAAATTCCAAGTAAGTTTATCAATCCCCTCTTTATTTGTCAATGTATAACTTAACTTAGGCCTAAGTTACAAAATAGACATAATATCATTATCTTAGAGCGACATATACCAATTGTTAAATTGATAGTTTGGCCTTAGTTTAATATTGTTAAGTAAAACAAAAATTTCAAATATTTTGTACCCGTCACAGAAGTCCTGGCTGATCTGTGTTAACTTACCTAAGTTAGGTACCCATAATCACCCAAAAAATTAATTTTGTTACTGATATTAGGGTTTAAAAGATACTTAAACTAGGTTTTCTTATTTGTGTTCAAAAACATGTCTCTTTGGTTGTACATGTTAATTTGTTTTAGCACTATGAACGTCAGCTTGAACATGTCTAAGTCTTTTTCTTCTAACACGTCAAAAACTCCCAAAAAACTTGGAACGGCGGAGTTGGCCCAACAGAGAAAGACTCCATCAAAAACACCGTCAAAAACTCCCAAAAAGTCACCAAGTAAGTTTTAAACGTCAAAAAAGTTGACCTATTAAAATATAAGTACCTATTAAGAATAAATATGTCTTTATAGTGGTTTATGTAGCCTAACGATCGCATAAAGATAGTGTTAACGACACGAGTAGAAATTTAGCCTTAACAACTTCTACGAGTGTTGTTAAGACTATTTACAAGAGTTGAGTAGACTGCTTTACCTATGACATTTTTTTAATTACTATCTATCACTTTTCATAGCTTCTAAGAGAGGTTGTGTTTTCGTTTAACCTCTCATTGCCCCTGACAGTGATGCAACGAATCATTGTACCAAACAATAATTGCACCACTCAACAATTAAATTGGCCTGAACATCTGATTATATGTAGTTTGAAGCATTACAATTTTATTTCTTTTCTCTCAATCCTTGAACCTCATTGGTCCGTTACCCTTGATGTTAAGTAAAAAAACAATGCTGTTAAGTAAGTAAACAACGCTGATAGTGAATCTTTTCAATTCTAAGAACTGAAACGGCTAGTTTAAAAAACGGTCCTAGGTAGGCCTAGGCCTAAATGTATATTTACATCACAATATTGGGTTTATTTTAGGCTACCACTATAATAATTTTGTATTAAGTTTATTCTTTAACTTGTTGTTCATTGATTTAACTGACGATTTTTGGCTTTGTTTATCATAATTTTTGGGACACAAATATCTAAATACAGTAAAACCGCACTACCTAACTCAACACCCCTTTTAACTCAATAGTCAACGGCAGACTGCATCTAGCTTCGGTGTTGTCTTATCTTACTATTGTGTTTGACTTTTTAAGTTTTAGCCTTATTGTTGAATATTCAAAATTTCTTTGAAGATTGCTTACTCAATGGGCTACCTATATAAAAATACTCATAGTCCAATTAATAAATTTAAATTTATGTATATGTCTAAAATTTGTCTGTTATGTATTAATTTATTGAAACCCATTAAACATTTTTTTAATGTTCTGGATAACCTTGAAAACTTCTGGGTCCACAAACTGTTGAGTTAGTGAGGTTTTAGTGTACTTGTAAAACAAGTTTTCAGTGGGCGTACACAATAAGGACATAGATGGCAAAATGTCTGAGGTTTTAAATTTAAATCATCCAAGTAGGCTGCCCACCATTCCTCATAGCTGTTGGCCCCTACCTATAAGCTCCTCCACTATTTCTTACAAAGTGTCAAGTTGTTAACCAGACTTTGGTCGAGAAGAGTTTCAGCTATGGTGGCTGTCGCTTGGACGAGACAACTACTAATACCCCGACCAGTGGTCAGGCCTAGTGGTCTATCATAGGTTAATAACAGTAAACCTGATGTCCTAGCATACTAAGTTTATTCCCAAGATTGGAGCTCATGCCAAGTAGGCCTACAGTTTTCAGTGGTATTTCGGTTATGCTCTCTTAGCTAACCCGTAGTTAGCACCGGTACGTCACTTTTAATGATTTCAAAGATCCTAGTACATTATGTTGAAGCACTATGTTTTACAGGATCAGTCCCTGGTACTCCGAGTGGCGGAGACAGGTTTATTCCTGTCCGCAGTGCTTCCAACTTTGACCTCTGCCACTTCCAGGTGAGTGAAAAATAAATTCTTTGTCTTAAAATCTTAAATTTTCCATTTGTAGACCTCATTACACATGGTTTATACGTTCCAGTTTTGTTAAGTATTTGTGTAGAAAAAAACCACGGCCAAAGAGAGAACTAGACTTGGCTTCTAATTGTTTATAAATAGCTCAAATAATTAATATTTTAACCAAATTACCAAAGATATTAATTATACTGTAAACTGAATTTGATCAAAGTTTGCCTTGGACAGATGGCTCAACAAAAACAGAGTGAAGAGGCATTGAGCCCGTCTCAGGCCGAGATGCAGAAGGCCATGTCAGAGAATCTTCACGGCAGAGATATCAACAACTGCAGAGTTTTGGCTTTCCAGAAAAAGGCACCGGCACCCCCCGAGGTAGGCAAATAGCTCTAGAGCGTTCAAACATTGTTTTCCGAGAGCAGATATTTTGTTAACTCACAGTTTTATCAATTTTTAGTCTTGCGACAAGATGTGTATAGGTCCTGGAGATATCTGATCTTCAGTAAAACACCTCAATATTATAGCATTGACTATTGGAGTGCCTGACAACCGTAGTGTTCAATAATGTATCTCTGATTTGGTTAATGAAATTTTATCATCAACTAAACATATTGCAGGTTTATACTTTTTAATTGTCTATTTTATTTTTCTTAATTTAATTTGTCAAACAAGATTATTAGAAATTTTTGCTGCACAATAAAAATAACTGCTTGATAACATTATTTTCATTACACTGTCTCAAAAACAGCTGTCTTACGGATCGTTTTGAGTCCCTAAAGATAGCTTTTTGCGGACTAGTCCATAAAATTTTACGGACTCGAATCATATGGTTTATGTCAAAGCTTATCTCAAAAACAAATCAGCCGTTCTGATCCTTTAAATTGCTTCAACAATATATATAAACATGTTTGGTAAAGTAAACGTTACTTTTTAATCGAACGGTTTTGGCTATATTTGGTATTTTCTGCTACAGTATAATATATGACAATGTAATGAAAAATATTGTTCATAACTCGTCCTAAAATGCTTTTTTGTGACTTAATCAAATTTCCAACACGACATCGTCCCAAAAAAACCTACTTTAGGGACTAGTAACGAAAACTACTATTTGTTATTTAATACATACTTTTTTATTTGTTGAAAAAAAAACACACTTTTGGAGTGCTGGCAATAAACGTTTCACACATTTGGTATTTAGGTACACCAAATGAACACCATTCAGTTAAAAAGATCTCATTGACGTCTGGTTTGAATAGTTTTAGTTTTTAATGTCATTATTTGCTTCCATGTAGGCCTATGTCAATTGTTTATTTTTTTCTTAGGGATACACAAATCCACTAAAAGTGGTTTATAGCCAGTCCAAGACTCCTGCATCAACGAGAGGCGCAAGCCGTTACATTCCACAAGCTCCCGATAGGATTTTGGATGCTCCAGAAATTGTTGACGACTACTGTAAGTCCATAAGTTCATATAAAGTTTTTAGTGTACTTGTAAAACAAGTTTTCAGTGGGCGTACACAATAAGGACATAGATGGCAAAATGTCTGAGGTTTTAAATCATCCAAGTAGGCTGCCTGTACCTTTACCTAGGGTATCCTATACCCTTATACTTTGGAGTAGATACTATAATTCAGCGTGTAGCCATTTTTGTATTCAAATAAAACATATAGTTAAATGTATCGCTAACAGAGTGTCGAGCTGGTGTAAAAGTTATATTTTTCTTTTTAAACATTTATATTGTGCTGATATAAAACATGATGTTCACAGTAAATTTTCCTATACAGGGTGAGTTTCTACTGACCGTGTTAACTTCGCCAGTGGGTTCTACTCACTAAAAGGAACAAAAAAGTTAATGGGAAGGTATGTCCGAAAATTCATATTTACCCAGATATCCGCCATTTTGTTTTTTATACAAAAATATTTTTATCTGTGAAGTTTTTTATTCGATGATTATGAAACTTGGTAAACATGTTACCATACACAAGACCTATAATAGAAAAAATAATAAAGTTGTTCCGATGGTAAATTTCAAAATGGCGGCCGTTTGAATTTTTCTAACTTAAATAAATCGAAAACGGCTAATTCTATGAAAAAATGTCAAGAATACTTTTTTTAGCATTTTTAATTTCCTATCAAACGATACTAAGATCAAAAAGATCGGACAAAAGATCACTGAAATAAACCGGTTTTTGTGTAAAAATAAGGCAAAAATTAGGGGTTCCCCGACTAACTTTGCCTTATTTTTACACAAAACCCGTTATATTTCAGTTATCTTTTGTCCGATCTTTTTGATCTTGGTATCGTTTGATAGGAAATTAAAAATGCTAAAAAAAAGTAGCCTTGACATTTTTTCATAGAATTAGCCGTTTTCGAGTTATTTAAGTTAGAAAAATTCAAACGGCCGCCATTTTGAAATTTACCATCGGAACAACTGTATTATTTTTTCTATTATAGGTCTTGTGTATGGTAACATGTTTACCAAGTTTCATAATCATCGAATAAAAAACTTCACAGATAAAAATATTTTTGTATAAAAAACAAAATGGCGGATATCTGGGTAAATATGGATTTTCGGACATACCTTCCCATAAACTTTTTTGTTCCTTTTAGTGAGTAGAACCCACTGGCGAAGTTAACACGGTCAGTAGAAACTCACCTGTATAGGACACTAAACATATGGACTATTTAAAACACAAGATAAAGCAAACCAATTTAATGAATACATTAGTATAAAACTAATCCTCTGATCCAGTTAGTATAAACAAACGTATCCACTTACATTTCTACTAGGTAAATTCTTTGGCTTCTTACTGTATAATAGCTATGATACAATACCTGCAAATCATCTTCATTTATAAAAGAGATTGTAATAGGCCTACCGTACCATATTTTAATTTTTTCTTGTGTTCATGCCATTGGCATTTTTATAATGCCAATTACAAATCAATTTTTAAATGCTTTTAAGTTTTTAAGAGAAAGCAGTCCACCCCCGTTTAAGTTTTGTGGATGTGCTGTTAACTGAACCCGTCTCTCCCGCACCGAAGTACGAGACGCTAACCACTAGGCTAGCAACACACCCATACAACTGCTTTTCACTTTGCATGTTTAAAAAAATATAAATCAATGGGATCATCAAAGTATTTATTTTGTGCATGTGAACAATAAGGACCTCTGGAACCCATCCTCGGCCGCTGCCAACATGCCATGTCATCACAGCCTGTGTTAAAGTATAGAAAGTATCGAGGTTCTACTGTACTATCTAAAGTATATTGGATCTTTTGTGGTGTTGGCAGACCTGAACCTGATAGACTGGAGCACCAACAACATCCTGGCTGTAGCTCTAGGCAGCAGTGTGTACCTGTGGAACGCCACCACGGGCAACATAGACCAGCTGATGGAGCTGGAGGGCACCGACTACGTGTGCTCACTCAACTGGATACAGGAGGGAGACATGTTGGCTGTGGGAACGTTCAACGGACCTGTCCAGGTATTGAGACCTAGTTAAGGTAGCCCGGCTGAGGCATTCTTTTGTAAATGAAACTTGCCTTATATTTGGATTTGTTTCTTACCCAGGAACAATACCCTCAAATATCCGACACAAATTCTGAAACACCCTGTATATAAGTAAGGTTCGCAAAAAAAAAAAAACCCCTATTGTGACATCATATATATTTTGTATGAATATTAATTTCATTTCATTCCTATAGGTAAATAAACATGTCACGACATGTAAAACTATGCTGTCTTTGTTTAAGATCGTGGAATCTTTGCCTATCATAATCTCTTTTAGCAAATTTCTCTATAGGGAAGTAGCTATTACCGTAGGTGGCATGGTAAGACCTAGGCCCGGGACCGATTTACTTTTTCATTTTGATGTCCCCAGAGGCCAAAAACACCATTCGTTCAAATTTTTATATATGTATATATATATATATATATATATGTGTGTGTCCGTGAACACGATAACTTGAGTAATTTTTGTCCGATTTTGATGAAATTTGGTTTGAAGGTATAAGGCGGGATAAACTTGAATGAGTTCGCGAACCAGCATGATTGGACCATGGGAACAGGGTTTTACGGGGGGTTTTATGGAGTAAAAATTGGTTTTTCTAATTTTTTACCCTCTAAACACAAAATTTCCCAATTTCTCTCCGGACCTTTTTACAGAGCTTAAAAAAAGAAATAATTTAGTATATCAAAGTGTTTTTGTACAATTATTGGTTACGGAGAAAATTAAAAAAAAATGTTATTTTAAAATTCCCATGTTATTTTTATGGAGAATATTGTAAAATGTTGTAGTTTGCTTGTTTATGGATGTATTTTGATCAAACTTGGTAAATTGATTTATTTTATACAAAGTTATTCATATTTTACTAAAAACACACTTTTTACCCTCCCAGTAGCACCAAGCCTAGGTACTCATAAAACCTAATGCTAATTAAATACATTCAATTGAAAATCAATTTAGGCAAATGGAAATTCGCTTAGGCGGCAGGTTTGCTGCGGCGGGGGTATTTGTTATTCCTGGGTCTATGTTTCAGCTACTAATACAAATATTATTTAGGGTTTGTATGAAATATAATAGGCCTCGCCTAAGTACAATTTCTTAAAAACGTCATTATGTAATGTCACCAGAATTCTAGATTAGTTGTGCCTATTGAAAACTAAACTTAACCTAATTTAAAACAATACAGGTGTGAGACAAAAACTGCACAAAGAACATCTGTTTATATCTTTTACTCTTATTATTCATGTGTTTGTTTGGTCAGCTGTGGGACACAACACAGGCAAAGCGAGTACGAGTGATGACGGCTCACACGACTCGTGTCGGCTCCCTGGCATGGAACTCCTACATACTGACTAGCGGCGCACGCAGTGGTCAGATCATACACCATGATGTGCGCCAGCGAGAACATGCCGTTGCCACACTGGCCGGCCACTCACAAGAGGTATGTGTGAAAGTGAACAAATAAGGTGGAAAGAAAGTTTGGTAAACAAGTTGTGGATCAAATTAAATAATATTTGAGTAAATTTAGTTATTGGAGGAAAAAGTACTTACACAAGGATTACAAAAAGACTACTTGTGACTGATGCTGATAGAGATAAGGTCCACCCCCAAATCAATCATTCAGGGTCTTAAACATTCCAACAACCAGATGAAAGAGCAGTTGTCGGAGCTCTCAACTTTTATCAGCTGGTCTATCTATCATAGGAATTTAAAAAATTCCACACCCACCTTGCTACATGTTTTAGTCATCTCACTTGCATGGAAGTCTGGTGCGTACCACCATCTTTGTAATGATGTCTGTTTGTAGGTGTGTGGACTGAAGTGGTCTCCTGACGGCAAGTACCTGGCGAGTGGTGGCAACGACAACATGCTCAACATCTGGCCACAGGCTCCTGCACAGATTTACTCTCTACCCCAACCCCTCTACTCCTTCAGGTGAAATATCAATGAATCCTCCTCATTGTTGTAAATATGTTAGAATTACTGAAATGATTTACATTCCACTTTATCTTTATTTTGTTTATGTTGCTGTTCGGTAGATTTTTCTGACAAAAGATTAAAACATAGTTACACTATTTAAAACAGCTCAGCTATTACACTTACATAAAACAAAAAAAGTGTAATGACAGTAACACTCTATTGGTTTTGTACTGTATCTCACACAAGAAAAACTACCTGAAAGTAACAAATGTGCGATGACCATCCAGTAAATCGAGAGATACTTCTAGAGCAACTGGAATAAGGAAATGGATGAGATTCTACTGGAAAGTAGGATTTCGATTCAGGTTAGTTTTGATTGAAGTGCTTAAGAATTGTAAAAGTATAGACGTGTTATGATTTTGTTCTTTCAATGTGTATTGCAGCGCTCACCAGGCGGCAGTCAAGGCCGTAGCGTGGTGTCCGTGGCAACCGAGCATACTGGCCTCTGGTGGCGGAACTGCAGACCGACACATCCGCTTCTGGAACTGCAACACGGGAACTTGCGTAAACGCCATCGACACAAAGTCCCAGGTATGTATCATAATATTAGTGAAATATACTCTTTGAAATTTTGCTTGTTAGTGTCAGCGAATTTCACCTAAGACCTAGACGGAACTGATTTACTTTTTTGTTATGATTTCCCCAGAGGAAAACACGTTCAAATTCATTTATGTGTGTCGTGTGTGTCCGTTTGCTTGATAAATGATAACTCTAGTTTTAAAATGATCCAATTTTGATTAAATTTGCAGGGTGTCTAGAAGTCGGGAAAATCGGGAATTAGTATTGAATTTCAAAATGGTCTTGAAAAATCGGGATTTAGTCTTAAATTTGATTTCAAAGTCGGGAATTTTCATGATTTTGCCGCGATCGTCGTCTTGCGTTTACGTAACCGCGAAAGCCAATGATGATGTCTACACGGCCTCGGTAAATGTTCACGATTTTGCCGCGATAGTGGACGACGACGATGACGTTTCTGTGACAGCGATAGACGACGATGACGTTACCGTGACCGCGGGATACGACGATAACGTTTCCGTGACCGCGGGAGACGACGATGATGTCTACACGGTCGCGGGAAATGTTCATGATTTTGCCGTGATCGCGGACGACGACGATAACGTTTCCGTGACCGCAGGAGATGACGGTGATGTCTAAAAAGCCGCGGGAAATGTTCATGATTTTGCCGCGATCGCGGACGACGACTATGACGTTTCCGTGACCGCGGGAGACTACGATGACGTTTCCGTGACCGCGGGACATGACGATGATGTTTCCGTGACCGCGGGAGACGACGATGACGTTTCCGTGATCGCGGACGACGACGATAACGTTTCCGTGACCGTAGGAGATGACGGTGATGTCTAAACAGCCGCGGGAAATGTTCATGATTTTGCCGCGATCGCGGGAAACGACGATGATATCTGCTCGGCTGCGCGAAATGTTCATGATTTTGTCGCGATCGCGGACGACGACGAAGACGTTTCCGTGATCACCGACGACGACGATGACGTTTCCGTGACCGCGGGACACGACGATGATATCTGCTCGGCCGCGGGAAATGTTCATGATCTTGTCGCGATCGCCGGAGATGACGATGATATATGCTCGGCTGCGCGAAATGTTCATGATTTTGTCGCGATTGCGGGAAACGACGATGATATCTGCTCGGCTGCGCGAAATGTTCATGATTTTGTCGCGATCGCGGGAAACGACGATGATATCTGCTCGGCTGCGCGAAATGTTCATGATTTTGTCGCGATCGCGGACGACGACGAAGACGTTTCCGTGATCACCGACGACGACGATGACGTTTCCGTGACCGCGGGACACGACGATGATATCTGCTCGGCCGCGGGAAATGTTCATGATCTTGTCGCGATCGCCGGAGATGACGATGATATATGCTCGGCTGCGCGAAATGTTCATGATTTTGTCGCGATTGCGGGAAACGACGATGATATCTGCTCGGCTGCGCGAAATGTTCATGATTTTGTCGCGATCGCGGACGACGACGAAGACGTTTCCGTGATCACCGACGACGACGATGACGTTTCCGTGACCGCGGGACACGACGATGATATCTGCTCGGCCGCAGGAAATGTTCATGATCTTGTCGCGATCGCGGGATATAACGATGGCGTTTCCGTGACCGCGGGAGACGACGATGGCGTTTCCGTGACCGCGGGACACGACGATGATATCTGCTCGGCCGCGGGAAATGTTCATGATCTTGTCGCGATCGCGGGATATGACGATGGCGTTTCCTCGACCGCGGGAGACGACGATAACGTTTCCGTGACCGTGGGAGACGACGATGACGTTTCCGTGATCGCGGGAGACAACGATGATGTCTCCACGGCCGTGGGAAATGTTCATGATTTTGCCGTGATTGCGGACGTCGACGATAACGTTTCCGTGACCGCGGGAGATGACGATGACGTTTCCGTGACCGCGGGAGAGGACGATGACGTTTCCGTGACCGCGGGAGATGACGATGACGTTTCCGTGACCGCGGGAGACAACGATGATGTCTCCACGGCCGCGGGAGACAACGATGATGTCTCCACGGCCGCGGGAGACAACGATGATGTAGTCTCCACGGCCGCGGGAAATGTTCATGATTTTGCCGTGATTGCGGACGTCGACGATAACGTTTCCGTGACCGCGGGAGATGATGGTGATGTCTAAACAGCCGCGGGAAATGTTCATGATTTTGCCGCGATCGCGGACGATGACGATGACGTTTCTGTAACCGCTGAAGTCAATGATGATGTCTAAACGTACGGTACGCGAAAGATTTCATGATAACAAAAACCAAATTTGCTAGTTAGAATTTTTTATTGCTGCATTGTTTCTTTACTTGAAAACACCACATTATCATATAACTACTTTATGACAAAGACAGGGGTTGGTGTAGTATTATTTAGAAAATTTGGTTAATCTATAAAAATTGGTATCGGTATCAAGAATCGAGAATCGATACATTTTGGTATCAACACCCACTAATTTTTGTAGAAACAAGTCTTGAAAAATCTGGAATTAGTCTTGAAAAGTCTGGAATTAGTCTTGAATTTTATAATGGAAATAAACTAGACACCCTGAATTTGGTACCACCTTGTAAACCTTAATTTATTTGAATGAGTTTGCTAACCGGCTCGATTGGACTATGAAAGTGTGGGGTATATAGGGATTTTATGGGGAGTAACAAAACATAACATTATTTCATTTCATAAAACACCTTTGGGGTACCTATAGACATGCAAAATAATTTTGTCCTGTGATGTTGTACGCAAAGAAAATGGTTAGGCAAAACTAACCTACTCCACCTACCAATGTTGCAAGTTCTAACACATTCTTGGCTGTTGTTGTGTTGTATCAGAGTAGATTGATTAGCCTGATTCTGAAGCAATGGCTTAGAATTTCCATATTTCTCACCGCTTACCCATGATAAAGGTTGTTGATGAGCTACAGAAAGTATGTGTCAGAATGCCGATACCGTTTATTTTTTATTGTTTTTGCTTATTCTCATGTTTTGTATCTTATATTGAAATCATGAACATATTATCAGTTCCAAATTGTAACCTTCGGCAAAGTGTTACATGTTTTGGCGAGCTGCCATTGCCAAACACCAGCAATGTTGCGTACCCGTGATAGGCCTATCAGACATAACATATTTATTTATATGATGTGCGTGTTAAATGTGTTTGTTGTGTATTGCAAACGATGCTATCCAGGCAGAATTAATGTAGGTATTCCTGGAATGAAGTGTTTTTTACCTTTACCTAACATAAATTATTGTTATCCTAGGTGTGTGCTTTGCTGTGGTCAGCAAATTACAAAGAAATTGTATCTGGACACGGTTACGCCAATAACCAGTTGATCATCTGGAAATATCCTCAATTGACTAAGGTAATTTACACGCAGTACTACTACTAAGGTAATGTAGTTATTTGGCTAGTCAGATTTGTTCAAATAAAAACCCAGTTAAACTGAGAATTAATAATTCATTGCTTAACTGACATCCTCATGTTTGCCAATCTCTTGAAATTCTGTATAAATTTACTGATGCTTCGTTAGAGTGAAATATTATTATCAATTATATTTTGTCTGGTATGAATACTACGCTTATTCATTTTCACACAGGTTTTCATTGGTGATTTTACTTTATTTTTTTTTTTATTTGAAACTCGCAGAAACTTAAAAATAGGCAGGCGGTTGTAGGATGCATGTTTTTGTTTAGGTTTAGAGTAACAAATCTACAATGTCACGTATTTAGTGACTCCCTACGTTTGTGAGTAAGCACACAAATACTATTGTACATTTTGTGATAGTAAAGATATTATTTATATTATTTTTTGCCCAGACGACAGAGCTGACAGGCCACACGGCGCGAGTCCTGCATCTCGCTATGTCACCTGATGGAACCACAGTGCTGAGCGCCGGCGCCGACGAGACGATCCGCATGTGGAAGTGCTTCATGGTCGACCCGGCCCGGCGCAAGGAACCTTCCGAGTCCAAGGCAGTCACTAGTATCCTCAAGAAGGGCATCCGATAAGACTGAACGAGATATTGCATTTATTTAAGTGGCTTTTTATGATTGAATCCGACCTAATGTGTTGAAGTGACAACAGATCAATGTTTCGAAGTTTTTACTCATTTTATTCACTGAATTTTTTTTTATATAATATTTTTTATTTGTAGTTTAAATTATTACATCAAAACCCTTGTTTTGTCTATTCAAGGAAATTTGTTATATAAAAGTGTATTTTTTTTAAATTTTAATCTTTGTATTATCAATAAATGTGTCAAGACTGTTATTGTTTATACAATTGGTCAGATTCAAGAAGGACTCGAAACGGTTTATTAACGCAGACACTGCAACTGTTGTGTTCTTAGTGTTCCTGATTTTACATGTTTTGTATTTATACTTTGTATTTATGTGTATTAAAACAAGGCTTGCCCTGTCTAGACTTGAGTCATGTTGCTTTGTATGATTAGCTAGTAAGTTTTACATGTGTTATATTATTTCAATAAATATTGACAAAGAGAAAAGAAAACAAGTGTTATATTTTTGCCTTTGTACAAAAATAGTAGTTTACGCAATGATTGTGTAAAGAAAGTTTTGTTAACACTATTTACGTGAGCTGTGTACACTAATTTACCTTTACCTAAAATCACTACTCATAACTTCTAAGAGAGGTTATGTTTTCGTTTGATGCAACGAAACATTGTACCAAACACTAATTGCACCACTTGACAGTGAAATTGGCCTGAATTAAAGTTCGAATCGTTACTATTTTCTTCTCTCTCAATCCTTGAACCTCATTGATCCGTTACCCTTGTTTTTATGAGTAAAACTATGCTGTTGAAAGTAAACATGCTGTTTTTGTGAAACTTTTCAATTCTATTAAGATCTGAACTTCAACGGCTACTTCAAAAATGGTCTTAGGTAAAATAGTTTTTCATGTGGTTATTTGAATTGTAATATGAAGGTATTGTTGCATCACAATTTAATATACAGTGTGGCTGAAAAGTCCCAGAACGGTGTAATATATTTTTTACCTACAGTAATTTTTTTTACCTACAGTAATTTTTTTTATCTACAGTAATTTGAGCAGACAGGTATTAAATTGTACACTTGGATAGATCTTTAACAATTTTGTAATCTCTTTATTTACACTATAAAATTATTGTTCTAACTGTAATTTTATTGTAACCTACAGAGGTTACAATTTACAAATAACAAGCTTTTCTACAAAGTAAATGCAAATTATAAGGTCCAGGAGAGAAATAAAGTATACAACTTATATTCAACAACACAAGCTGGGTCAAAAAACGTCTCTTCTGTACAAAAATAAATGTGAAACGATGAAAAATTGCGCAATGTGAGGACTACTTATCAGACAAATCTGCAACACAAAACATATTGTGAATTTATAAATAAATTTTAAATTATTATTTGGGTTATAAGATTCAAGATTCTTTTTGCTCTTGAACATGAAATAAAGTAATAGACCACGTCAGATTATTTTATACACTTTCAATTCAAGATGAAATTGTAATATTATGAAAAGTTACTTATTTTAATATTTAAACATGTAACAAAAAATCGGCAATGAAGTTCCTGGGTGGTTACAGTGATTTCATAACCTTTAGAAGGCTACCATTTCGGGTCTGACTTAGCGGAGGTAAGATTCGATTGAGGCATTAGTTCAAAATTCCTCCGTGAACAGCGCTGTAGTAGAGAGCATTTTGGCAATGAAGGTTTACTAATCGCAAAATAGTTCTGTTCATAAAATAAAATTATAAATGCCTCAAATTAAATTTTATAATTTTTTTTTAACATTATTATTATAACCTAACCTAACCAAACTTGCTGATAATGAAATAATATAAAAAAAGTTTATTAATGGAAAAAATAATTCTGTTCATTAAATAAAACTAGAAATTGCTCAATTAAAATTTTATAATGACTTAATAATAAAATTAAACTGTCATAACCGAACCAAACCAACCAAACTTGCTGATAATGATAAATCTTAGTCAAAAAGTTTGTGCCACCAGCGGGATTCGAACCCGGGATTCTCAGCATATCAATTCTAAGAAAAGTCTGAAGCTTTTCCGTTTTTGATAGCCCCAACCTGAACCCAGCTCTTCCCAATCATTTAGCTGAAATAAATTGTCCTGACTAATGAAACAGCAGAGATAATCTTGTTTTTCTTACTCCATTCTAAACTTGCCCTACATTAATATTCAGCTAAGAATGCACACCCAAGTATACATCACTGTCAAATGATTAATTGATTGTAGATCTTACCTTAGTTGTAGATAATGTCGTACACGGATCGAGGAAGATGGTCCGCCACCAAAGCTTGAACTTTCTCCTGCTGAGTAACTGGGGTGTATCGAGCGAGAGGAAATGTTCGGCTTACCGCGTCTACGAGGGATCTCAGTACTGGGCTCAAATCCACATCCTGTAAAAACATATGAATAATTGTCTCTAATTTTACAATTAAATTAGCTTTGAAACAAACTCTTTGTCTCACATTAATAAGTACAAAGTAGAACATATAAGTTACGTAATGATTTGATTTAAGGAAGAAAAACAGCGTAGGTGGATGTGCTTTGAAGTTTGAAAACAATTTGTTGTTTCAAACAAATACTAATACTGCATATATTATATTCCTAATTTTTTTTATACACAAACGTGATAAAATTTGGATGAATAAGGTGGGGTCCTAGCTCTTGATAGGTTTTAGTTTTAGGAACATGAGTGATAAAATTAATTTTACTATTGTTTCTGTTTCTATAAAGCAATCTTACCAATAAACTTGATTTCCTGGTATTTTGTCCAATTAATGGAACAGAGATCTTCATTAACTTACCGTTGGGGCGTTGTATTCCGGCATGGATCGTACTTTGTATTCGAAGTAGTCTTCACCATAATCATATCTCACTTCTTCAGACATCTCTTTCCACATTGTTTTAGCTTCCTCTAGAATAGCTTTGTCATCGAACCAGCTTGCTATAACAAAAGAATGCTTACGTACATATAAATAAAGTGGTCCTGTTTACGAATCAGCTGAAAACAACTTCTTGCTTTCCGGAAACCTGCCTATTCTTTCTTCAATTTCAGTTCAATGGAATATTTTATTCGGTTTAGAATTATTCTGGCCAGCACTTTGCTTGGAACTGACCAAAGTGTAATGCCTCTCGAAATTGTTATAAATTTGTCATATCCCCTTTCTTTGGTATTTTAACAACTATGACTTTCTTCCACTCATTTGGAGTTCTCTCTTCTAAAAAAAAAGTCTGGACAGACAACACTTAAAAGATGACACATGAAGCATTTTACAACAATAAGTTTGGTCAAGTACTCAAGTACAATTTTGGAGCCGTTGATGTACTAGTACTAATGAGTACAAATCAATTAGTCACTACAACTGTACTGGATTGTTTTATGGTATCAGGTATCACAGGTAAAATAACCCTTGCACTTATGTTTAAGAGTTGCTATTCTATCATGAAATCATTGTGAAGGAATAACGACTACAAACCTGTGCTGGCAACCCCAGGTTCGACAACCACCACGTCAACTCCCCATCTTCTCATCTCTAGCCGCAAACAGTCGCTGAACGCTTCCAAGCCGAACTTGACTGAGCAAAATGGAGACTTTGCAGGTGCTGCGATTCGTCCGAGCAGACTTATCACATTGATGACCCTTCCTGTAGTGAACATTAACTAATGTAATGATACATATTCATAGCAATGTTTGTTGACTGGACGAATAACATTGTGGTTAACAAAAGGACATCCTTCTAAAAACTTGTTACATGTGAGAGTTTTAGGTACAGGTAGAGTAGAGTTTTGATCATCTGATGTTTGATTATCCAAACTTCCATGTTATTTGACCCTCTCTCTGAACTATTGACTACCACGAATGACATGCTAGTTTCATGTGGCGTGACTGTAACATCTGTGGTGTGTCTAGATAGCCCCTGTCTCCTCTGTACTCAGAAGACATGCCAGTCTTTAAGGAAACTGCGGTAGAGTTTGACTAAACTTTGGTAGTTTTCACACACTGTATACCTCACAGATGGACAGCACATAACTCTACATACCTAGTAAATACCTCTATGTTACACCTCATGTCTCATGGTGCTTAGTGGCCCAGGATCACTTGTAGAATTGAATGGTTTAAGTTATCCGTCCGTCCGTGATCCTACTGTTGACAATGACGATCAGTTTTGAGATTAAAATCTGTACTCCAAAAAATGTAGTCTTTTGAGACCTGATGATGAGATTTTAGTTTTTAAACTTATTGCCATTGACGACAGTAGGATCACCGACAAGTACCTTAAAAACCATTTAACCTCATGTCTCAATTAATTGTGATGCAAGCGACCTGTAGTTGAAGAATGAGAATTGCTTTAAATTATATTTTACAGCTATAGCAAATTTAATTTTCTGTTTTATTTATCTTGTACTAGCAGAGTACCCGTCCTTCGTACGGGGTTGGCATATAAGTATAAAATGATTATTGCAGTTATAATCAAGCTTTGCGTTTGCAATGAGGGAGGACACAGATTGATAAAATTTGCTTCTTTAAATTTACAGTATTCTATAGTATTACAAATCTACCATAGCCATAATGGTAACCACTTCACCTGAACGATGGAGAAAAATAAATGATCAAAAATTCGCAAAATATCACCAATTATTCATGAAATTAAAAACATAAACATAACTGTAAACAATCCTACCTTGACAGGTAGTTCTCATAGTGTATCACAGTTTTTTGTTGCTGCTTAGTTTAAATTAGCTGTTTTCATAAATGCAAAAAATTATGATGCTGCAGCCTGTTGGTAAATTTTATATCTTTTTAATGCTTTTGCATATTATAGAACCAACTTTAACTTTTTTTAGTTGAATCAGCTGACTATAAAATCTTTAATTCACTTTAAATATGTAACATATTTAACATGGGGAACTACAGAGCCACTGGGGCGAAGCCCGAAAGGTTTTTCGAGATAAGAATATGCCTATATGTTAATCGGGAATGTGAGCTATCATCATGCCAAATTCCAGCCCAATCCATCCAGTAGTTAATGCGTGATTGAACTTCAAACAAACAAACTTTCACATTTATAATATTAGTAAGATTTACTCATCTAGTTTACAGCGTTCAAATTTAAAACATGTAAAGGATAGCTTTCAAACGAATACAATACCCATATACAACTTGGATGGTAAAAACAAAACTTCATCATGAATATCCCACAAATTAATATCTAAACCTTATAAAACTACAAATGTTCCTAAACTTTATCAAAAACCTTGACAGACGCTGTGTATGGAGTTTGATTTTTCATCAATAAAAGTCTTTTCCTGAAAATGCAAGTACTTACCTTTCGTTTTTCTAATCTGAGGCAGAAACAGCTGAGTGATTCTGACGGTACTTATGAAGTTCACATCGGTAGATTTTTTAAATATATGAATTGGAACCCACTCAATCTCACCAAAAGCTGCCCATGAAACATTGTTCACCAATGCCCAGAGTCCTTAAAAAAAAAACAACAAAACTTTAGGTAAGAGTGGTACGAAACTAGGTTTTAAATTTTCATCTAGGTCCAACAATTTTTTACACTAGGAAATCTTTAACAACACAAATAATGTGGGATTTCACATAATCACTTGATTAAGGTAGCTATGGTATAGTGTAATTTGTGTAATGAATGAGGTCAAAAGTCTACTGACTTCTCAGCATTGAACCAATTACACTCAGTAATGTGACAGACACTATAAGTACTCAGCTATCCATGGTTTATTACCAATATCAAGAACTTTCATACCTTGAGGAATGTGGTTCTTGACATACAGGACAGCTTGAAGTATCTGAGATTCCGACGTAGGGTCAAGCTGGATGATGTGAAGTCTTCCAGACGATTCCTCTTTGAGTTTAGCGGACTTCTCGTCTTTCACAGGGAACCCAGCTATCACTGTGAACCCCTGTAATAAAGCAGAGGTGCACTCAGACCATAAACAAACCATTGAAGAGGATATTTACCATTAATCTATCAAATGTAATTAAGAGTCCTCGGAGGCTAGCGGCCATCTTTGATGAGAACAGCTGCTGAAGAGTTATTTATACCAAAAAAATATTTTTCAAACACCAAAGTGATAATTTAAATATCTAAGACACTGTGAGATTGGAGATCTTTGTAGATTTTAAAATGCTTTATAAGTTAGCACGTCTAGGCTCTCCAAGGACACTTAAAGCACCAAATGTATTTAGATTTAAAATTTGATATCAAGACTTTCAATTGACAAATATTTTTTGGAGGGCCAGGCTTCTTAGCCATGTATTTTCAGCGCAAAGGTCACATTTCACATTTATGAAATATACTACTGTAATTTTCATTAGGAAACACGGGGCTAAGAATACTTCAAAAAGAGCTAAAAGTCTTTGTTAAAATATTGCCAAACAAACCCAGTTTTAGTTAATATTACACTTTCTGTATTTTAGATTATTACCAGGTCATCCAACTGTCTAGCGATGGCATAACCGATTCGAGAGTCGCAACCTGTCACTAGGACTGCCTTTCCTGCTGCCGTCACCTATACAGGACAATTGTTATTACCACACAGAAATCCAGTATTAATAAAAGGTTAAAATACCGGTTATAACTGCTGGGTGATATTGTTTTCCGGTTATACAACCTACTAGTTTGGGCACATCAGTTCAGTCAGTTTATAGATCCAAGGTTTTCTGTTGAGTTTTGAGTTTAGCTAGCTTGTTGGATAAATTAATTACAAGCCAGAGGTCTTAATAGATACAAAGAAACAAAAATGGTCAGAAAAATATTTATTGTTTTTTTTTTACGTATCTAGCACTAGTTTATTAGTACTAGAAAAATACCTGCACAGTTTTACATAGCCTTTTATTGTGTATCTCTAACCTTGCTGTCTCAAATTTTCTCAGGTAAATTATCTGAAATATGTACCTTAAAAACCCCATTACTGCACAAAAATAGTTTATAGACAATTTTTTTATTTCCCATCTTAACTATTTCAAGATAAACATTTAAATACAAAATTCCTCACATTTAAAGAAGACATTGTTGCAAATTTTAACTAATTCAGAACCTCAGTAAATATATCATTTAAAAATTAAGTAATACGAGGTGTTAGCCCGTTCTACGTACGGGAATTCAGTAGTCAGTTAAAACCAAGTACAATTCAGATCAGCTAGTTTACACATAAAAAGACAAAGTTTCTTGCGGTTAGAAATAACACACTCACACAAGCAACCCTGATTTTACCTGTGATTTCTGATACTATTTCCAAATACCTACTATTTGTAGGTATATCCCTTTATATAAAAAAAAAACTACACAATGAAAAACTTTGGCTCTAACAACATTATGCAGGGTGTATATATATTACCAAGTTTATAAATAAATACATCCAAACTAAAATAAATTGGATCAATTTCACCCAGTCAAAATCAACTATCAAAACCTTACTATAAATCAGAAACGTAAATTGAAATAACTATCCCACTTACCTTCAAATTATGGTAAAATATCGTAGATCCAACACTTATCACTAGGAACCAGAAAAACAGAGCGAACATTGACACTTGGGAAATGTAAAGATTGTTTAAAATCGTGGACAAAATTATTGCGGCCGCATGGGAAAACACTATGGGCAGAAAACATCGGTCGACCAGGTCCCATGGTAGTTCTTCAGGCTTTTTCTGAACTGGAATTTTGGATTTTGTTTCGGGTTTCATTTTTGTACGGGGTATAGGTGCTGAGATGGCAGCAGGGCTGGTTGCCAAAAGAGACGACCCAAATCTATTTTTGCGGACTGGCACTGAATCAGACTAATTGAGCTTACTCCTGGCAATTTATAATCAGTGTTGTTTTAATTAATTGTTTCGGAACACAATTAATCACCTTGTTAATTTGTCAGCAGTGAAGGGTTAAGCCCATTATGTTTGAAAGAATGAGGAGTGAAACTAAAGTGAACAGAATTTCCATACTATAGTGTTCCTAATTTGAATGAATTATTTTAAATACCTATGTTGTACATTATCTTTACTATATATAATTGTAAAATAAAACAGTATAAACTAATTACATTTAGGTTTGTCTTTTTGTACATTTTTATTTGATATTGAAACTTCTTATGTTTTATAAAGACTTGCAACTAGAGGCCAGTGTTGGTTTAAAACATAATTCAACTTTAAAAATTGTAAGTATTATCTCATTTAAGAGTAATTTTGGTGCTTTAGGGGGGATATTAAACCTGATTTACTAGAATATAATGTACATATTAAATAGTCTTACATAATTTAGTTAATTTATATGGCTAGAATTATGAAATTCTGTACTAATTAATTTTAAATTTAATTTTACAGTACTTTTAAATGCTGATAATTATTTACCTAATACAGGAAAATGAGAAACTTTTAAGTTTAAGTTGATGGTTACTTAAATCCTTTGACACAATTTTTAATTGTCCCAACAGACAAAATAGAAAAATAATACTGTGTCGATGAACTTGATTAATACTTTAAGCTCTCTTATAAACTTCTTAGTTACTTTTTGTCTATCAAAAAATTTACATTATTAAAGAGAATAAATCAGTTTGAAAAGTAAACGAGCATTGGTTATAGCATTATGAATCATATTTTTATTCCTATAGTGAATACAAAGCTTACATTACAAACCTAGCCTATAATAATGAAATATCTTATCATTTACCTAACAATGAATACAGTACTTTAAAAATAAACTAAGGATCTAAATCTCCTAAATGACCACTATATCCTATCAATACATATCTAAAGAAATTCTTCAGTTGAAAATATGAAAAAATGCTAAAAACATTAACAAAAACATAAAATTTTCTGCTTTGAAAACTATTATGAAGAATCAAACTAAAATCCCTAAAATTAATCCCGACTCAAAACTATAACAAGTAACAGTATTATTTTACTTATTTTTACAAGAATACCGCTGATTATAGGTTCTTTATGCCAGTAACAATAGTGATGGCAATAATTAAAATAACATTTGTAACATAAAACAATGTTAGAACAAACCTATCACTATTTGTCAGCCAACAAATAAATGGGAGAAATTATATTTTTTCACTAATTTAAAGCTAGTCATTTAATCATCTTAACATAGACTAAATCTAATCCTATAAATAAGTATAAATTGTATTAATAACTGTACTTTATGAACTTGTTCCCTTTCATTAAAAAAGTCCTGGGTACTGCTCTGCCATTGGGGAGAAAGCTATTGGAGAAACATCACTAGATAAGTGAGAAAATGTCGGGCTCTCATTGTAGTCAATATCTAAACAAAATCAAGATCTTGTTAAGATTGTCAAAGGTAAAACTCTACCAATTAAAATAATTAAATCGACAAAAGATGTTGAATTTGCATAGTATTGTGTGTGTAATGCAACTGTTTCATGGTGGAAAAGTATATATCTCGTAGCTGGATATTATGTTCAATAAAAATACAACACGTTGAAATGTGTTGTTTTAGTATAGACATCTACGATGTCAAAATTTTAAACATAATACTGTTTTACAGTAATAAATTAGAGCCAGCTAAAAAAGTTCCGATGCTGTGTCAAAATCTAAATGTATATTTGAAAGTGTTTCTTTGGCCTAGTGTTGATGAAACATACTATTACAGAGACACATGTTAATTAAAGGGTATTTCAAATCATAGATGTAATCCGTCTAAGCTGCAGAAAGCGATGTTAGCGTAGGAAATTATTAATGAGAATTCACACAAGTCACAACACCACTGGTTTGCCCATGCCTCTTAAATTGTAATACACTATTGTCTTTATTTAGATCACCATAAAAAGATCAACATTCTAAACGAACAGTTAAGGTAAAAGAATGTGTCTATTGGCATCGCCTACAACTAAGATTCGGGAACAAAGTAGCAACATTAAACAAGAGTACTCACCTGGAATTGGCGAATCATCTTGGTCTGATGTTGGTGAATACGAAATGTCTTCTGGTGAGTGAAGATTGCTTGACAAATATTCATTTGTTTCTGGAAAATCAAACAAATCTAGTTTTTTTGATGTCACGTATCTTTTTGGGGGTTGGTAACTTGTTTGTGGATTCGGCCAAATAGGAGAGAGCGAATTCTCGTTTCTTTCACATTCAAATGTTTTCTCTGGACTGCCGAAGTTTGAGGAGGAATTAGCTTGAATCACATTAAAATATTGATCAGATAATGGTGAACGCAAATGACCGTGCGACAAAGATTGCTGAGGAGATGGTACCGGTATAGAAGTCTTTGCTCTTGGCTGGTGACTATGGGTAGAAGACTTCAAGCTATAACTTGACAAATTTCCACCTGGAGAACTGAGATCATTGCTGCTATTATGATCTGAAGTGTATTGTGAGAAGTCAATTTCTATGAGCTTCGAAGAAGAAGAAGGTGTCATCGTACATTTTGGTGCACTTGATGGTGTATGATTACTCACTTGTCTAGCAGAACTGGTGATGGATTTCTTTTCCCCAACTCTGCGCTTTTGAGACAAGTAAGGTGTCAAAGTCTGTTTGATTGACTTTGAATCGAACTTGGATAAAGTACTGCTTACTGATTTGCTTTTAAAATCTCCTAGTCCCATTATTTTTTCCACAGATCTCATCTTTTCATCAATAATCTCTTGAGAAAGACCAAAATTCATAGTACTTGATTTCATATTTGGAATCATTGGTTCTTTTATTAATGATCTCCTTACCTCCCAAGAATTAATCTTGCTTCTCAGTTTAGGTTGACACAAATCCAGCCGTTGACGTTTGGCCGTGTTTAATGTGGAGTTTGATTGTGATTGGTTATCAACTGATTTTGTTACACTTTTCTGATTGCTTTTGCCCAGTAGCATGTCAAAGACAATTGATTGAGGTGAGGAGGAAATGTCCCCAGCTGATCTGGTTCTGAAAAAATCAAATGATTCAAACTGAGTCACTGACAACTACCAAATTACAACCTACGGGTTTTTACATTCATTGAGATTTCAACTAATTACATAGAGGGAATCACTTGAAAACATTTACAAAAACTAATTCAATGTCAACAAATAAAAAAATAGATTACACAAACAACAGGCTGTAGGTAATAAAATTCATTAGCATTATGTAAATTTAAAAAATTAACACTTTTTAGCGAATTTCCCATATAGGGAATAAGCTATTACCGTAGGTCTCATGGTAAGACCTAGACCCGGGACCGATTTACTTTTTCGTTTTGAGGTCCCCAGAGGCCAAAAACACCATCCGTTCAAATTCATATATATATATACTAGCTGACCCGGCGAACTTCGTATCGCCTAAGTTATAGGTTTCCCCTAAGACAGACCGATGGAAAGAAAGTACCGTTACGTTTAATTTTCAAGATGATCTCGTTTGCATCGCTCAATCACGTCCTGGTTGAAGTTCGTTTGCTACGCTCACTCACCTTTGGGTTGGAGCTCGTTCGCTACGCTCACTCACCTTTAGGTTGGAAATCGTTCGCTGCGCTCACTTGCCTTCAGGTTAGCTCGTTCGCTACGCTCACTCGCCTCCAGGTTGAAGTTTGTTCGCTACGCTCACTCACCTTTTGGTTGCAAATTAGCTGTTGTCATAAATGTAAAAGAAATAATAGTGCTGCACCCTGTTGGTAATCCTTGTAACTTTAATGCTATTGAACATCATAGAACAGAACCAACTTGTTTAATTGAAACAGCTGTTAAGATTCATTAATTCCATTTCTCATAAGGTTAACATGGGAAACTCCAGAGCCACTGGGCAGAGCCCTTTTAAGAATTTCGAAACGGGAAATAGTTTACGTCCGATTCGCATACCTACAGAATTTACACACCAAATTTCATAACGATCGGTGAAGTCGTTCCGGAGGAGTTTGCAGACAAACACTGTGACACGAGAATTTTATATATTAGATATATATCAATAAATTAATAACTTAAAAAAAAAGGTACTAAATGTTTAATTATTTATTTCATTTATTAATAATAATAGTAGCCCTCAATAGTGAACGATATATTTATTCAATATATATATTTATATATATATATATATATGTGTGTGTCCGTTAGCGCGATAACTCGAGCAAAAATGATCCGATTTTGATGAAATTTGGTACAAAAGGGTAAACCTACGTTTATTCGAACGAGTTCGCGAACCAGCATGATCGGACCATGGGAACAGGGGTTTATGGGGGGTTTTATGGGGTAAAAATAGGTTTTTCCCATTTTTGACCCTAAAAACTTAAAATTTAGCAATTTCTTTCCAAACCATTTTGTAGAGCTTAAAAAAAACAAATAATTTAGTATATTGAAGCGCTGTTGTATGCCTAACGGTCACGGAGAAAATTAAAAAAAAAGGTAATTTAAAATTCACTTGTTATTCTTATGGAGAAAATGAAAACTGTTGTAATTTACTTGTTTATGGATATAATGTTGATAAAATTTGGCAAATTTATTTATTTCATCCTATACTATTGACATATTGTCAAAAAACACTTTTTACCTTCCCCGTAGCAGCAAACCTAAGCACTCGTTAAATCTAATGTTATTTAAATTGGAAATATATAACTTATGTTTTATTTATGGAAATATTTTAGTAAAAATGTAATCAGACAAGTTGAAATTCGCTTAGTTTGCAGGTTTGCTGCGGCGGGGGTATTTATAACTATAACATGTTTATGTCAACTAACCATTTGACTTGTCTTAAAATCTTTCTTACGTTGGGAAAATCAAAATAAAAAACTTCATTGGATATAAATATAATCGTTAAATAAATGTAACATAATGTCCCTGCCCTTCCCTCTTTACTGTCAAAACGGTGGCTAAGAAATGTTATATGTTCTTGAGTTATTTAAGCTGTAATATTACCTAACACAACTTTGAGCCAAGATTACTATGGTTTATCACGAAAAAAAGGTACAAAGACTAGGGCAACACAAATTATCATAGTTCAACTGAGTTTTATCTAGAAAAAGCAACTGTTGAGGAGGAATACACTTGATTTTTTCACCAGAAGAGTTTAAAATTTTTATTTTCAAAGACAATTAATTAGCTTATTATTGATTGAGTTAGCGACATTGCAAAATCTTACCCTGGTTGAAGTGAATCAGTTGAGTCAAGTTTGATGTTTCCAATCACAACTGATTTTACAAAGTCAGTTGTCCAATCTTCAAATTTTCTTTTTTTGTCGGTTGATATGATTTCCTGTGAAGAAACAGTTTTAATTGCATTCTTAATTTCTGTACCCTCATTGTGGATCTTCCTGAAAAAAATGATGATACAGCTTTTAAAAAATTGTAAAATTCACTTGACAGAGCTTCAACATAACTGGAGTGTATGGAGGAACTTTCATCAGGATAGTTGTAAATTAGAGGTTAATTAAAATATCTAAAATAGGGCTTTTAAATTGATGCATAATACTTTTCCTAAAAAAGCATACAAATTTGTATTTTTTTTTTCATTTTTCAGAACAATTTTAGTTATATTGTTATGAGTAGGCCTAAACTTCAACGAATAGATTTTTATTTTTACAGAACGTCGTTAAGAAAGAAAAAAGTTATACCTAGTTAAAGAATTTTGAACTGTTTTAGTATTTGTTTAGCATATTTTTACTACTGTATAGCTCGTAGATCGTAGTCGTAGTATCTTTAAGTGTTGCCAACTTATTTTCAAGCGTACACTTATTAAGTGCCTTATAAAAGCACCATGTTTTGTGTTGTTTGGTTAGAATACTGGAGTGCGGCAAAGTAAAATGAGTGTGGCAAAAGTAGGTAAATGTAGAAATTAGCTACTTTGCGTGCTATAATCAGTGCAAGGAAGTCTGCTTTGTCAGGTAACTGTAGGAAAAACTGTTTTAAACCATTGTAGGATTTAGTGGGTTTTACCTTCAGCATACAATATACTTTATATACTTTTTAAACTATACAAAATACTTGTAAAGGCATTATATTAACTTGTAAAGGCAAAATACTTCCACTTACTTGGCATTGCCTATAAAAACATCTTCTTTTTGTTCATATTTCCAGCCATAACCTTTATTGGAGACAACCTTTTCATCTGAACTCAAGCCGTCTTTGATGTTTGTTAAAGCTCCATCACTTTCTAGTTGATGATTTTCATTTTTGTTCACAGTCTTTTGACTATTTTCAACTTTAGCATGTACTGTATTTATGTTTTCCAAAACTGATCTTTTCAGAAGTGTCTTTGTCTCATCTATTTTTGAATTAGGAAATTTATTGTTTTTATTTCCAATGCTTGGATCAAATCTTGAATTATCTGTTGATGTTTCTCCACCTGATATTGCAATGGGAAACTTACTATTTTGGTTTTCCGTGGTGGGAAAATATCTCAAATCAGCTGGCAAGCTTTCTAGATTCAATGTTTTTGACTGAAGATTTTTTGGCCCAGTTTCATTCCCTATGTTTTGACACCCATCATGATCATTTATATATGACTCTGCTTCTGTTTGTACGTTATTTTTTATATCATTGTTCACAACAATTTTTTGCTCAACCGTTTCAACATTTTTTACAATACGACCATTGTCAGATCTTGTATCTTTTGTATCACCACCAAGTTTTGTTTGGTGGGTGATATTTTCATCCTGTTTTAATGTAATTTTGGTACAAGTGGCTTCTTTTTGCTCGTCAGTTGCTACAACTTCCTTTTCTTTTGTTGCACCAGAATTCTCGGCTCCATCTAAATTTATTTCTGAAAAATTAAAAGTTTAAAAAAGTTGATTACATTTTGACAGATTAATGATAAGTCCTAAATGTAAAATGTTTTTTTTTTATGTAAACACCAAAATGAATTGAAAATAAAAATGCTTGTAAAGGTACCACCCTATCGATGTAGTCATCCATGGTATAAATGAATCCAAGAGATGAACTGACGTTCATATCCATGTTACAGCATGTTTTAGTAAACCAATCAAATGAAAAAAATCTTACAATAGGTAGAATCAGCATGTTGCAACATTACTTATATTTTGATGGAGTTAAGAAAATATATACCTAAATTCACAGCCAAACAAAATAATATTTATTTGGTACAACTATTGTTTGTATACAAGGATAAACCTTGTTATGTTATTATCTATATAAATAAAGTTAGAGTTTTGTCTGTACATTGCTCAGAATCGTAAATTTTTAGGTTATTTTTACGTTTTATACATTAAAGAAGCCGAAACAAGTCTCATCTAAATTTCTGTCTGTCTGTCTGTCTGTCTGTCTGTCTGTCTGTCTGTCTTTCTGTCTTTCTGCAACACTCAAGATGGCATTTTACGCAATCTTCTCCAGGAAAACGAGAGTACCTATCAAGACCCAAGTCATTTTAATGTATTCACTGGATTGGCGAGAGTGTCTTTAGCCATTAAAATATGGCCTCACTACTTTGTAATTAAAATTACGGACGTTCAAAAATGCAGTTTTGTGCGATTTTTGTCAAGTTTTCGTCCAATTTTTATCACATAATCATCTATGAAATAACGAACAGCTGTTCGGATCAAGATTATTTTTTCTAGCTGTCACTGAAATGTTTACAAATGTTGTTTACAAACACCGCAACCATTTCCGATCACGTTTTGAAGGCAAATCCCATCCAAGTGAGATTAAAAACGTTTTTCTGACATAACGGATTTAATTAATCGCAAGTGGAATAATATAGTGTAATCGTAAATTAAATAACTAGGCATCATCCAGGTCAGGAACCAGACATTCTTTGTGTATAAAATTGTTCTGGAGTTTTGATAACCAGAAAGAAGATATTGAATCAGTGTTGTATAAGGCTGGCAAACTTAAATTTACTAATGATCGTCACCAATAGCTTAGAAACAAGGTTCCACTCATTGACGACTCTTCAATGGCGGTTGTGTAAAGTGTGAAGTAAAAAATCACAACTGCAGAGGGTGATTGTAACAGAGGTTTACGGATGATGCTAAGCTCGGTTTTCCAATGTGTCACTTTCTGTTCCTACCATTGACTATATATAGTTAATAGTTCCTACTCACCGTGTGATGCAATCGCTGGACCATACAGCCAATAGGCCCATAGCCCATCTCTTGGGTACGTACTCTTACAGAATTATTTTTATAACAACCTTTTCGACAACGATCCTTGATACCGGTACTTTTCCATAGAATACACGGCCTACCTAGGTACTTAAGAAATAAAATTACAAACGTCCAAAAACCCAACGTTGTGTAATTTTTGTCACATTTCCTTATAATGTTAATAGATATACCAGCAATCATTGTTTAGAGAATACGTAATCTATTAAATAACAGAAAGTTATGTTGTATAAGGTTGTTTTTTTTTTTCAAACTGACACCGATAAGTTTACATTAAGAGTTGTGTACAAATAAAGCAATTAATGGGAAATAACTTTGATTGCCGATAACTTTTTATGAGAAAATCCAAAACCAAGAGATAAATAACCTTGATTAACGCATATAATTGGTCGGATGTACTACAGTTCTTAACTGTAAACGTTGTTTTTGGTACGGTACTGGTTCTTTTCCTTTTAACCATTGGTAGCAGCAAGAATCATTTTTACGTACCAACACATCACAGTAATTTACAAATTAGTTAGTGGTGTTGCACCTTATTTATTACAGGCGTAGGCCTATCCAATTTATTGATGTCTTAACTGTATATTTTTTGCTTTTTCTGTCTGGATTCCAAATTGTTAGTTTATGCTAAGCGATAACGCATTTTAGTAAAACATTTATTCAGCAAACCATCATGAATTGTTCAAACGCTTTGAACGTTGTTTATGTATCAATAGTTCGTGGTCTATTTTGGTAATTTTTACTATAAATCACCAATCTAAATCGTCTATAGTAGGCCTACTGTACTTCATTTCATATAGCAAACCGATTCAGATAGCATTTCGACAGAATTTCGGGTCATCTCCGGTCCAAGCAATAGCAAATATAAATTGTTATGATAAAATTTTATGACATTAACAAAGATTTCAAATACTAATTTTATATGTACTTTTTTATGCTTAAAGCGTAGCAAATTCCCTAATTAAGTTCTTTATTTTTGTGTGTATGTCTGTTGGTAACGCATTAATGTCCTTTATTTCTCAGTATTTCACGGAAAGGACAAGAGCACCTTGAAAATGAAAATGTCAACCCGAATAAAGTGTTAAATTATGAGTTTGAGGTAGTACCTTAAATACCTTTAACCATTATGTTATAATCCTTTAAATTCTGAACAAAATTGTACAAATCCCATTTCCAAAGGTTGTTGACAAACTTATGGGAGAAAGTATGTGTCAAGAATGCTGATACAGTTTTTTTAGTTTAATCATTGCATTTAACATATGGACCAAAAAGATCCGGGTGACATTTAATTGCGAAGCATTAGTTTTGGCTTGAAACTGTCAGATACTGTATTTGCGAAGGAATAGTTTTGTCAGCATATCTGAAAATATGCAAACCAACTGCTGTGCTTTAGTATATAAGAAGGTTTTAACTGACTATGATGAGATCCCCGTGCGTAGAACGGGCACACAGCTAGTTCTAAATATAATAAACATGGCCTAATATATGTATAAACAAGCATAAACAACATACACTCACCTTCATTGGCATTAAATTTGCCGCAGGAGCCATCTATGGAACATTTATTTGATTGTCCATACATGAAAAATATAGGCTTCACTTGAACTGGCCGGCTGGCAATTGTCTGAGAAACAAAGTCATCTGATACAAGCGGATTTAAAGAGCAAACATCATCCATTGAAGGCGATAACACATCTTCCTTTGCCATATTTTCCTTTTGTTTCATGTTAGAAATTGAAGTCTCTACTTGAGCATTAGAATCATTGATGACATCATCCTCCAAACTTGTCTCGCGTTCTTCTGTTTCATTACACAGTTCTATTGTTTCTACGTTTCTAACTGGTGGTGTTTCAACTGGTAAACAGATTTCATTGGAAACCAATGCATCATCTTCTAATTCCTCATCAAAAATATTATCAAATCCAACAAAATCATCTTCGGCACCTGAACTAATTGCTTCTACGCAGACCATAAGTTGTTCATTACTATTTGAATTGCTAATTTCATCAACATTTATATTACTGAAATTTTTTATATCCTGATTTTTATTTACCTGAGAACTATTTTCATGAAAATTTTGATTAGAAAATGTACGATTACTTGAAATATCTTGTTCATTAGAATTCAGATAACTTCTTTTGCTGTCCCTCTTTACATTTTCGACTGGCTTGTTCAGAAGCCAATTCAAATACATTTTTCTCAGCTGGTCTTTTTTGGTTGGTTCCAAAGTTGATTCCTGAGAGAAGTGCCTGGGATTAGAAGTTGCAGGAATATTATGATACAGAGAACTCTTTGTGGGAGTTACCTCTTTACAGTTGTTTTGAGCATTATGAAAATGAGATGGTGAAGAAACAGCACTGTAATTATTTCCTTCATTCAAATCCATTCTTGGGTTGGCTTGACTTCTCAAATCATCATAGTTTGATCTTTGTATAAAAGGGGTGTGTTGAGCTGATGTACCGGAAGCAAAACTGCTTGTATTGTATTGTTGTAAGGGGTTTCCTCTTTGGATCATAAGTTGACTTGGATGATGGGGTTCTTGCGTTTCAATGGCACTAAAATATTTATTTGATGCTGGTCGTGAAAGTATTTGTCTTTGAATCTCATTAGTAATTGTAGAAAAACTGTTGGCATTGTGTCCCGTTGTTCCTGAATCAACATTAGATGAATAATCATGAAACTCTGACATTTGATTATTCAAAGACCCTGTCTGTTTGGGACTTTTAGAAATTGTTTTATCATTGGATAAATTGAAGTTGTAGCCTGATGATTGTGAATACGATTCCTTACTCACAAATGAACGTGTACCATCGTTTGGTGTGAATGTGAAGGGACGTTCGTTGTTAATGTCTTTATTCATTAACCTACTTTCATTGTTCAATGTCCTAGCATACTCTCCAATGGAGGATTCTGCACTCTGTCTTTCTGAACATTTGGTAAAATAATTATTAGCTGGGAGTCTAGGTTGACTAAATGAAACATGAGATGCAAATTGATTTTCAATAGTTGATGACTCTTTTTCAGGGCAACCCACAAACTTTTGACTCCCTTCAAGATTATCATAATTTTGAATACTTTCCGGCTGCTGTGCTCCTGAGTATGACTGAGATAAGTAGTTCATGTTCCGATAGCATTCATCATTCCTTGTAGGTCTATTCTTATCGATACATACTCTGTCTTCATCAACTGAAGTTGATTGCCAATGAAAACTATTTGAGTGGTTAATCCAATCACGGTTTTGTACCGTACCATATGCATTGATTGGACTAGCTCTTTGACTATTGACTGGAAAATTCTCAAGTGTTTTTGAATGCATTGTCTGTTGGAACTTCTTGACTATATCTTTCTGAGAGTGTAGATTTGAATAGTCTTTTGACGAGTAATTACTTTTAAAATCTTGATTAGACAATGTATGTCCTCTATCTAGAACTTCTGAGGCAACTGGGATGTCTTTTCCCAATAGTTGATTTAGGTATTGTTTCCTTATGTTGCTTACCTCACCATTGTCTCTTTGTTCTGGTGAGTCGTTGATCCAATCACGGTTTTGAACTGACTCACATGTATTTATTGAACCAACTCTTTGACTATTGACTGTAAAATTCTCAAGTGTTTCTGAATTCATTGTTTGTTGGAACCTTTTAACTACATCTTTCTGAGAGTGTAGATAGTCTTTTGACAAGTGATTGCTTTGAAAATCATGATTAGACAATGTATGTCCTCTATCTAGAGCTTCTGAAGCAACTGGGATGTCTTTTCCCAATAGTTGACTTAAGTATTGTTTCCTTATGTTGCTTACCTCACTATTGGGTCTTTGTTCAGGAGAAACAGTGTTTCTATAAGAATTTGTATGGTTGAATCCATAATTTGTTTCCCTGGAATAATTTAAACAGTCAATTCCTTCCCTATTCGTACAGGTTGACTGCCATTTACTACCAATATATGGAGACTTGGCTTCAAGTTGGTTTGTCTGAAGTCTTTGACTATTTAATGAGAAGTACCTGTTAACTGGAACCTCGGATGAAATTTCTTCCTGAGAACTTCCATTTACATAAGTCTTATCACACCTTCGGTCAAAAGTTTGTGAGGCTTGATTGTTATTTTCAAACCTTTGACTCCAACACTGTTCATTTCCATAGCTTGAAACACCTTGGGTTTCTTGCTGAGAATTCAAATATCTACTTTGAAATTGTGAATGGTTCATTTGATTTGCTGGTTTGTGTGCAAAGGAATAAGGGTTGTCCTCTACATTTTGCCTAAGCTCAGGAAAATCCATATTCCTACATACATTTTGATCCAATCTGTAGTTTCTTTGTGGCAACTGTTGGGTCAGAAATATACTGTCTGGAGCACATTGTTGTCTGCTTTGGGTTAGAGCTTGTGACATGGAATAATTGTTACTCTGATGATTCGAGGATTCATTTGGCGCTTCGTCAAAAACATCAGAAAAATCAAAATCAGGACTATCTTCCTCATCGTTAGGAAATACATTGTTATTCGATTTAGGTTGGACTGCCACCTGTTCCTTTTGATGAACTGGAAGATTGTAATTTTGTGACTTCTCATCTGTAGTGTTGATTGTTGTTATCTGCTTGGATGGTTTGTATTCATATCTAGTCAAATCTACAGACCCTCTGTTTGACTTAGGATTTCCTTTATTGCGGTTCAAGGTTTGGTTTTGTTTTGGAGTATTTTGATTTTTCAAAGTCTGAAAGAAATCATATAGCAATCAGTGTAAAAGAGAAACAAAAATAATACTTCTATTACATAATTCTGAAGCTAAAGGAAATCTATGCACTAAATGCAACAAGTGGAAGATAATATAGTTGAATGAGACCCTCTTTGTGCTTTATTTTCTATTTTAATTTTTACTCTATGACAATTGATAAGACATATAAGGGAAAGAATGCTATATTTTAAAATCAGCTGGTATGATTAAATGTGTAATAAGGAAGGGAACGGTACCAAACAAACACTCTTTTGTAGGCCAAACAACTTTTCTTTTTTGCTAAAAATGGCTACATAAAGTATAAAGTACATCATTAATATGGAAATGGAATTTAAACCTCTCGGAAGTGTGTACACTGTAAACTTAAGAACTAATTCGGTTTATGTATGCCATGGAGTGTAGTTTAATTTGTTCATCCTACAAACATGCAATAAACTGTCTAATGATCGGTCATCAATGTAATGAGTGTGAGCATTCGTTTCACAGATAGTGGATACAGGCTTGGTGGAAGAGGCTCTACTGAATTGAATGGCGAATGCCTCTTGTGGAAGTTGATGGAATTGGTGGATTCTTTGGTAAATTGTACGTATCAAATCAGAAAACGTGCTAATTTTCACATATTCTTACTTATAGTGTTTTTGTGCTTAAGATGAGTGATATGATGAAAATAAGCATAAAGTCACTGATTGATCTATAGTAAGAGTGTTAAAACCAAGCATAATGCAACAATGTTGTCTTGAACACACAGGAGTGTGTCCTAAAGATGATGGATCAGTGAGGTTCTACTGTATTTACAAGTAGCAAATCAAATAACTCACTTTGGTATTGACAGTTTTCTGTACAACAGATCTATTGTTGGAGACTGCAGGTTTGGTCAGGGAGAGCGATGCCTTGTCATCAATGCCAACTAAAAGGACACACATTTTTACAGAATATTACCTTAGTGTTGCATGTATATGAATAAGCATAGGAGTAAAATTAGATTATGTGAACCTAAATTTTGCTAAATACTATAGTTTGCATGCAGTCCAAAATAATCACCAACATTATTACAAGGCAAAAATTTTGTTTGGATTCTACTATAAAATGTAGGTCCCTTAGTTGCCATTGGCTGTATGGGCTATAATTAACAGCTGTGTCTAAGGAATATGTCGGCCTTAATCACTAACAAGACTACAATATCGCACCACTCATCCTACACTCATCTCCATTCATATTTGGCTTAAAATACCTACATTTGTATGATCGCCATTTCAAAGGTATTAAAATATATGTCGTTGGATCACATTAATTGACAGTGTTACAAATGTTTTTCGGTCACAAGAGCATACAAGTAAATTGTGGAAATGATTTCTTCAAAAATGGTAAGTTTAGTCAGAATAAAAAACTGAAATATTATGGTTTTTTAAGTACGATTAAATCGAACAAAGATAAATTTTTGCAGGGATTCACTGCACAAGGGGAATTACTTACTTAATGGAGGTTTTGGACCATTTCATTATTATTATTATTAATATTTTTTTTTGCTAGAAGCTTTTTGTCATAATCTTAGCAATCTCCTCTGAAACCTTAACTGTAAATTTTGACTTTAAGGAACAAACTGAAATTGTATGCAAACAAAATGGATTTGGTGATGACTCATTTCAGAAAACATCGTAATTCAAAATCGTACATTGTAAAATTTTTATAGTATATTCTTTATCTAGTGCCATTACTAAAAAAACAATTTGTACTTAGATGCTTATAAATAAATGCATTTCAATTTAATTCCCTGCAAAAACATAAAATGTGCCAATGGAATGGAAAAACACATTCATTTTTTATCATTTCTTCAGTGTCTAAGCCATTTTTATGAAAGAATTGCAAATGCTTTTAAGGCAACTGACCCTTTTGCACCAACGCTTGAGATGCTAACTACTAGGCTGGCAATACACCAAAACCATTAGTCAGAATATAGGTGGTCTGCCTATGTAGTTTGGTTATTAATAAAAAAGATGTTCACTTTGTAAAAATGGTCTTAAAATATCTCGTTTTTCAATTTTATGTAGTACTTGATACTTTGTTGACCGTTAACTTTGTTAGTGAAGGTCAAGACTTACATTTTAACTATAATTGCTATAGACGTAGAGCAATAAAACATTTGAGCATACCCCATGAGTCACTGATGAGATATGCTTCTACAGAAGATGCTTCCTTGCAAACTTTCTTTGGAATTTTTGTCAAAAACTGCTTATTTGATGTCCAAAATGAATCTCTGAAAACATAAAAATCATAAACATCTCAATTACAATTTGTATATCAATAAAATAAAATGCAGGCAAAATACATTCTACTATGATGAACACACTATTATTTGGGCAAACATTCAAAGATATGAAATGACTAAATGGGAATACTAAAGAATGGAAAACTCGGAAACTTGTACAACAAAACCCGTCAAAACAGAAGTGTTGGCAGAGATAAGAAGTAGGAGGGTGAATTGGCTTGGCTAAGAGAAGGGGAAGAAACACAATTTGAAGAAAATTAACCAGATGGGAGGTGCCTGCACTAAGACCAAAATTGTAATGAAATTATTATAATAAGTATGTGAGAAAACTTGGAATAGACATTATGACAGTTTATATGGACAAAATAATGTAAAAGATGTATAATTTGTACTAAGTCTGATCAAAAGATGTTTAAGTCATATTATATGACTGACTTTTAGATACTAGCCCAATTTTTTCTCTAGAACATAGTTAAATGAGCCACTTTGATCATTTATGAGACATGAGAGATTTATTTACAGGAAATGTTTATTAAGCTTGACTTATTGCTTAACAAGTTGACAAATTCAACATATAGATTGAAATAAATTGACATCAACTGTTAGTAGCTCAACCCAACTATGTCCATTTTCATTCTAAAACTGCCTACAGATTTATGGAGGGGAAATGTGTAGTTGTTTTGTCAATAGTCAATGGATAAACTGTATAGGCTGAACAAGCTTTGAGTGAAAATTTAAAAACGTACGTTTTCATGTCCCTGGCCTTTTACTTCGTAGATACTGGATTTGTAGTTTATTATTATGTGTTTTAATATTTTTTGGGATGGGGGCAACATGTTACACACATTTATTTGGTTTTAAATAGGTTCTAGGTATTTTTTTCGTATTTTTAAAGTCTCAAAATTCACGACCGTGACGTGTCCCTAGGGTACATTTTCCAACTTTCACGCTGTTTTTAGACTAATTATTCATGCCGAAATATATAAAGCCATATTTTTATGTCATCAATGGTTATTAAACTTACAAAAAAGGAGCATTTTATAATTTTATTGTCATTGCAAACTGACTACCATAACAAAATAAGTCTGTCCCTCGATTTGGCGTCACGACCATTTGGGAAAAATTTTCAACTTTGAAGCCCGACAGTGGCAAGCCTGGCATCGATGGAGTCAGTTGGTTTGAGAGACTAGTTCGGGGTGTACGTCAGGATTGTAGTGCCGGTCGTTTCGAGTTGAAAGGAGGAATTACAAGATTAATAAAGGAAAGATTGTGTTTTTTTGTAATTTTGGTGTGTCCATGACCGTACGTAGTCATTCGATGAAGTAGACATGGTGTTAATTTTTGTTTATAAGATATTTCAATTGCTAGATTATTCTAGAAGTCCACTTTGTATCCTCGAACATGAGGTGCAGGGCTACCACCAGAACAGAGCCAAATAACACGTAATTTCACGACCAAAGTTTCACGACCATCGCGGGTTTTTTCACGACCAATCCAGCCTTATGGATTATAGTGTGTTTGGTCGTGACAATAACTTTAATATAATTGTGAATTGAACAGTTTAGTTCAATTGAAACACATATTTTTATTATAACTAACAGTATAATTGAAGGATTGCCTAGAAAGATTTAAATTATTCCAGACAATTCACGACCGTACCGCTTGTCCCTGACCATCACGTTTATGATTTCTATCATAACAATTTAAAAAATTAAAATATCGTCATATTTCAATGTTTTATACACAAAAGAAGCACACCTCTATACAAACATAACGATTTTTCCGGTCTCAGGTAAGTTTTTTCGTAGTTATACAAACTTAAAAAGATTTTATTGGCTTTTTTTCAATTTTTGAGTTTTTTTATTTTTTTCTGGAAAGACCAAATATACTAAAAGCTTAGTGACCTTTTTATTGTATAATGGTCATAAAAGTAAATTAGTTTATAGCAAAACATAGTTATAAAAATAATATTAACCATTTTTAATATTCATTTAAACGTCCGTTATGGTCGTGACAGGATTTTGTGTTTTTCCACTAAATATGCTCTTTAAAAAAATAACTACCAAAGATATTGCGTTGCCATGGACATTTTATGAAACTTCAAATGTTAATGAAATAAAAAAAATAATAAAAGTTTTGAAAAAAGTGGAAAAAAATTTGCAAAGTGCTTTTCCTGAAAACGTACGTTTTTAAATGTTCACTCCTTTACGCCCAGCTGAAATCAACATAACACTCACTGGAATCTCCTGATCAGCAGGATCTGGTTGTTGTTGTCCCCCACCACTAGACTGACAGAGTGTTGTTGGTTATGTCCTGGGTTGACTGCCTCCACTGCCACCTGTATCTGGGCACCCTCCTCCACAAGAGCAAGAGAGAGAGAGAACCTGGGTATACGCCACGCCGCCTCCTGTAGTGTGTTGCCAAATGGAGGGTGTCGGTTGACCAGCTGTGTGCAAAAAATTGAGTCAGGAACCAATCACTTGATCAATGGTGGAAGTTATGAGCTTGCATATTCGAATGTGCGTATTTTACTTCCTCGGAAATTATTCTACCATACAAAATAAATAGGTTATGTTACATAGAATAACTACGTGTTGGACTTCCTCTCGTTTGGAAAGTTCAAGTCCGTATTATTGTTCAAACTGAAAAAGAGGACGTTAGGATCAGAAGATAGAAAAATTATTGGATATGTTTTTAACTACACATTATGAACTACAATACTATAGTAAGGAAAAAGGAAAAATAGCAAAAAAAATCCAAACAAACAACAGTACGTAAACAGATTATCACTTGTTAGTACACAAAGCAGTGTCTGTGTATGTGTGAGTAAGTCATACGTAAATGGCCATAGCCTGGTGTAATAGGATCAAAACGAGAGAGAACTGTACTATAGTAATCAAAAACAGTTGATCACCATACATGGCAAATCATATTTTCAAATCCATTCTTATCTATGTGAACAAGTAAAGATAGCAAGTTACCATCTCAATTTCCCTTGGATTAGCATCGATGATTGACTGTATGGTTGTCTTGCCAGCCCCGACCAGCAGTGCGGCCAAGGCGGGGCCGATGCCTGGCAGCTGCCTCACCACGTACTGCGAGTCTTCCCACAGACGACACACCAGACATTTGGACAATACCAGGCTGGACACCAATGCTTGGAAGTGCGGCTGCTTCCACAGGTACAGAGACAAACCTAAACATTCTCGAGTTAGGGTAATTCTAACTGGAGCTCGTTCATATTCTGCTTGTCTATGAAACCCTTAGTAACCAAGATGTTCTCTTACCTTTTAGATATACTGCATATGATGAGTTATACTTGTATGAGTAGTTATACTGCATATGATATGCAACCATTGCAAATAAATCACTAACCTATTACAGTGTGTTGTTATTATTACAGTAGGCCCTAGTCTCCATTAATCCTTCCAAACGGGCAGCAGCAAGGTCAAATTAGGGGAAAGGTTGGATATAAGGGAAAATAATAAAACCAAAGGAAAAAAGTAGCTTTCTGTTCTTTACTGTGATCAAGACATGAGGCGTAGAAGATAAATAGTTAGGTAACAAACTGTGTGATACGTACCACTTGAAAAACAAACAGAACTGTCAATTGCATCTTTAGAGGCCACAAAAGGTGGGACTGTCTCGATGAATCCACTATAGTACACAGACACGAAGATCATACCGTATGGAAATAGGGGTATGGAAATGATTTATTTCAAGGATGGGTTATACTCAGGTTTGCATAGCCAAAGGTTGGTAAATCGAGACTATATTTAATTTCTCTAATCTTATTCCTTCGTTGACGATAGCCTGGTGAAAATGAAATGATAATATCGCAACTTGCCTTTCATAAGACGTTCGGCAATATTCACCAGTCTCGCAGCTTCCTGATTCAGAGATGGGTCATTGATGGGAACACAGCTGAGGAGTGCCTGAATCAAGCTGCAAATAAACATGTTGTGCTAAAAAACACATTGCTTTAGCAAATAAACACATATTCCCTTGGTCAAAGTAATGTGGGCAATTCTTTCAGATTACTGTGATCAGTATGACATCAGACAATTTCCAGTCAACAAGTAAATTCCACATAGCAGAACCTTTTAAAGTTATTCTTTACCAGTATTGGTATACATGTGTTTTATATTATAATGATGATAGTCAAAATACTAAAACCACAAAAATGCATAAAACATATGATTATTTTCATGTTATTTGGAATTTTCTGAATCGTGTAACAGATTTGTGGAGATTTTGTTCTTTAGAATGTAAAATCAAACCAATTAATTTAACAAAATATTTAAAATTGCATCACTTTTTGAGAAAATAATCGGTTTTTACAGTGAAAAATCAATAAACCTTTGGTGACTAACCTGTTGACCTTCATTTCCTTGGTTTTAACTCGACCGTCAATAGGAAAGCGAACAACAGGACCGTGTTTGTTGCAACTGAGACTGTTTAGTGTCACCTTCTCATCCACTCTCAGTCTGACATCAGCAAACTCATGACACTGACACAGCACCTCCAGCATCTGAGGAAGATCCTCTGTGCCCTTCACCTGACACAACAAACACTCATTTATGTCAATGGAAATGAACAACAGGACCGTGTTTGTTGCAACTGAGACTGTTTAGTGTCACCTTCTCATCCACTCTCAGTCTGACATCAGCAAACTCATGACACTGACACAGTACCTCCAGCATCTGAGGAAGATCCTCTGTGCCCTTCACCTGACACAACAAACACTCATTTATGTCAATGGAAATGAACAACAGGACCGTGTTTGTTGCAACTGAGACTGTTTAGTGTCACCTTCTCATCCACTCTCAGTCTGACATCAGAAAACTCATGACACTGACACAGCACCTCCAGCATCTGAGGAAGATCCTCTGTGCCCTTCACCTGACACAACAAACACTCATTTATGTCAATGGAAATGAACAACAGGACCGTGTTTGTTGCAACTGAGACTGTTTAGTGTCACCTTCTCATCCACTCTCAGTCTGACATCAGCAAACTCATGACACTGACACAGTACCTCCAGCATCTGAGGAAGATCCTCTGTGCCCTTCACCTGACACAACAAACACTCATTTATGTCAATGGAAATGAACAACAGGACCGTGTTTGTTGCAACTGAGACTGTTTAGTGTCACCTTCTCATCTACTCTCAGTCTGACATCAGAAAACTCATGACACTGACACAGCACCTCCAGCATCTGAGGAAGATCCTCTGTGCCCTTCACCTGACACAACAAACACTCATTTATGTCAATGGAAATGAACAACAGGACCGTGTTTGTTGCAACTGAGACTGTTTAGTGTCACCTTCTCATCCACTCTCAGTCTGACATCAGCAAACTCATGACACTGACACAGCACCTCCAGCATCTGAGGAAGATCCTCTGTGCCCTTCACCTGACACAACAAACACTCATTTATGTCAATGGAAATGAACAACAGGACCGTGTTTGTTGCAACTGAGACTGTTTGGTGTCACCTTCTTATCCACTCTCAGTCTGACATCAGCAAACTCATGACACTGACACAGCACCTCCAGCATCTGAGGAAGATCCTCTGTGCCCTTCACCTGACACAACAAACACTCATTTATGTCAATGGAAATGAACAACAGGACCGTGTTTGTTGCAACTGAGACTGTTTAGTGTCACCTTCTTATCCACTCTCAGTCTGACATCAGCAAACTCATGACACTGACACAGCACCTCCAGCATCTGAGGAAGATCCTCTGTGCCCTTCACCTGACACAACAAACACTCATTTATGTCAATGGAAATTAACAACAGGACCGTGTTTGTTGCAACTGAGACTGTTTGTGTCAACTTCTCATCCACTCTCAGTCTGACATCAGCAAACTCATGACACTGACACAGCACCTCCAGTATCTGAGGAAGATCCTCTGTGCCCTTCACCTGACACAACAAACACTCATTTATGTCAATGGAAATGAACAACAGGACCGTGTTTGTTGCAACTGAGACTGTTTAGTGTCACCTTCTCATCCACTCTCAGTCTGACATCAGCAAACTCATGACACTGACACAGCATCTCCAGCATCTGAGGAAGATCCTCTGTACCCTTCACCTGACACAACAAACACTCATTTATTTCTGAAGCATTATTGTCTCCAAACTCTGAATCTCAAATCTTACTGTCTAGGATTGTGCATTATATTTACTCTAGGAAAACCGATATTGTTTAGACCGATTGTTTGGATATTGTTTGCCTCTCTAGATTGTTTTATCTCCCCTGAATATTTACAGATTCAGAACATTTTCCAGATGCTTATTCTCAGGTTATACCTTAGAAATTATTAAAACTTGGAATACTTCATTTAAGTAGGCCACTGACAGAAAGAACACTTAATTTTTTACATCTCATGAAAATAGTTTTGACGAAAAGCTATCATCGTTAATTTTACAAGTTAGATTTTAAATCAAAAAATATACAAAAAGCTACCAGGGTGTTTTTACCATGAGGAGTAAAATCCTTACTAATAAAAAAAATTACACTTTGTTTTAAAGCTAGAACCCGACAAATGTTTTCTTACCTGAGAAAATATTTTCATGGTGTGAAACCCAATGTAATAACGAGCCATGAGAGATCCCTTCTCAGTAGCCTGAATGTCGTAACCGTTGGTATCAATGGTCACAAGTCCAAAACGTACCAAACTATTCAGTGCCCTCATGCAGATCCCTATGGAGAATAAAATGTTAGTGTATACAGAACAAACGTTTATGATGGTACCTACATAAAGAAAACTGGCGATTATTCCTGTTCTAAAAAAACCTTAAACTGGTCCACTATTGATTTAGTCCCTTGGTTAATCAACTTAAGCCCACTGAGGAAGACACATGTGTTTATAAATAGATGGCACTCAAAGTGATTGCATCCCTACTACCTAGTTTTTTTTCTGACAGATAGTAACCAAGTACTTTGAGAACATTCAAACTGATAAATTATTTTGGTCGGTGACCAACCTTTTCTTTTTTTATCCTGTAAAGTGTCATCTCTAGTTTTGTGGCAGCCAACACCTCCAAGTGTAAAGTTTACATTACAACTTTGTATCACATGCATAATTTATCAACTTAAGGATATTTTTTGACCCCAAATAATTTTTAAGTGACAAAAACTACACAGTTTGAATGTATGATAAAGTTCATAATTTATCACTAATATTATATTGTGTTATAAATTGTTTCTCACATCTGCAGAACAAACATTTCCTCCAAACGGGATTTGCAGAATGAAGTAAACTACTTACTTAATGTGTTCAGTAACATAAATAATCCAGAATTTACTCACTAAAAGTATAACACTACTAACCAACGAGTCTAGACTCGTAGACATCCTTGGACAGGTCCTTAGGCAAGCCGTAATGACAAGGGTTGCGCAGTGCTCGGATGTACAGGAAGGTGGACCTAATCCAGTTAGTAGCCATGGCTACGTCCTGTATGGTGTTCAGGATGATCTCTGCGTTGAGATGATCCTCTAGGAAGCGATGTAGACAGCTCTCCACCAGCTCCTTACCATCCACTAGCTTCTCGTACTTGTCCTGCAGATCAAACCTTTGTTTTACAGCTTGTAGTATTTAGGTTTTAGGGTCTCGGCTACATTCAACAAATGAATATTATCTAGACAAGAGACTAGATTGGACATAGCACAGGCGACTTTTGAGATTTTCCTCTTAAAACAGCTAGCATAGCTACTCCTACTGCTTACCCATAAGGGTTGTTGGCAGGCTAATGGGAGAAAGTATGTGTCAGATTGTTGAAACTGTTTCTCTTGGTATAATACCATAGGACACTTAATAGTTTATAAATATATCCAAAAGTCGATGGTTCTAGGTATTGTCCCATCTTAGAAATGCTGTGAGTTGTTTCATATAGGCTAGTAAACATTATGTTTAGTCAGAGGTTTTGAAAGTGTTATGTTTTGTTAGCACTGAGACGGCCAGCTCACTTTTATTATGAAGGAGACTTGCTCTCTTAAAAAGAACACCAAACTGAATTGTAATATTTTAAGAAGCTCCTAATAAATCTCTGTTTCGAAATGTAAATTGTGATTTATTTAAGTCCCACTTGCAAGTACATTAAATACAAGTACACAACAGAATAACAACAAGCTTGAAATTACATACAAATTCCGTTTACTTTCCAAAAAATCACACTGTATGACTATCAGTGCCATTATCAGGCTACATCTATTGATGTGACAAACCTTGGTTGCATTCTTGGTCATTATGACGACAGTAGCACTTGTCTCAAACTGTGGTCGGCCGGCTCGTCCCATCATCTGCAGTATTTGTCCCTCTGCGTATTCTTGCATCACTCCTCCCATATAGTGCTGTGTGCCCTTGATGATGACTAGATGGGCTGGCAGGTTGACACCCATAGCTGTAGCACAGGAAACACCTCATATAATTAGTTGACACTATGTTTTTTCAAACTGCAAAAAAAACTCTAACTTCATTTGGACATTTATCACATTTTAATTTACTTCAAAATTATTGGATTACAGTATGTATACAGTAAGTTGGCGCGCGCCCCTATCAGCTACACGGGCTGGTTCTTATCTCCCCTCGGGGCTCGAAGCAGTTTCCTTGATGAGTCACCAACTAGCACCTCCAATAAAATTGCTAATTTTTGTATTCCTTGTAATACTTTTATATAAATGTGATATTCATAAAATACTAACAAAAACTAAGAAGATTGATACAAAATACGATGTGTTTTGAATAAAAATTAACAAAGTGGCCGAAAGTTATATCTTTTCAGCCGTAGTATGATGATGCTTTGATACAATATTGTATACTTCTTATAACATCCTAATCTTAAGACGATATTTAATTTTATAAGTAATTAGAAAAAGGGTAGAATGATATGAAAATATGTTGTTGCATCCTATTTAATCAGCCAAAATAGCATGAATTGTACTGGGACTTTATGTATTAATTACACATGTTATTTATTTTTATTATTATTTTAGCGCCTAATAATGGACCTTTGTTGTCACATTCCCGCTCGAAGTAATCTATCACCGACGCAATGATAGTTCTGGCTTGGGAGTTTTAAGTATACCCACGTTTTCCACTTTAAAGCGGCATAATTGTTCACATAAAAAAAAACACACAAAATGAATCAAACCACTTGAAAACAATTTTTAACTTCTTACTCCGTTAAGAACGTACACTTGATTTAAATCTGTCCTACCCTGGACAACCATTACGACGGCTTGGTTGGTTTGCTTAATCACCCACCCTTTCATGGTTAACATTAGCGAATATTACACTACGATTAGACATCCTCAAGTTCAATACCTGACCAAGGTCGCTGCTCTTATTTCCTGCAATCTGCAAACTGCATGGTTAAATAGGAGAGGGGAAAATTAAACGTTAATGTGATAAAGAAAAATGTAAAATAGTCTGTGTGGAAATTCAGTAAAATGTCGTAAATATTATTTAAAAAACTAAATTTGGTTTATGGAGTTGCCTATTTAATGATACTTTAATGATTACATAGTGTAACATAGTTTTCCAACGCTATTTAAAGGCCTGTTCACACCGGCGTAGCCCGACGTCAGCAGACGTATTCGGTGTATTAATACGTCGCCCGTGCACTGTTCACACCGCAGCTACGTCTGACGGCTACGTAGCCGGTGAGCCGGCTGTTGTTTGTTTATTTTTTTATATTATTTTATATTTGGTAATTTTATTGTTTATTTTTATTAGCGTTTTATGGATTTCAGTTAAGATTGTCACGGTTCAATTGCAGCTTTTATAGTACCCTGAAAAGTCTGTTGATTAATGAGTTAATGTTGACAAAAATGTTTCATTCTAATTTTAGGCCGTATATAGTAGACTATAAAACTTGTGCTATATTATAATATAAAATAAATATTATCAGAAAACATGCAATAATTTTGCTCATCCATGGATTACATGATAAAATATTCTATTGTGTAAGTAAGACGTAGGCCTATGTCTAAAAATAATTCATTAATGTTTCATAAATATCAGCCCACAATATGAACCATAATAGACCATATTAAGAGAGACGACTTTTTTGATAAGGAGATTTACAAGCAAAATATTAGTGAACATTAGGTACTCGTATGATGAAGTATTATTATATTGATCATATAAAGTTTTCTTAAGGTTGTTATGTTATAGTGATTTAATGATTTTTTTAAGTGATTCTTAATTTTGGTGTTATAATCCAACATTTACCGCTTAATAAATTAATTATAAGGTGGAGGGAGGGTGGCGGTGACAGCCGTAGCTTCCGTAGCTCACGTATTAATACGCCGGTGTGAACACTCTCTATGAATTACATTAGGAGCTACGTCAGCTACGTATTCCGAAAAAGTATTAATACGTCTGGCTACGCCGGTGTGAACAGTCCTTAAGAGGTTTTAAAATGATTAAGGCTTAAATTAGTAAGGTTCTACTTAGTATATAAATATACTTAGTGGTATACATATGTTCTACAAATAAGTCAAAATGGACTTACCTAAAGTGCTGGTGGCAATCAGAATTGGCATGTATCCGCATCGAAACAGATCAGCGACCAAAGTCCTATCTTCAGTAGTCAGACCAGCATGATGACAGCCGACCCCAAGCAGAAGGTATTCTGTGGTATTAGAGTTGAAAGTCAGATCCGACAGATACACGATGCCTAGGACTGATTAAGTCATTACCAGTACCAGAGTCAAGTGCAATCAACTGTCTTATTCCTGTTCAACAAAATTTGCGTACGATTTCCAATCTCCAGGTCGGCTAGCTACTGTGTTTAAGTATGAGAATAGTATGAGAAAAGGTTGAAGACCCCTGCTAGAGTAGTAGTTCTAAGCCTGTATGCTAGGTTGCAGCACATCTCAGGTTCAGTTTTAACCTATATTATCAAGTTTTTTACAAATAGATGTAAGTAAATAAAGCTGTTGTTATGTTACCGTACTCATTATGGCTGACATATTAAATCATGTTGTTGGGTTGTGAAATCTATATATAAAGCCAAAAGTACCCATGAACTTTTGAGAAAACTACAAGTCACATCCCCATAAACCATATAGGCCTACTTAAAATGTTCGTCGTGACGAGAAACCTTGCGCAAAACTATCCATTGTTTCTTAAATTGCCCTATAAGGTCGTAATTGCTTTCCAAATGGAACTTTCCATATGACTAATGTTAAAAATACCTCAGCTGTATTAATTTGTATGTTATTCTTTCAATTTATTACCTTATTAAAATCAGGTGAGATTATTTGTTTGTATTACTGTATTCTGTTTTGTTTATTTCAGCTTAACCTAACCAACAATAGTTTTATTAATACTTATGAAGTCAAACGGGGTGAAGCCCGTGGGTAACAACTAGTTGATTATAATACCAATCTCAGAGTTTATGCTGCAATTATTTTAATTTTTATCAAAAAAATCTTACCGGCTATCTGGCTGTCGGACAATTGAGCGGATATTTCCTCTAATTTCTGTCTTTGAACAGGTGATAAAATAATTGAGATTTCTTTCACCAGAACTTTTGCTGACTGAAGAACACCCTTGCGAGTGGAACAGAATATCTGTGAAATATGTATGTAAGAAGTTTGCTTGAAAAAATGGATGAAGATACAACATGTTTTTAATCAATGGGCGATCTTGTGCAATACAAACAATGCATTGAAGTGTTTCTTTTCATTTTAGTTACTTAGAGAATTATTAAGTTTAATTAAATATAATGTAAAAAATATAAAGAATTATTAATGGTAAATTTTCAGGGAAGAAAATGTCTGTTATTTATACTTTTTTCAAGGGCATTCTACCCCAGCTTACCCAAACCCAAAACCTGTCACTCGCTATGTTGAGCACAATCTGTCATTGTTTTGGGAACATTCAATATAGCCTATACAGTAAATATAAATAGCCTACTTATTCGGTTTTTTTTTTTTTGTATTCGTTGAACTCCAGAACCGAATAGTACATAATTATTTATGAATCATGTGGATAAAAACTACTAAATATAAACTAATAAACTACCTAACACAAACTATACATTAGTTATAAACACTACAGTATAAATCATGTACGTACCAAAGTTGGCTTGCTGTTCGAGTGTTCAAATATGATTTGCTTTAATTTGTAGCTCAATTTTAGATCAAACACGAAAGGATTCTGGTTTGGATGTGAAGGATAACCTTTGACGATCTTCCTGAGAGTGACTGGTCTCATTTCCTCACCTATCCTGGAAATAGGTCGTCATCTTAAGTTCAGAAGCATTTAAAAGTTAGTGTTGCCGTTAGTGTTGGATTTAGAGCACTTGTGTCCCCTGAACCTCAGGTGGAACTTCCCTGCGATCGCAGGCAAATTGTGAACCTCTCCTGCAATTACAAGGCCATTGTCATCATCACCCGCAATTGTGGCAGACTATTAATTTCAGAAAATAAAAATTCAATTTTTGTAAAAAAAATTCTTTGTACAAAACGCTGCGGCATAGTGGAAAATAATCCACTGGGCGACATGACTTTGTCAAGTAATATACAAGGTGTTTGTTTCCAAAAATATAAACAGGTTACATCATGTTCTTAAAAATACATTATTAAAAATATTCCTGACACAATTATAATGTTGGGCCACCTAAACCTAAAATACCTAGTCTGTGCCCATAAACCTCTTAAAGGTTCAAACAGCAATTTGACTCCTACATTACAAACTGTCCCTGCCTCGCCATACATCTTATTAACAAACTGGAAGGACCGATGCTTCTAGGTATCAAATGAGGCGACTCTCAAACCGATTATGATTTTCATAACCAGTGTTAACCCAAAACAGACAAAACTGCCGAGCCAATTGAACCGCATCAACCACAACAACGACAACTAAATGTCAGTCCACCATTATCGTCTGAAACACTTACTTTTCGTAAACCGCAGGTTTTTGTGGGTTGCCCAGCCAGAGAGCTATGTCCTCAATGTTAGGTATGGTGGCAGACACTGCAATGAACCTCACTTGGAAAGATCTGTCCACCGTCTCCTGAATAGTCTTCATTCTGCTGACTACAACCTCCAACACTGCTCCTCTCTTCTCCTCATTTAGTAAATGGACCTGAAATCATTATTGTATTTCTTATGCTAATTTAGTTTTTAAGACCCAATAATTTTGCTTAGCTGAATGGATGCCTAGTTAGTTTTGGAGTTGGACTAACTTACTAGTAAATCTTTCACACAGCTCAAACAAATGTTTATCCAGGATAAGTACCGGTGTTCGAACACCATTGGCACTTCAGGTACTTGTAAGAAATACAGCTAATGGCAAAATACAGTAATTTAGTGTGAACAATAATGTATATCAACTGGGCTCCCGATGATGACACACAAGAGGTGAAATGTACATCGAGCTTCATCATCACCAACTTCAACAACCTGGCAGCCACAAGGTAAACTTATAATTGTTATTAAAACTGGGAATACTAAAAAAATTACGTTACTTTCAGAGAAAGGAGTTCTCCTCGCCTAAAAATTGAATAATTTTTTGTTTTCCATATAAGTGAACCAATCAAGAGTGGGCTTCAAACAACTGAATCACAGCATTAGTAGACTATAGCTTGCCATTCGGGATTGTTGTGGTTTGAACGCCAGCATCAAAGACAGAAGTCCCAGCGTTCTAACTACCAGACAAGCTGAACCTCTATAAGTTCAAGCACTATACGGATTCCCATGTAGGGAACAAGTTATTACCGTAGTTCTCATGGTAAGACCTGGACCCGGGACCAATTTACTTTTTTGTTTTGACGTCACCAAAATGACTAGAAAGGCTAAAAATTTATCGGTAAAAATTCAAATACATATGTCCGTTTAGTACGATAACTCAAGTGAAAATCATCCGACTTTGATGAAATTTAGTACAAACGCTGACGGGAATGGAATTTAGAGGGTTTTATAAACTAAAAATTGATTTTCTCCTAAAAATAAAAAATAAATTTAATAGTTTTTGCACAACCATTTTGTAGAGCTTAAAAAACAAATAATTTAATATATTGAAGCGTTGTTATGTGTTTATTGGTTGAGGAGAAAATTTCATATAGGCCCTAACTGTAAATTAAGTTTCTCGTATGTTATTATTATGGAAAATAAGTAAACTGTTGTAGTTTGCTTGTTCATGAACATATTTTGATCAAATTTGAAAATTTTGTTTAATAGGCTACTGTATTGTAATTTATTAACATTTTCCTAAAAAATACCTAATTTCCTCCCCTGTAGCAGCATACCTAATTATTTAATTCACACTAATTTTATGTAAAAAGAAAAATCCAAAATTTTTAAGAAAATATTTTTGTAAAAATCCAATCAGGCAAATTGAAATTTGCTTAGTCTGCAGATTTGCAGCAGGGGAATTATCCTTTAGTGGAGGAAAATAGACTGGTAAAATTTAATAAATCTCTTAAAATATTAAATGTATTCATTAAATGCAATTTTTTTCCAAACTGTCAATATTGCCTACAAAATTACCTCATCAATGAGAAACAGTTTGATCTGCTGCACTATCACAGAGTGGTCCTTCCATCTTCTGGTCAGTGAGTCCCACTTCTCTGGTGTGGTCAAAATCAGCTGATATTGTTTTATGTCGTTGAAGTCAAGGTTGTCAAAGTCACCTGTTACTTCTAAACAGTTGATCCCCAGCCTACTGAACTTGTCCACCCAGTCTTGGTACTTCTCTGAGCACAGAGCTTTGACAGGAGCCACTGAAATTAAAATCTATCAACCAAACCTGTTATCACTAACATCATGGAATATCATCTAGGCTGTTAAAGATACCTATGTTATTATAAGTGGTGTAGTGGAGCGGGGACACCGTTCCCACGCTCATTCTGCTCTATCCAATCTATATAATTAATACGCTACACGAAAGTTTGTCGGTTGAACTCCTCCGCCATTTCCTAACCGATTTTATTTATTTTATTTTATTTATTTATTTTATTTATTTTTTAAATTAGCTTCACACCCCAATGTTTTGCGATGGATGAACCAAGCCGAGCCAGTCTGGTTGGGCGGTTTTAAGCTTCCCTCATTGTTTCTCGGCTTCCTTGGAATCCAAACCGTGTCAAGATATCTAAGGACCCAGAAACGAAGATGAAGGGAGGCGTTTCGACCAAAAAACTCACCTTTCACACAACTTGTCACACCTCCCACTCCATTCACCTACCTCAAAAAAAAAAAAAAAAAAAAAAAAAAATCTTTTGCGCGAGGGGGGGTGGTTGTGACGCAAGCGCCACAGCTTCATGGCGTAAGGCGCTAGCATGCCGTTCAACCGCTCTTTTTCTTGGACCAATTTTTTCTAAGCTCAGCCGGCTCGTCTCTTCTCTCGCCCCTGTCTGCCCGCTGCCGTGATTTGACGAACTTCGAGTCTTCAAACTTCGTACAGAATGAACAATAATCAAGCTAAGTTAACTTATTAGTTTTAAGTAAAATATTAAAATATGTTAGGCTAGAAGTAAATCTCAGGGGGGGAAGCCACTGGCTTCGCAGGTACGCTGGAAAATGTAGTAAATAACTATCAAGTTTGATTCCGCCTAACGGAATCAAACAATCCTTTTCATGTTTCGAAGCCACATGTTCCAAGAGATTAAATTGCCGGTTAGAGGGGTTGCTTAGTTCATCTACCAGTTACAATTCAACCAATTCTTGCTTCAATCAGGTTTTTCTTATATATATTTATATATTAGTTTGGAAGGTGTCAACCAAAATTAGGGTATTTAAGTGTGTTAGTTAAATAAGTGTAATCAAAGCTGGCTTGGGCTGTCTTCCTGGTCTGGGTAAAAGGTCCAATTCTCTGGGCCCCCATCACACCTTTCCAGAAATCCAAGGTAATACTGACAACCAGAATAGTTTAAAACCATATCACAAGAGTACCACCACCACACCATTGACGTCTCATTGGAAAGAGCGTGTCGCGTAGATTTGCAAACTGACCTTACATTTTTGAAAAAGTCCCTTGGGCTCTGCCCCAGTGGCTTTGAAAGTTCCCATGTTATCCTTATGAAGAACATAATTGTTTACATTTTGATCAGCTGTATAATTTTATTGCTGTTATTTACTTTTCAATTCAATGAAACACATTGAGTACATTTATTTACTATTTGAGTTTGTGTAAACATAACCCCCAAGACGGATCGTGTTAGTATGGCTGTATCTTAAATTTGTGTATTTATCGTTGTTTTGTGTCGCTATGATGGATTGTGTTAGCATGATTGTAACTTAAGTTTGTGCATTTATCGTTGTTTTGTGTAGCTATAATTTGTTTATTATTTGTTGTTTATTCCTTATAAATGTCTCCGACGCAACGACAACGAAACATAGACAGGAGGTGCAATCGTGATAACGACCGCAGCTACAGAGTAGTGGCGCGTAATAGGCTTAACTCATCACAGTCTGAACCTGAACCTGGACAACTTCAACTATTTGCTTACAAATGCGCCATAACACAACCCCAAAACGACTTTTCGTTCTCAATTGGCCCTCTATCAATGACCTGTGTTGCCTGTACAGCGAGGCATTTTGAGAAGGAGAGAACCGTCCGGAATGCTTTAGGTTTATCAATAACGAAGATAAACAGGGTCTGAGTTACACAACGGTAATATTTGAGTTGACTCTTTTAAACTCATTGTAAATATGACTGTTATTCAATCTGAAATAACTCCTGTAATACTTTGTAATTGCTCGAATTCGAGCAACATGTACACTAGTATACTATTAATCCTATACACTATTCCTATACACTATCCATGTCTTGGAAGATCTTGGTTGAGAATTAGATACAATTGAGTTGAGATACCAGTACATATTATCAAAGAATATACACAACTTTAACCAACTTTGAGCAAAATGAATAAAACATTTAAACGTATTACTTACTGTAGACAATTTTAAAATCTTGAAAATTCTCCATCTGATCTATTTTCTGCAATAGTCTAACGATTGCGAGTTCAAATAGAACAGTCTTCCCAGACCCAGTAGGGGCAGCTACAACGAGCTGTTCATCTGTAAATATGGCGCAACAGAGTATTATTTAGTTTCAATTTGGAGATTTTTTACTTTTTCCATCAGGAATGGTAACTTCAATAATCTCTTATAAATATCCTAAACGGATGTAATTAGGTATAGGGTGACTTAATTTAAAATAAAATCAGCTTTTAAAGAAAATAAATAAATAGACTAGGAGTTCTGTATTGAAATGGACTGCTAAAAAATGAAACTATGAGTCAGCATATAAAATTTCTAATTAAACTGAGGAGAGCAATGCCGTCTGTCTCATACACACTCCCCCCCCCCTAAACCAGCATGCTTAACAAGCAGTAAAAAAAAAACATTATCTACGTGTACGTTAGTTATGGCAAGACAGTTTCTTAATCCATATAATATTTTAATTCAGACTAGGTATAACTAATCTTCCAGGCGCTTGCGATGTTTAGCTCTGCATGTTAGGATTTTGACTAAAAAAACTACTTAATTGATGTCGCCAGTTGTGTCCACGCACAATCCTGGATTTCCCCAAAACAATGTTTACACCTACCGTTTCCCTAGGTTCAATATGCGATGTGAGTTAATAAATGCGGTTAAGTTTTGGAGGTTTTCTCTATGTGCGCTCTTTCTAGGTTTTTGTTTTATTTCTTCCAAATTTATTACATATCGCAGAGAATTTTTTTAAAGAATCTACAAAACACCTGAAATACAATTAAGCCCACCTATCCTGTTACATGATTATTTTACTATCAAATAATTTTTTTCCATAAATTCATAACTGCTTCATTGCGGATAAAATCTCCACATGCCCCCCTCTCTTGCAATAATGACCTTATATACCCTACCACTAAACTTAAACGCATGCAAATTTTGAAGGTTAAGCGCCCGCTCCAGGGTTAATAGAATAATTTTTTCCTTACCTGTTTGTAAAATTACATCCATTAATTTGGATTGAATAGCATTGAAACATGGATGTGCAGCAAAAATGTGTTGATATCGAGGATCTGAGTTTTTTTGTTAAAGAGTTTGAAAGTTAATTTATAAAATATTTCAATTTACAACTCTTACGTGTATTTAAAACTCAACATTCACAAGTTAATTGCTTAGCCCTAGGTCCTAGGGCCCTAAGTTAGCCTACTTACCTCATTGAATAAACCATTTCAAATTCATTGGGGAATAAAGAGAGGGCTACACTTACAAAACAGTTTATTCACATTTTTTGTAGCTACCTATCCCAGGTTCAAGAACTTGATTGAAAATTTCTTGATGAAGTAAAAGATAGAAAACACTCTCTGAAGATGCCATACAAGCTAGCATAATGTGCATACAGGATAGCAAACACTACTCTTTAAGAGCAATGGCAACAACAAATGTAATAACTAACTTACTTTAACTAATTTATATAGACTTAAAACATGATTCATCAATCGAATAATTAATGACTGGGTTACGTAGCCTAGATTAGATTCAGAGTTATTTAAATAAGCCGTTTATGTTGTTGAATCCCCTTGCCTCTACAGTAACTTATAGGCCTAGAGTTTAACCATGATTGTGTAATGATCAGATGATCTTGTGGCATCGTATACTGTTTTGACTATGTAAGAAGGGGATTAATCCTGTACCCACGGTGCTCACCTACGCAGACACTCTGTTCACATTACCACTTAGTCGACCAGTTGGTGTGAACAGAGTTGAACATTAGCATGAACATCGATTATCAAATTCCTTTCCCAGCTGACGTGAGCTAGGCGATGACCGGTAGGGCTGGCTTCAGAGAAACAACTTTAACCTATAAGCCACACACCCTATCGGTAGTCAGCCAATGGGAAGAGCTATTGAAGAAGAGGGAGGGGTGACGAGTCTCAGAGCTGGAGGACCTCAAGGCAAAAATCGAGGTGATTACCGCAGGCGACGAGACAACGAAGATCGGAGTGCGTGTGCTTCAGGGACAATTAGCAGTATGTAAAATAAATTACTAAATTTTTTAAAGATGTAAAACAAACAAGTCATATAAATTGTTAGTAACTCAATCTTTAAAATTTTCTATCAAATTTCTTTTCTTGTAAAAATTAACGTTTTAATTTTTTCTTACTATTTTTGCACTTTGTTTTTTCAAAGTTTTCGTTTGGTGTTGTCACCCTTTGCAACCCTTTGGTTTTTCTAAATATATTTTGTTTTATTACAAGTTTAGTCACACCTTAGCAGTCTTGTCTCATTCAACCTTTTACCTTTCGACTACAGCTAAGCGAGTGTAACTTTTTAAGAGACCTTAATTTTAAGAGAGGCATGAGACTCGTAACTAATATAAATTTGTATTGGTAATCTGGAGGTTACCGGTATAGTGCTATCGCAACATAATAAGCTTACTTCCCCCTCGAATCTTCTAAAAAGTCAGCCTTAGAAGAGCAGCATAGGCCTACTGTAGTCTTATAATTAAAAAATAACCTCCGAGCATAGTAATCTTAGCATTTGTACAATACCTATTTTATTTAACTGCCTTTAATTTTTTTGTAACTTGAAGAACTGTTGATTAACTTAGGCATGGATTTAAAACGTTGCATCGGTATTGTATATTCACAATTCTTAGGACTCAGTTCCCACTTGGGAAACACAAAACTCGGCCTACACATTTTAACTATGGACTTACATGTCTTTAATAAATGCAGTCGGTATTAATAAAATGCCCTTGTTGTTAGTGTTATCCATAACTTAACCATGAGAGTTCTAACCAGAGTTGGGACGGGTAGACTTCCGTATCTGTTGGCACAAACAACCAAATTAAAATATCGATCGATATATCGATTATTTGATATATCGTTTCGGTTAGTTAGGTAAGGTTAACCTAACCTAACTAGCCAAACAATAAAACTTATCGAATGAAACAATCGAATCATCAATATTTTCATTCGGTTGTTTGTACCAACAGATATGGATGTCTACCCCCAGAGCCAGAGTTAGGTTAAGTATATTTCCTAGATAACTTACTGAGGCTTGGATTAGGCCTAATGTTTTTTTAGATGCACTTTACTTTACGTCCTACACTCATTGGAATGACAATATCGATCGATATATCTATTGTTCGATATATCATTTGATTAGTTAGGTAAGGTTAACCTAACCTAACTAACCAAACGATATATCAAATGAAACAATCGAATAATCAATATTTTCATTCGGTTGTTTGTAGGACGTAAAGTGCAGCCATTTTTTCATAAACCAAGTCACCAAACTAAAATTAGGCCTAGACTTAGAAATCTTACTAATATTATAAATCTGAAAGTTTGTGAGTTTGTGTCTGTGTTTGTGTGTGTGTGTGTTGCTCAATCACGCATAAACTACTGGACGGATTGGGCTGAAATTTGGCATGATGATAGCTCACATTCCCGATTAACGTTAAAGCATATTCTTATCTCAAAAACCCTTTCGGGCTCCGCCCCAGTGGCTCTGTAGTTCCCCATGTTAATCTTATGATTTTTCATATTTAAAAGGAATTAATGAATCTTAACAGCTGTTTCAATTAAACAAGTTGGTTCTGTTCTATGATGTTCAATAGCATAAAAGTTACCAGGATTACCAACAGGGTGCAGCACTATTAATTTTTTTTTTATTTATGTATGACAACAGCTAATTTCCAACCAAAAGGTGAGTGAGCGTAGCGAACGAACTTCAACCTGGAGGCGAGTTAGCGTAGCGAACGAGCTAACCTGAAGGCAAGTGAGCGCAGCGAACGAGCTCCAACCTAAAGGTGAGTGAGCGTAGCGAACGAACTTCAACCAGGACGTGAATGAGCCATGCGAATACTTAAGTATGAAGTTAAACGGGGCAAAGCCCGCGGGTACAGCTAGTAACCTATAAGTTAACTATGTAACTTATGTAAGCCTATTAATTAAAATAAATTAATAGGTTGACAGTTAAATTTATCTTAACTAACTTATGCTAGGCTATGTTGATTAAGGTCTGAGTCAATCATTTGAACTGTAACATTGACCACAATAGGCTAAATTAAGCTCTGTATTTTAATCAAGAGTCTAAACTAGTCCTAAAAAGCAAAAAGTGGGCTTGGATAGGCTTAGGAAAATAATTGTACCTAGGCCTAGGTACCTATTGAAAAAAGGATACGTATTTCTGAAACGAAACGTAAATTCAGATTACTGATTGTTTGATTTGTGGGTTTCCACCTTGGCCTGGAGGTGGAGGTAACTAGTTCTTCCATGTTACTGATAACTAACTAAAAAAAAAATTCTAGATGGGAAGGTTTGATATTATTAAGTGCTAGTTCTAGGCTGAAAACCCCCATTAAAAACATATCACAGAACTACACCATATCCATACTGTCTCCAATTCCGTTATAATCATGTGTTTATCTTTAACAACTTAATTAATTGTTATTTAACTTCATGAAGTTTACAAGAATAAATACAAAAATGTCGAGGACTAATCGCGTATAATTATGTCAGCTTTCAACCGCAATCATTCCTACATTTGTACGTTTACAGTTTGAAAATTGAAACATATGGTGTAGTAAAGTTAAGAAGAAGATAACCTAACGAACGGAAGCGTCTGAAATCCGTCCACAGCTAGACTTCTTCGTTCTTCCTCACAACACAAGAGCTACATGATCGCAGATTAAAGAGTAGGCAAAATCTAATATACAGTAAGATATGCAAATGCATACATTCTTTGTTGGCATTTTATTAAGATTCCAATTAGATGCATGGAATTGAGCATGAGAATAATCCTAGCTCAGAAATTATTCATATGATATTATTATATCTCTCTTAGTCCTAAACTACAATCCATTATTATACATTCTTTTAGATAGTCTTTGTAAATTTAATTAATTAAATAATTAAAACATTTATCTACAGTAACTTCCACATATTTCCAAATATTTTAAACTTTCCAGAAAACAATAAACATAAGTAGTAATCTTCTATAAAGCCAAAAGTACCCATGAACTTTTGAGAAAACTACAAGTCACGCCCCCATCTATACTTATAAAAGGCAAAGTCCTCACTGACTCACTCACTCATCACTAATTCTCCCATTTACCTAGAAGGCTGAAATTCGGTACACCGATTCTTTGGGGATTAAATAGGAAAACAGTAGTTTTTATTCTGATCGGGCTTTTGGGCTCCGCCCAAAGGTGACTCTGGAGTTTCCCATGTTAACCTTATGATTTTTCATATTTAAAAGTAATTATTAATGAATCTTAACAGCTGTTTCAATTAAACAAGTTGGTTCTATTCTATGATGTTCAATAGCATTAAAGTTACAAGGATTACCAATAGGGTGCAGCACTATTTTTTTTTTTTTTTTTTATTTATTACAACAGCTAATTTGCAATTGCAACCAAAAGGTGAACGAGCGTAGCGAACGAACTTCAACCTGGAGGCGAGTTAGCGTAGCGAACGAGCTAACCTGAAGGCAAGTGAGCGCAGCGAACGAGCTCTATTCTAAAGGTGAGTGAGCGTAGCGAACGAAGTTCAACCATAGGACGCGATTGAGCCATGCGAATACTTATAAAGTTAAACGGGGCAAAGCCCGCGGGTACAGCTAGTAAACCATATACTTAAAATGTTCGTCATGACGAGAAACCTGCTTGCGCAAAACTATCCATTATTTCTTAAATTGCCCTATAAGGTCGTAATTGCTTTCCAAATACTTTCCATATACCTAATGAAAAATACCTCAGCTGTATTCATTTGTATGTTTTTTTTTTATTTCAGCTTATAACCTATTAATACTTATGAAGTCAAACGGGGTGAAGCCCGTGGGCTGAATTTTTATTTCAGGATTAGTGTTGCCTACAGTATTATTTTGAGGCTTTTGATTGGCTGAGGGAACATCATTACCGCGACGATACAAATGATGCTTAACGGCCTCGGTGGTGTAGTGGATAGAATGCTGGGTTCACGATCCGGAAGTCCCGGGTTCGAATCCCATCCGTAGTGCTTTCTTTTTGTATTGGATTTTTTCGTTATCAACAAGTTTGGTTGGTTTGGTTAGGTTATGACGGTTTAGTTTTATAATTAAAACATTATGAAATTTAATTTGACCCATTTATAGTTTTATTTTATAAACAGAAATAATTTTTTTCTGTTAAACCTTCATTTGATTTTTCATTATTAGCAAGTCTGGTTAGTTTGGTTAGGTTATGATAGTTTAATTTTATAATAAAAAAATTTTAAAATAGGATTTGAGGCATTTATAATTTTATTTTATGAACAGAACTATTTTTTCGATTAATGAACCTTCATTCGATTTTTTCATTGTCAGCACGTTTGGTTGGTTTGGTTAGGTTATGACGGTTTAATTTCATAATAAAAAATAATAAAATTGAATTTGAGGCACTTATAATTTTATTCTATGAACAAAAATAATTTTTAATTACTAAACCTTCATTTTAGTCAATCAGAAGCCTCTAAATGACACTGTTGGCAAAATTAATCCTGAAAAACAAATTGTGCAGCCCGTGGGTAACAACTAGTCCTTAAGAACATATTACTTATTACATCAAGAAAAAATGCTCGGGGAGGTAGCAGGTCTGGTCTATACCATCGATCTCTAATAGATCGATGGTCTATACTAGTGGTAGAATGTGGGGTCGCCAATGTCGCAAGATTACCAATAATGCAAAAACTCATAGGTCTAGCCTGAAGTAATGCAACAAACAATTCCGGGTTCGTGTCTAGCATCCAAGGACAACAACAAGCAAATATGCTCAGAATGTCAATTAAGTTCCAACTAAGCGAGAACGAGTATTGGGAATGAGATTATATATTATAGATTTTAAATTATTCAGAAATTGTTTGGTTTTTTTACTTCAAAACATGAACGTGGCCAATTTTTATTGCATTCATCGTGTAGAGCTTAACAAAAAAATTCGTACATTGAAGGACGAAAATGTCAGCATTAAAATATCAGTAGAAGAAGAAAAAGATGACGCCTCCCCCAATCTTGTTGACTGCGGAGCGGAGGAGAACAGCAGTAAGTAACCAGTAGTATACTGTACTATTCATGGTGATAAAAGTAGGTAAACGGTTACAGTTTGCTTGCTTATTGGTACATTTTAATCAAATATTGAGAATTTATTTATTCCACTCTGAACTATTAACATTTTATACAACAAATACTTTTTTCCTTCCCTACAACACCAAACCAGAGTACTCCTTAACACCCTTCCAAAACCGTGGTTTGAAATAAAATTTGTTCACTGGTTTCCTGTGATAGGGGCTTTTGTTCTTGTTATCCAACCAATTTTAAAATTATATTGTAACAAAATATAACTGCGGTATCTGTTTTTAAACCAATTTAATATGGTACCAGATATGTAGCAATTAAAGCACTGTGAAATCCATCCTAAAATTAGAGGAATAAATCATCTAAGTCGACATTTCTGTAGTGCTCAAAAATCACCATGAAAAAACAAAAATAAAAGAAAGATACAAATTTTACAATGGAACATTAGAAGTCTGTAATATTCAAAGTTAATGATTCTCGACACAATCCCTTGAAACAAATTTCACATTCTAATGGATAAGATAAAAACAAAAAGGCATTTGATTCTGTTTGGAATATAAGGTGTTTTGAAAAAATGTTGTTACTTTACAAATATTTAACCACTTAAACTAATTTTTGTTTATGTAATAATTAGGAATAAAGTATGAATCATAACACATTAACAAACAAAAATAAACATGAGCAATCTGCCATATACCAATGAATACAAACCCTGAATTCATTGCACATACTTTCTATGCTAATTTGCAACAACCCTTATCATGAACAAGTGGTGGGAGTAACTATGGTATTTTATGGGTGAACCCATAAATGTTGCAATAGATTTTGAACCACCATTTGTACAGTATTGGGTGTTAATACCATTTTTGTGTAGAGCTAGAAGAACCATATATTTTTTTGGCCCAAGGGACTTTAAGCAAATTTAATATCAGTTTGCACACCTACACGACACTCTGTCCAATGAGACATGAATTGATAAAATCGGTTAAGAAATGGCGGAGGAGTTCGGTACCTACCAGATTTGGGGTTGGCCTATTAATTGTTTAGATTTGGTCGTGACTGGATAACAAACAGCTGATCTTAGTACATAGTAACAAAGCTACACAGATTGGCTCACTATATTATTTATATTATGCATACACACCAAAGTGTGTGTTGCTCTCTGGAAATATTGAATTGAACATGTTTTGTCTATGATTAAACTTACATTAAGGTTCCTTTTTTAAACTGAAACCATTTGAATGGGTTTATACATAATTCATAACTTCTGGCAATCTTTCATGTTTTAATTTACAAAAAGGTGAATTGTACAGTGAACACAAAAATTAAATTCAGACTTTACATTTTTAATTACAGCGGAACATAACTTCCTTTCTTAATTGCTTTTTTCATCTTCTTCTTTTTCTTATCAGTTTTTCTTGCTTGAATATTCTCTTTCCTCTTCTTCTGTTTCTCCTGTTTTTCTTTCTCCACATGATCAATTCTCGCCTTCCACTTTTTCTGACTTCTCATCTTTTTGTTCTTTTCTCTTGCTATACTTTTTCTCAGCAGTTCTGGATCATCTTTAACCTTTTCTCCACTTGCTCGTTTTAAAGCTGTTGCCCATTTGCTTTTTTCTTTCAAAGAATCTGCCTTTTCTTTGTCTTCTTTTGCAATTTCAGAGATCTTTTTAGTTTCCTCTTTTAATTTTTCCAAAATCTTTTTTGGGTTTTTATTCTTGGACTCTCTTTTTGTTTTTTTATGATTTTCAGGCATGTAAATTTTGCTAAACACAATTTTGTTATCTTTATTAAAGATAGGTTTGTTTTTAGATTGTTCATTAGAATTCATTTCTGTTTTTATAGTTTCTGAAGTATTTTCTTTCTTGACTGGGGAATCACTGCTTTTATTTGAATCCAATTTAGTTTTGTTTTTAAAGTTTTCTCTCAAACTACCATTAGGAAGTACAAGTGATTGACTACCATGTGTTTCATTATTTACAGCTCCTGGTTTCTTTTTGCTTTCTTTCTTGATGTCTGTATCAGCAAAATCAAATTTATTGGACACTACATTTCCATCACTATTAAGAATCGGTTTGGATTTTGATAAACCATTGACAGCAGATTTATTTTTCTTTGCTGATTTCAAAGCAGCTTTTCTAAGTTTTAGGTGTTCCTTTCTTTTCTTTTTTAAAAGTCTTGTTTGGAGTCCTTTTTTGCGCAACTTCTTGTGGTAAGTCATTGGCGTTCCTGAAGAAAAAGGCATGTTAGATATTTCATGAACTAAATGAATAACATACAAGGGTTGTCCGTAAATTAAGGTCTCCATTAAAAATCCTATCACAGCCAAGGAAGCTACTCAAAACCTGAGACCAATACTGTGTTCCTTACTTCATCCACTACTATTCTAGACACTTACCTCTCCTGTAGGGTGATTAAGTCTCGTTATAGTAGCCTAATTGAAAAAAAATATTTGTGACGTAAATTCTTAGGGGGGAATAAAATTGTATTCACAAAACAGGCAAGGTGTCCCTCTCCCCATAGAATCAGTCACACATAAATTTCTTTCCCAGAGTAGGCCTACTCAGAAGCCGATAAAATCCATATGAAATCTGTTCCACGGTTTTGACTGATTGATTATTTTAATTTAGGTAATTGACGACGCTCAGGTGGAGCTATACCATCCTTGCCTTCGTTAAAGTGTCTAGAAAATTTTGCCTAAATTTTATATAAGTCTGAAACAAAATTACTAGTGATACATTAATCATAACAATTATTTAATTCATTTAAACAATTATTTCATAAACAATTTGGTAGCTTGGTTTATATAAAAAAACAAGGTATTCATAGACAGGGTTGCCACCAAAGCTGGATTTTATCAAATACGCACATTTTTTTATATATGGCGAAAATCACTAAATTCAAGATGAGCACAACGCATAAGCTTTGAAATAGAACTTCATCACATATACAGCATGACCATAACTATTTTACTGCAACCACAATTTATAACGACCAACCCCTCTGATTAGTTAAAGGATTTCCCTTGTCTACATTTGTTTTACCCTGCATGAAGGCATGGTAACTAGATGTTCATAAAACTTATTTGTGGATTGGTTTTGTTTTGACTGTAAAATACTAACAATTTTAATTCTCTGTGAATAATCAAGATTTATAAGTTATATATAATAATTTTAATAGTATCTATATATATAAAAGGCAAAGCCCTCACTGACTGACTCACTCATCACTAATTCTCCCACTTCCCATTTACCTAGGAGGCTGAAATTTGGTACACTGATTTTTTAGGCATTAAATAGAAAAACTAAGCTGTTTTTATTCTGATCGGACTCTCGGGCTCCGCCCCAGTGGCTCTAGAGTTTCCCATTATAACCTTATGAGTACTCATATTTAAATGGAATTAATGAATCTTAACAGCTGTTTCAATTAAACAAGTTGGTTCTGTTCTATGATGTTCAATAGCATTCAAGTTACAAGGATTACCAACAGGGTGCAGCACTATTACTTTTTTTAATTTATGACAACAGCTAATTTGCAACCAAAAGGTGAGTGAGTGTAGCGAACGAACTTCAACCTGGAGGCGAGTTAGCGTAGCGAACGAGCTAACCTAAAGGCAAGTGAGCGCAGCGAACGAGCTCCAACCTAAAGGTGAGGGAGCGTAGCGAACGAACTTCAACCAGGACGTGATTGAGCCATGCGAACGAGCTCACTTACTTATGAAGTAAAACGGGGCAAAGCCCGCGGGTACAGCTAGTTATATTATATAGTTATAATAGTAATTAATACTTCTTAATTTTTTGGCAAAATTAAGTTTGTACATGCAATTTAACAAACCTTTCAACTCAGCAAGCTCTTTTTCTAAACCTTCAACAGTACTTGGGAAAGCTTTGTTTTTCACACCAACTTGAGAGTTCTTCTTCTGCGTTTGTTTTTCTGTAACAAAGCAAAGCATGGATAAGTACAAGAGAGCTACCACATTTAAAAACACGTTAATAACTCAGATTTGGATACCCTAGTAAAAAATAAAGACTTCAACAATTCAAAAATGTTCAATACTATAAACCAGATAAAAGAGCTATGAGGCAACACCACAGAGAATTGGCAACACTGCAACAATAGAAGTAAAAGATCTGAAAACAAAATCACCCCCCATCCCCTCACATACCAACCAACGCCGGACAGATTAAAATTCAACAGCTATAGTCAAACTCAGACACTGAAAAATGTTACGTCCCCGGTCCGCACACCCGCTTCCGTGCTTGGAACCTATAGCTGCGTGTACAACGTCCGTCGACTAAGTGTGAATAATGTTTAGTTTAGTGTAATGAAAATAATTTTTTTTAAATAAACTGTGCTCCTGAAGATGCCACGAATTGTGGCGAAATGTGCATCGAGCTTCATTAATCCACTATCTCCAAGAACCTGTCAAACGTAAGGTAAAATGTACTACTTAATGATCAAATGTAGTGGTAGGCACCAGGATAAGAACCCACAACATTGCTGCCTTGGGCCCTAAGTGTGGTTCTACTGACGGAGCCACCAAATCGCCAATTTAAAGACAATGATGGTTTTTTTCTCATGAAACTAAATGAAATTGCATAGATCACAGGTGACAGGGAATAAACTAATTACTGATGTATCTTTATATATATATATTACATATGGTTAATCTATGGCCTAGGCCTCAATGGAACTTTACTGTACAAGCCTTTGGATTGTGATGTAGAAAACGGAAGTTGTCTCTTGTTACTCATTAAATAAAGATGTCGTTTGTCGTTGTACAATGTGGTCTTGTCTTTGTCATTTTTAATCCTAACTCATCTCGCTGTCCAATACATCATTGGCGACGAGTCTGTAAATATTATGCCTAAGTTTATTAATTGTTGTAACATTGATACCCAAGTGGAACCTAATACTGGAAAACTTTGTAAGCTAGAGCACTCAAACGAATGTTTAAAGATCTGGGACGTGAATAATTGTAAGCCTAATGTTAACTCTGTTCCTGATAACTCGAAAGCTAATATTGTCAAGAAATTGTCGCAGGTTTTTCCAAGAGTATTTGCACTTAAAGATAATGATAAACCCATTGAAAGTTTTAAAGTAAATGTCAATCTAAAAGATGATTCCAATCCTATTTTTCATAAGGCCTATAATGTACCCTATGCTTTGCGAGATGAGGTCTCTGTTGAATTGAGTAGGCTGGAAAAAGAGGGCATCATTACTAAAGTCACACATTCTAACTGGGCGAGTCCTATTGTAATCGTTCCCAAGTCAAATGGTAATCTCCGGCTTTGTGTTGATTTTAAGACAACTTTGAATAAGTGCTTAAGAGTTGACCAGCATCCTTTACCAATACCTGAAGATATTTTTAATAAGTTTACTAGCTGTACTGTCTTTACTAGGTTAGACTTATCGCAGGCCTATCTCCAACTAGAGGTAAATGAAAATAGTAAAGATCTGTTGGTAATTAACACTATCAAAGGATTGTATCGTTACAATCGCCTACCCCTTTGGTTTAGCGTCGGCATGTGCCATTTTTCAATCTGTGATTGAGTCTATACTAACAAATCTGAGTCATACAGCACCTTATCTAGATGACATTTTAGTAGGTGGAACTGATCTTAAACATTGTCAAGAAAATTTGAACAAAGTGTTATCTCAGCTTGAAAAGTATAATGTAAAACTTAACGTAGAAAAGTCAGAGTTTTTTGTATCTTCATTAGTATTTTTGGGGTTTGAACTGTCAGCAAAAGGTAAAGCGCCTTCGGCTTCTAAAGTACAGCAAATTTTGTCGATGCCAACTCCTACAAATCTGTCTCAGTTGAAATCATTTGTGTCTATGTTCAACTACTATAGAAACTTTGTTCATATGTGTCCGGACCTATTAGAGCCTTTGCATAAGTTAATGAGAAAAGATGAACAGTGGAATTGGTCGTCTGAATGCGCTTTAGCGTTTGCAAAATGTAAAACAGCTTTAAGTGAGGCTACTATGTTAACTTTGTATGATCCTAGCAAAGAACTAATTTTATCAGTTGACTCCAGTTCTTTTGGAGTAGGGGCCGTCCTTAGTCAAATAATTAATGGAAAAGAATGTCCAATTGCCTTTGAGTCAGCTACCCTTAATCAAGCACAAAGGAATTATTCCCAACTTGAAAAGGAAGCTTTGAGTGTAATTTTTGGTCTTCGCAAGTTTCATAAATACTTATGGGGGAGGAAATTCACCATTTACAGTGATCATTTACCACTTAAGAGTCTATTTGGTGAAACAAAAAGAATTCCGTTACTAGCTTCAAGTAAATTAATACGTTGGGCAACCATTTTGTCAGCCTATCAATACAACATTGTACACAAAAGGGGTACTATAATTCCTAATGCAGATGCGTTATCGAGGCTACCTAGTGCTGTTAGTTCTGTAGAAGATCAAGTAGATAGCCTATTCACTTACTTGTCAACACCATTGATTTCCTTTGAAGAAGTTAGCCTTGAGACACTCAAAGATCAAGCATTATGCAAAGTAGTTAAATATGTACTTAAGGGTTTTCCTCGTTCTGTTGAAAAGGAATTGCAAGTGTACGCACAAAACAAGCATAACTTAAGTGTACACAATGGTTGTTTATTTTTTGGTAGTCGTACTGTAATACCAGTTAGCCTAAGAGATAAGGCTCTTGAGTTAGTTCATTTTAGTCATGCGGGCATAACCAGATGTAAGCTGTTTGCTAGATCGTATGTTTGGTGGCCATCCCTAGATAATGATATTTATAAGAAAGTAGTTTCTTGTACTGTTTGTCAAGCCACGCAAAACAAACGCAACAACAAGTTCCGTGTCTCATGGCCTAAACCAAAAAAGGCCTGGGAACGGGTTCATCTTGATTTATTTGATTTCAATGGCTGTAAATATTTGATTCTTTGTGATGCATATTCAAAATGGATTGAATGTTTTTTATTGAAAGGTAAACATGATTACAATATCATCATGTCCAAACTTGCTGAAGTGTTTGCTAGATTTTCTTTCCCTAATGTAATTGTTACGGATAATGGTCCTCCTTTTTGTTCAGTAGAGTTAAAACAGTTTTGCTACAGGAAGAATATCAAACTATTTTACATTCCTCCATATTCACCTCAGTCAAATGGGCAGGCCGAACGGGCAGTACAAACTTTCAAAGTTTTGCTATCTAAGTTGACATTATCCCAATGCAAAAACTTAACACCAGAGCAGTCATTGTCTGAATCTCTGTTTGCATACAGAGCTACCCCCACTTCTGTCACTGGAAAATCTCCAATGGCTATGTTATTGAGTTTTGTACCTAGGACACCTTTGACTGTAACAAAAAAGGAAGTAAATTTTAATTTGAAGGATACTAAGATAATTAAGCCAAACCAGTCAAAAACTAACATAGGCCTACCTAAAAAATTTCAATGTTATGAAGTCAATCAACTTGTGTGGGTGAATCTTAACAAACCTGTATCCAAAGGTATAAAAGTTAAGTATCAGATAGGAAGAGTAGTTAAAAGAATAAGCCCTACAGTGTACATTATCAAGGTATCAGCTGGGACCGTACATAAAGTCCATGTAAATCAGTTGAAAGTGTGTTTTTCTACTGGTAGTGTCCTGAAAGGACTAGTTCTTAGTGCACCTAAACCTGTTACTAGAAATCCAAGCACTCCGCCAAGACCTATCCCTCCTGGAGGTTCCCCTGTTGCTACTCAATCTGAATCCAACCAAACATCACCCTGGTCTCCACCTAGGCCTAGCTTTAACATGAGAGACACTCCATTGCCTAATGTCTCAAGTAAAGGGAGAGTCATTAAGCCACCTAAAAGATTTACCTTCTCAGAATATGACTGAAAGGTTGTGTTAATGTTGTTATATTACAAAATGTAGGCCTAACCTAATAATTAATTTTTGTTATTTAAAGTGGAGGGCAATGATGTATCTTTATATATATATATTACATATGGTTAATCTATGGCCTAGGCCTCAATGGAACTTTACTGTACAAGCCTTTGGATTGTGATGTAGAAAACGGAAGTTGTCTCTTGTTATTCATTAAATAAAGATGTCGTTTGTCGTTGTACAATGTGGTCTTGTCTTTGTCATTTTTAATCCTAACTCATCTCGCTGTCCAATACATCAATTACTAATTTAGAACTAAAATATAGCACAACTCTTAATCGATGCTTTAATAGGCTTCTATCTTAACGTCAACAATTTTAATGAGATGTAGCAATGTCTACTTTTCCTCTAAGCCATAAATAAATAAAACATGGTAAACCAGCATGGTCTTGACAATAATGGCATGATGTAGAATAAATAAACCTTTTCAGTCTAATGGTTCATGCAGCTTATACTGTCTTACAAGCGGACGGACACACAAACAAACTAAATGTTACAGTACAAACATGGCTAAAATATAAAAGGAAAATAGGTACAAAAGGGTATTTAATCTTCATTACAGGACTTATGTGTATGAAAAGCACAGCCTTAAGAGTTGCGTAGAAGCAAATCTACTAAATCTCAATTGTCGAGTTATGCGCTAGTATGAGCCGTCCAGTAATTCAGCAGTCAGAGATATTAATTTCTAAGTCTATTTAAATCAATAAAAAATAAAGCCGGTACACCCCTAAAACACTTAGGCCTACTCCTTGACTAGAAGTTATTAACTAAGGACCGTTTGTGCATATAGCTCCATAGTTTGCGTATATATTGCAAGGAGACTGAACACTGCTTACTGGCATAATGTGAGAACATAATCACGCCATTTGCAGCTCTGTAACTGATGTTTACGCTTTAATTTTTAGACTAAATTAATTAATGTCGTCACGGTTCAACAAATGTTGTCAAATTAGGACATAATTTGGTGTTAACACCATCGTCAGCTTCAGGAACTTGTAGAGTTGATCAATTAGTTGTAGACATTGTCAAAGGGTAAAAACAATACAGCACAAAAAGACATTGAAACATTAAAAAAAAGGCCTGTTCTAACCAAAGTGACCGACCACACAGGTAGCCAGGGACCGAATGACACTTAAATGAAATGAAATGAAATGCTTTATTGTCGTTAAAACTGAGTACAAAGTTCATGACAATCGTCAAAAGAAAAAGAAAACAATCAAGATGGCAACTAAAACTAAAACTCTAAACCAAAGTACTCTTCATGTTTATACAGGCAAGCCTGGGTTAGAGTAGTTTTTAAAACATGTTTAAATTTTGAAACACACAGGTTTTTGATGGCTGACTTAGACATACCGGTACTTAAAAATTAGTCTCGTATAGTCAGGATTGGTTTCTTGTAGAAAAAATAGAGCAAACTTACTGAACACTTTCTGTTCTGGGATGTCTGCCAATAGGAAGTCATCGCCATTATCCTCTTCATCACTGTCGTTTCTCCTTCCTAAAAAAAAAACAAAAAAACATTAAAAGCCATTAAATAGCCTACATAGCATTTTTAAGCAAAATAATTTTTTTTTTAAACAAATTGTTTATCTGGGGCACAGGCAGTAATTCCCCTTTTTACAATTAATTATTACATATCATATCACTTGGCAAAGTTCATTTTATTGTATAAATATGGGGATTTGTGGAGTCTTAATCTAAGTTTTAAAAATACCTATAGTGGGGAGGCGAAAGGCCAAAATTCCAAAGTTGGCTCACCCCGAAAAGTAACCAGTGAACACTATGCTAGATGATATTGTATAGTAGTAGAGATGATATTTTGACCGGTGTTCACTCTGTATGAGTGGGACTCTCTTTCCTGGACGCCATTTTCCAAAATGGCGGATGTCACTGTTTGATCTTTGTATAACTCGAGCAAAAATGAACCGATTTTGATGAAATTTGGTATAAACGTTTAAACTTACATTTATTCGAATGGGCTCACGAACAAGCATGATCTGATCATGGGAACGGGGGTTTATGGGGGTTTTATGGGGTAAAAATGGAATTTTTTTATTTTTTGCCCCAAAGCACAAAATTTCCCTATTTTTCTCTAAACCATTTTAAAGAACTTAAAAAAAAAAACAAATAATTTAGTATATTAACGTATTTTTTTACCCTTATTGGTTACGGAGAAAATTCAAAAAAGTGTTAATTTAAAATTCCCATGTTATTCTTATGGAGGATATCGTCAACTCTTGTAGTTTGGTTGTTTATGGATATATTTTGACCATACTAGGTAAACTTATTTATTTATACTAAGATATTAATATTGTACTAACATTCACGCTTTATTAGCCTCCCTGTAACAGCAAACCTAGGTACTCGTTAAACCTAATGTTATTTAAATTGAATTAATTTAAAAACGAATCAGGCAATTGGAAATCCACTTAGTCTGCAGGTTCGCTGTGACGAGGGTATTTTATTCTTGACATTTCTTCCTATACCTAGTGGTTCAGGAGATATAAGCAGTTAAAGCTGGGGTTTCCTCCATGTTAATTAGATTGATCCGTTTTAACTGTCACCCTAATGTATCCCGTTGGGCCTTCGCACTTTTCTATATACACAATGTATCTTCTATTTTTAAAATAATGGACCTCAATACAATGAGACATTAAATTAACTTTTATTTAATTATTATCAGTTATTACAATAATATTTCTTTAAACATAAATTCTTTACTGTTTGTATTTAACTTTATTCTATTAGTTTTGTAAAAATTTCGGATTGAACAGAGCAGCAAATCCTCATTTGAAGGGTTCGGCGGGTGCTAGCCACCCGCGGCTGTCGTAGCATCGCATTCGTACTGAAGTCCAGTCATAACCATCGACATATAAAACTAACTAATGTTGTAGTTTTATACGTCGATGGTCATAACTAAGCTTATACCCCTCTGATATGATATTCCTTCTACTTTCACGTAATTAGAAGAATTGTTACAGCCAACAGAACCACATGTTGACATTTTTATGTCAGGTTAATTTACTACAATCCAATCCTATAGGTTCTACACTAACACAGTGCAGTCTCTACAACTCAAATTAAATGGTTTAGCCTAATACAGAAACTAATTTTATATCGGTTTTAATAATTTTCTTGTAGTTTATTATTAATGTATATGATTTATTCATGTTGTAATTTATATGCCAAGCCCTTAACAAACACATCTTCATTTAAAAAGGTTGTCGTGTGATACTTCAGAGTAATCTTTGGACTGCTACAGGCATATGTAATGTGTTAGCATAGGTACGGTTGCTTCATGTACAAATTTACCGAAACAGAAAATTAACTAAAAGATTTCCAAATATGCATTTTAGTACAATTTGACCCACAACTTTATTTTTGTTTTAATAAATTGGACCAACATTGTACAACGGGTTGTTTGTTGCCTATCCACCAGTATGGTTTAAAACGTTCTCAAAGGCAATATCCAATGAATCTTATCAATCGATTTCGGTACATTGCAGTCAAGAATGTACTGTAAATCAGGCTGAGGTAGACTTGTCAAGGCTATTACGTAGAATTGTCAAGATTAAGAACAATTTAGGGCTTGTATGTTGAGCCATTTTCTATAGAGAGAGTGAAACGCATAAATAAGAGAAGCAAATGGTAAGTAAAGAAAAAAGAGATGGCAATTGCTTATAACGATGGGTTAAATTCATGAGGTTTATTGATCAATAACATTTACTCATGTTTTTATTTTGTAATCTATAATATTTTTTTATAAAAAAATGTATTTGTAAATAAGGTTATTTGTTTATATCAATGCTCAATTGGCAGACAAGAGGCCGCATACCAAGTATTTTAACGCATCGGGCGAATCTGAGATGTGCCTGATAATCTAGATTTGTTATTATATGTCAAGTCAAAAGTGTAACGAAATAGCACAGGAAATACATTAGGATTAGGTTGACAGTTAAAACGGATCAATCTAATTAACATGGAGGAAACCCCAACTTTAACTGCTTATATCTCCTGAACCACTAGGTATAGGAAGAAATGTCACCAATAAAATACCCCCGTCACAGCGAACCTGCAGACTAAGTGGATTTCCAATTGCCTGATTCGTTTTTAAATTAATTCAATTTAAATAACATTAGGTTTAACGAGTACCTAGGTTTGCTGTTACAGGGAGGCTAATAAAGCGTGAATGTTAGTACAATATTAATATCTTAGTATAAATAAAAAAGTTTACCAAGTATGATCAAACATATCCATATAAAAGCAAACTACAAGAGTTGACGATATCCTCCATAAAAATAACATGTGAATTTTAAATTAACACTTTTTTGAATTTTCTCCGTAACCAATAAGGGTACAAAAATACGTTAATATACTAAATTATTTGTTTTTTTAAGTTCTTTAAAATGGTTTAGAGAAAAATAGGAAAATTTTGTACTTTGGGGGCAAAGAATAAGAAAATCCCATCTTTACCCCATAAAACCCCATCATCCCATAAACCCCCGCTCCCATGATCAGATCATGCTGGTTCGTGAACCCGTTCGAATGAATGTAAGTTTAAACGTTTATACCAAATTTCATCAAAATCGGTTCATTTTTGCTCGAGTTATACAAAGATCAAACAGTGACATCCGCCATTTTGGAAAGTGGCGTCCAGGAAAGAGAGTCCCACTCATACAGAGTGAACACCGGTCAAAATATCATCTCTACTACTATACAATATCATCTAGCATAGTGTTCACCGGGGTTACCTTTCGGGGTGAGCCAACTTTGTTATTTTACATATTTTACTAAATTTGCCTCCCCACTACTACTCTAATTTAATTTTAAATTTTGACATTTAATTGTTCTTAATATTCCTACAAGGCATGTTAGTGTTAACTAAAATAAGGAAAATTGTTGTAAGATGAGTGTGTTGATAGCCTAGTGGTTAGCATCTCGGGCTTCAGTGAGGGAAGGATGGGTTCAATTTCCGGGACATCAACCAAACTTTAATGGGTTTGTAGGTGGGCCTACCGCTTTTCCTTAAAGGCATTTTTTGAACCAGGTAATGTAGTCTCCCTCTTATCCGGACTCCTCGGGACCGAGGCCAGTCAGGATAGCGGTTTTTCCGGTTAAACCGACATCCCAAAAATCTCATTAAAACGGATCGTTTAAATGCATACTCTTTATCCCTTTCAGACCCGGGAATCCTAGTCATCTCGACCGCTTTAAGTCCTGAGCAAATTTTGAATAAATGTTGGTTTTTAACCTAGATTTCAAATACTAAAATTATTGATTAGGTTTGTTTTAAAGGCAAAACCTTCATAATACCATATTAAACATTTCAGTTTCAGCAATAATTAGCATTATATACGTGTAAAAACATAAATAAAACTGTCATTAGCCTTAACAGTTGTCTCTTTCTCCTATCTTACCGTGACATTGCAACAAAACAATCAGTGTTACCATAAGACATGAAGGCAGACTGCAAAACAAAAATTCCCACCTGATCTCCATAACCTACACAATCGATGCATACAGGTCTGAGCGACAGAAAGATCCAGAAACTTAAAAAAAACAAATAAACATCTAACCTACACAATCGTGTTGGTTAGGTTGTCAGGACTTAAAATTTACCAACACAAATGAGTGTGCTGGGTCTGAAAGGGATACAGTATTCGACTTAAAATTAGGAGAGCATTGTATTTATACACAATCACTGGTCTCAAATCTTTCCCACGAGAACAGTCGTTCAGTACCGCCCACTTCCTCCCGATCTAGACCGGTTAAACCGATGTGCTGATAAAAATTATCCGGATAAAGAAATGTCACTTATACCGAGTGTGGTTCGGTTAAAACAATAAATTCTGTTTTAAAATAAAATTATAAATGTCTCAAATTCAAACAAAAGTTGCACAGTTAAGAAGAAATGTCGTTCTAAGGAAAAACTTGAACAAAAAAATAGTGTCATCGATGGATTTGATCTAGATACCTCTTGTACAACAGCCGAGTGCTCTATCCACTTCACCACAAACACCGATGGCTGTAAATCATATCGTTGTGGTATTGGTGTTCCAGGCCCCCACAACCCAATGACGTCACTGCTGGACGCCTAATCCGCGTTTGGTCCTCCACGGACACGTATCCTCTGCGTAAAATGAAACCAACTGTTCTATGATAACCTAACCAAACTTGTGAAATAGGTTTAATCGATTGAAGGTTTAATAGGTATTTAGGCTAGTTTACCTACCTTGGTTTAATTTAGACAAATCTAAAATGTCGAACAAACTTGATATAAAATTATGTTCACTTTTGATGATATTTACAATATCTTTTTTCTTGCATAGCTGTTGATGAGGTTTCATAATATTTGTTTCAATCTTCTTAGACCCTAATTTAGTAGTAGGCCTTGGCTTGGACTTTTTCGACTGCTTCTTGGCATGCTTAACAACGGCTTCGCTGTCAATTTCAGTACTGTTTACCATATTAACTTTGGCCATATTATAGATTTTTCAGAATATGATACAACTGGAACAACGATGAAGTTAAATTTCACCTTGTTTACTTTTTGAAAATGTGCGTCCGATAGAACACTAGCAGAATTCAGACAAAATATGTGACTGTGGCCTGACCACTAAAACATTGGACAGTCATTATGTATACCAAAACAATATTAATCTTCCTATCATCCATACACACACAGAATATCCGATAACACTTGATACAAGGAAATTCAGAACCCAGGTTGATATTCTAGGTTAGGAATGCATTCTAACCTCAAATTGATATAGAAACTAATGCAAACGCAAAGCAATGCAGACAGACAGGTTTGCTCGCTCGCTTTGCAAAGGCAGTTACAAGCATATCTTTCATGTTGATGGTGGCATGGTGGTCGATCATGCTACAAGGTAAGATACTATAACTAATGACTGTTAAATATTGAAGGATTAACAAATTTAATTTGAGTTAGAAAGTATGTAGGAGATATCTCAAAATTAAAATAAATACTAGCCATCAGAAAGTAAATAAATGCAATGGATTAAACGTGAATGCTGAACAGCATGGATTACCAGTTAGGTCGATTGCTACCAATCTTATCCAGTACGATAATTATATACATTGATCTTTCCGGTTGACAGTGGTTACATTGACTTCTCGAAGGCCTTTGGCCTTCGATTATGTCAGTCATCAACACCTCATCGCCAAACTACAAGCCTACAGAATTCTGGGAAATCTTCTATCCATTGGTTCAGTTCTTATGACCATTGATTATTGGATACAAAGTTATCACCATAGATAAAACATACTGAGGAGTATGTTTTATCTATGTTATCACTTACCACCCGTATGCTGGTAGTAAAATTATCCGGCGCAAACTCCCGGCCTTTCCGAGCCCCCTAGGGTGTGCCAAGGTTCCTACTTGGGACCATTCCTGTTTCTATCTTTCTGAACGACATCGTCAATCACATCTGCATCGACTGTTGCTGTTTGCCAATGACACCAAGGTATTCACTTCTCTGTTTCTTCCATCATAGATTGTCACATGCTTCAGGATAGTTTATTGATAAATGAAGAGTGGTTCCTTCAAGATGGCATGAAGATGAACGCCAGCAAATACCACGTTATAAGCTTTCATCGTTCCACTGACTATGTGTCCTTCGACTACAATACTCTAGGGCTCCATTTTGCACAGAGTTCAGAATATACGTGATTTGGGTGTAACCATCTTCGAGTATCAGTCCTGATGACCACATTAACTAGATTGTGAACTCTGGGCCTGCTCATCAGAACATCTAGAAATGGGCTGGATATCGACGCCATAAACACCGTCTACAAGTCAATACTGGTAAGGTCAATACTGGAATACGACGGCTGCATATGGTCTCCGGTCTCCATGTCAACCCGGCCAAATCCAGTGGTTCAGGACGAATACGGATTGTGGGTGTGAAGTTGGGCTTCGAGTACCAGTCAGTCCCTAGCTGAGTCTGGTGGAGTGTTCCCTTGGACTGAACTCGCTTATCACCAGACACCAGCTAGGCCTACATGCCTCTTATTCCTTCGAAGATTGCTGATTGGTGAGGTGGACTGTCCTGCTCTGCTTGGACTCATCGACATCCGTGTTCCTAGTCCGACACGATCTGATCACCTTTTCTGGGAATGAGATTGTATGGGGGGTTTTATCATTGACTATACACTTCTACAAATGAACAAATGTAGAGGTGTATAGTCAATGGTTTTATGGGGAAAAATTGATTTTCCTCATTTTCGACCCTCAAAACACAAAATTCCCCAATTTCTCTCTTAGAATTTTTAAAGAGCTTAAAAAAAATGTAGTATATCAAAAAATTGTTTTTGTATGGCTATTGGTAACGGGGGGGGAATGTAAATTTAAAATTACCATGTTATTCTCATGGAGGAATGTTGTAAATTTTGTAGTTTGCTTGTTTACTGATATATTTTGATCAAACTTGGCAAATTTATTTATTTTATACTAAGTTATTAAAATTTTACTAAAAACCACACTTTATTAGTTTTCTTGTGGAAGCAAACCTAGGTACTTGTTAAACCGTATGTTATTTAAATAGATTTAATTGAAAATCAATTCAGACAAATTAAAATTTGCTTAGTCAGCAGGTTTGCTAGGGCGGGGTATTTATTACAAATATCACTATGTTTAGCAGGTTTTTTGTAAATTGGTGTTTGCCGTTTGTATGAATAAATCAATAAAATGTGACCAGTAGCTTGATTAAAAGGTCGGTCTCAGTCATATAAGTTTTACAAGCCCTCTTTTCTCCATATGAGTTAAAACCATAGATAAAACTTAATAATTTGTCATTCAAATTTTAAATTGGTATATAAAATCCTGATTAAAGTCAGTCTGCTACTAATAACTATTTTATTTCATTAGTTTTTATAATGAGGGGACGACCATAGACAATGTCCATTATAAACTTTATTCGAAAAGTTAATACTACGACGGCCCTGTATGACGATTCTGTTTCTTTTCACTACCTTGGCACTAATTGTTACTATGCGCCTAATTGTTACGGAGAAAATTAAAAAAAATTGTAATTTTAAAATTCCCATGTTATTCTTATGGAGAATAAGTCAACTGATGGAGAATAAGTCAACTGTTTGTTTATGAACATATTTTGATCAAATTTAGAAAATACATTAATTTCTTACTAAACCACAGTACCTTTTAATATTTTACATAAAAACAACTTTTTTACCCTCCCTGTTGCAGCAAACCTAAGTACTCATCAAACTAATTCTGTTTAAATAGGGAATAAATGTGATATTTTTAAGGAGACATTTTAGTTTAAATCCAATCAGGCAAATGGAAATTCGCTAAGTCTGCAGGTTTGCTGCGGCGGGGGTATTTTGAGTTGTGAGTTGACTTCGACTTCGATCTCAATCTCATTCATTTCATACTCAATCTCAATGTTATCAATCCAAAATGTCATTTTCATCTTATCTTGGTTATGTTTGTTGTTATTAACATGTAATAAAACTGTATTAATAAAAGGGTTACCGGGATGGAGAGAAATGCATAATGTCCACTTCATTGACGTATTAGAAAATATGAATTGTGTTAAAATCTGAAGTCTATTATCCAGTTATTTTTGTTTTGCATTGCCGAATCTGTTTTTAAGGCTATTATAATTGTTTGAATAATTGCTTACCCTAGCCTAGGTACAGATCTAATTACAGTAATAACTGGTTCGGAATGTCAATTTGGAAAATTTTACAAAAACAATTGTACGATATTCTTTCCAACAAATGTTACCTGCTCTTGTTTCTCTTACTGAGCTACACATCGTTAATAACATTTCTTCATTTTTGCGAGGTAAGTAGTTTTACTACAATTTGCTTAACTTATTTACTAAATTTCTCAAGGCTGTAACAAGTAACTTGTGAGCTTTGAAGCTGCACAAGAGTTTCAGAATGTACTAGCAGTACCAGATTTACCATTTGGTCAAGTAGGCTGTGGACTAGAGTCCGCAGCATAAGTTATTATACCAAAACAAATTTTTAACAACAAACATTGTAACTTATTGAACTCAATTTTTTTAAATCAATAACTCTGCTTTTGCGTTTGAGGACGAAGATGCCTCCACGATGTGAGGAGATGTTCATTATTTCCCTGCCTAAGGGCTGGAGGCTGTTTTTGACAACAGATATGAAAGTCTACTCGTCAAAACAAATAACAGCTGTTTCTGTTCCCTAGTCACCTACGAAGTTAATTTTTATTCAGGCCTATATATGGTTTGATTTTCATTTACATGGTAGCCTACATTAAAGTATATATTCATCTCTTAAATCCAAGAGTAACAAATTAATTGTTTCAATTTATTCCACAGTATGAATTACTGCATGCATTGACACTTGTTTTAGGTATGGTTAAATGGAAGTTGGTTGACCAGGGCAAAACCTCATTCAAACAGATTTGGAGACAACATTGTTCAAATGACCCTAGAAGATCGGTGCGTATCTTAAGTTATGACTCTTTATAATTTTCCTATCTGCTTACTTTTAAAACGTAATTATTTAAAAACCTGTACAGGTAATATATCAATAAACATGTTTTTGAACATTATTTATCACTTGGAAACAGTTGTCACACCGTTTCTGAAATATGTAACAACTTATTGTAATCTAGCACTTTGTGTACCTAATGTATTTGTTTTGTCTGTTGATAAAGAATCAATCAACCTTAATATTTTTGAAAGGTTGGCTGCCTGTTTAACATTTCATTTGTCCGTCCACATGGGCCTTGGACCTGTGTATGGATGTATCAAGCAAATCACAGAATGAGTCAGTAAGAAACAATGATGGGATTGTCCTGATTTCAAAGATGATTAAAACATGAACTGACGACATCAATGCCCATAATAATGTTAATATGGTTCGTAGCCCATTATGCTACCGACTGAGTCAGCAACCTTTGTAAAAAAGCCTATTACTTATTGGATATTTTAAATTGAACCACTCAAGGCTATATTATTTATTTAAAACTTGCAGACTTTGCCAGCACTTTCCCATTGATGTAGTTTATACTTGGGTGAACGGTTCAGATTCAGCTTTTAAGAACCAGTTGAAATCGGCAGAGAAGAGACTCAGGAAGGAGCTTTCACGAGATTGTAAACTTCAAGATTGTCTCCCAAGTCACTTTACGGCATTCAGGTAAATAAAAATAATATTTTAAATATCCAAATGTGTGTGGAATACTCTGCTATTCCTCAATCATTATTTTTTCATCTCTACCCTTCAGGCCTACCCTTTGAAATAAAACCAAATCCTTTGTGGATACAACAAGTTACATTGCATAGTTACACAGTAACTGGTGTTTTGTCGATTTTACTGATATCTATATAAATAAAATCAGAGTTGTGTCTGTACATTGCTCAGAATCATAAACTTTTAGGTTATTTTTATGTTTTATACATTAAAGAAACCGAAACAAGTCTCATCTAAATTCCTGTCTGTCTGTCTTCCTGTCTGTCACGGCCCAAGAGCCATTTTACACGGCCTTCTCCTGAAAAACGAGAGTACCTATCAAGATCCAAATCATTTTAATGTATTCACTGGATTGGCGAGATTGTCTTTAGCCATTAAAATATGGCGTCACTACTTTGTAAATAAAATGACGTACGTTTAAAAACCCAATTTCGTGCGATTTTTGTCAAGTTTTCTCCAATGTCCAATGTCCATAACATAATAAGTTAATCTATGAAATATCGAACAGCTGTTCGGGTCAAGATTATTATTTCTTGCTGTCACTGATATGTTTACATTAAATGTTGTTTACAAATACCGCAAACATTTCTGATAACGTTTTGAAAGCAAAATCCAAACCAAGTGAGATTAAAAACTATTTACCTTACATAAAGGATGTGTAAAATTAAATTAGAGATTCTTTGTGCATAAAATTGCTCTGAAGTTTTGATAACCGGGAAAAATACCTTGAAACGGTGTTGTATAGGGCTGGGAACTTTTACAACATTTATTAAATCATCGTCGACAATAGCTTACTAACAAGGTTTCCACTCATTGACGGTGTTTCAAGTTTCAACTTTGGCGGTTGTGTAAAGTTTAAAGTGAAAAATCATAACTGCAGTGGGTGATTGTAACAGAGGTTTACGGATGATGCTAAACAATAATAGAGATCGATGTGCTAAACTCGCTTTTCCAATGTGTCACTTTCGGTTTCTACTCACCGCTATGTGCTGCAATCGCTGGACCATACAGCCAATAGGCCCATAGACTGTATCTTGGGTACGTAGGCCTACCCAATTATTCATAACAACCTATTCGACGACGATCCTTGATACCGGTACTTTTCCCTATAATACATGGCCTACCTACTTTTTCAACTGACTAAAGATCCCCGTGCGTAGAGCGGGCACACAGCTAGTCTTATTCTACAAACACATCCAAAAGATGTATGCCTTATTTAAATATTACGAAATTAGTAGGTCAAATACACATTCTCTTCCGTTCCAATTATTTCCTGGTTTGGGGGTTGACTAAACCTCTAAATTTTAGCGAATTTCCCATATAGGGAATAAAGCTTTGAGGTCCCCAGAGGCCAAAAACTTAATTGCTGTTGTTCAATTCATATGTGTGTGTCAGTTAGCAGGATAACTCGAGCAAAAATGATCCGATTAAAATTGATGAATCTTGGTACAAACGTGTAAACCTTCGTTTATTCTAACGAATACTCGAACCAGCATGATCAAACTTTGGGAACTGGGGTTAATGGGTATAGGGTAAAAATTGGTTTTTCCGATTTTTGATCCTAAAAACACAACATTTCACAATTTATTTCCAGACCATTAATTTTAGAGCTTAAAAAAACAATAATTTTGTAGGCTATATTCATATTGAAGGGTTGTTGTAAGCCTAACGGTTACGAAGATAACTCAAAAATTGTAAATTTAAAATTCCCATATTATTCTTATGGTGAATTTATTATAATATGTTGTAATTTTGCTTGATTATGGATATATTTTAATTAAGTTTGTCAATTTTGTTTATTTTATTCTAAGCTATCAACATTTCAATATAAAAACACCTCAATACGCTCCCAGTAGCAGCAAACCTAAGTAGCCTAGGCCTAATCATTAAAATTAATAATATTTAAATAGGAAATAAATCTGACAATTTTAAAGGAATTTTTTAGTAGAAATCCAGCCAGGTAAATGGAAATTCACTTAGTCTGCAAGTTTGCTGCAGCTGGGGTATTCTATTGTCTTTCCACCTACTCCCGTTTCCTCCTCCATCTGCCATTGTAATCCTCTCTTCACTTTACTCTTAATCTCGTTCAGTCTCTGTTGCATTCGTATCACAATCTATTCTTTCAATCATTATAATCTATTATTATTTTATCATTGTAAGGGTACAAATACACAGAACACCTCAACCTACACACATAAAACGCAGCATGGCACATTTTTTTCTCTCCTTCCCATACAATTACCACTAATTGTAAAATGGTTTGGTATTGTACAGAGTGCGGCAGAAAGAACTCCCCTGTTAGGAAAGCTAATAAAAACAAAACAAGTAAGATATGACATTTTTATTGCTATTAACCAAAAACACACATTATGCTATTTAAAAAAATATAAAATTATAGTGCTTTAAATAAAATGTTGTTTTAATAATCAATAATGTAAAATTATCGTGTTTTAAATAAAATTTCATTTAAATGGCGGCATCCAGTGTTAACACATTGGTTCAAACGTTCCCGGTAGTTGTCCATTACCTTTCGGGTGAGATGGCTGCAACTTCATGCCTTATTCTTTCCTTGAGGGCTTCCAAACTTTGAGGACGATGTTCGTATACCTTAGACTTTAGATAGCGTTGAGTGGCTATAGGCGATCCGCCATTTTGAATGAACTGCTCCACCACAAACGCGCGATGCTGCCCTGACCAAGCCATGGCGTACACTGAAACGGCACGTACGCATCTATTCAAGGACACAACCCCCACCACTCTACCTCACCGCTGCTCGCTACCGCTAGCCTTAGAAATCGGGGAGTTCTTTCTGCCGCACCCTGTATGAATACAAAAACTAAGCGATGTAATGTGTTTGTAAATTCATTAACATCAAATTTTTTCTACTGTTTAAGTAGTCAATATAAAAATGTAGACAGTTGGGGAAACGTAAAGGGTTTTGACGTAATCGTGAAATAAATGTCGATACTGGTACATTTTACTCTAAATTGTTAATGTAATTGTATAAAAAATATATATTGATAGCTGTTGAAAAAGGTTTCATAATAGGCGTAATAAGATAAATAAATTATCTAACACTTAACTTGAAGGACTGATTATCATTGCCATCTCATCCCACAGCTTGTCTACAATTCCTCTGTTCTTGTAGTGCTTATGATTTGTCTGCCACAGTGCAGGCCTACAAAAGACTTGATTTGCCATTTATAACTTGGACTACCCAAAAAAACGTGTGTTGCCATTCAAAAAATTCAATCTCATCTGGTTCAAATGGAGACACGCTGGATGGTGCCGCTCTCCTTTTTTTCCTCCGTATTAGCTTTGACTATTAATACAAATTCAGTATCCAATAGTCTATAGTATTAGGCTATAAAGTATGTATTTGTTTTTAAGCATCATGATTTACTACGTGGGCCGCCCCATGCCACGTTCTGTGTGTTCTCTCAAATATTTTTTACTGTTGAATATCACCAGCTCTAGAATATCCATGACATATTTTTTTGCTGTGAAGTGGGATGCTGATGGGTACAAAAATAAGTAAATAAATCTCATTCAACCTTCTTCTTTTAACTTAGGTTTTTAAGTCTTCCTTTTTTTACCACAAAATAGATTCATACACAACAGCCAACCAATACTAAAGGAGTTGTCTGCTAAACAGTTTGATATGTCAAATACACTTTAAATAACCAGTAACATTTCCTGTTTGGAACAGTAACTGTAGTTTACTAACAGGTTTTACTGTATAAGTAGGCCTATTGTTAGTAGGCCTAGACTTTTTATTAATTTTTCATGGAATCCACAGATTGAATGCCTCCGACCTGGATCAAGTTTTAAATCAACTTAGCTACGTATCAATAAAATCTGTGAAATTGTTAGACACTGATTGGACTGTTTTACGATGGGATTCAATCCAAACCGCAGATGATCAGTCGGATAAAATATTTAAAATTAATGAGAAATATTTGTCTCCTCATCACGTTCATTGGACAACAGGTAAGTTGGCCTAATTAATGTTTGTCAAAAGAATACTTAGATTTAGACAAAACTCTTGCCAAAAATTGACTAATGCGTGTTGAGTGTTAGTTTTGTAAAATTTTGCTTGAGAAAAATAATGACCTTCATCAGAAGTGATGTTTCTTTCCTTGATGCCTGATGATGGTTCCATGAAAACTGACTTGCTGCTGCCACAACGTTGCAGGATTACCAATAATACAGATATTCAAACCACTTTTAGTATAACCTATCCAGTTAATCTAGAGGCTACACCTTAAATAGAATTTTATGAATTTGGTTTGGGTTGTTAATGCTTTCTTCTTAGTCGATTGTTTTTTTCCAGCCAAATTATTACCTGACCAAGGCTCAGTCATGACGTGGTTGAGATAAAAAAAACTGGTTGGTAAAAGATTCAAAGTATTTTACTGTAGCCTATAATGAATTGTACTTTGGCATTTCAAAGGAAGGAGATTCTTTAGTGCAAAATGTTAGGCTATACATTTCATTGACTCTTAATTTCATGTTGACACTTTCTTGATGTCAGGTAAAGTGAATCTTTTAACATATATTATTTGTCCCATTGATAGATGATGTGTACATAACCACACACACCTTTCCTTGTTGGTTTTGATCAGGGAAAGGCTCTAGGCCAGGAATTTGAATTTAGAATAAAAAGAATATCTGCTATCCTCTTTATTCCACAATTCAAAATCATATTATATGTTGGTTTAAATTAACTTGTAATCAACTAGGCCCATTTGTTTGTTTTGTTGTTTTCTAACTATAAATAACATGCACACAGTCAGCATCATAATCAGCCTTTCAATTTCAGAAGAAGAAGCGACAAGTTTATTCACACCGAGTAACACAATTGCCATTCGAGGAGTCAACAAAAGCGTGGAAGTTTTATCCAAACAGACACTAGAGCAAACCTTTGGTGAAGCTATTGCCAGCATTTGGAGATTTCCAAAGATAATCTTTGCAGAGTTCAACTCACAGATTAGTGTTCGTAAAATATTAAAAGTGAGTAATTTTTGTTTAGGCCTACTAGTCCTTAAATTTAAGGTCAGGCTAAAAAGGAGCCGATATTGACTATTGGTCACTGATTTACTGAAAGATATAAGCAACAATGAAAAAATGATATTTTTTTGAGACAGGGAATAAGCCATTACCGTAGGTCTCATGGTAAGACCTAGATCCAAGCCTAATTTACTTTTTTTGTTTTGGTTTAAATTTCTTATGCCTATTTATATGCGTGTCCACTAGCACGAAAATTACTCAACAAGTGCTTGTGTTAGGCAATTATTTCACAATTAGCTATTAACATTTGACTTTAAAAATCTGTTAAGGTAATTAAAGAGTAAATAAATTAATTCCCATAGCAGACTCAAAGGAGTTGCTACTATCTTCCATCTTGGCGACTGCGTAGTGTAAGTAATCCTACTATGCCCAACATGCGCTAGTCAAACATTCATGTGCTGTTTGGCTAGGGCTGCAAAACTTGGCTTGTGTGTGTTGTGTCACGTGTGTCTCACCATACACATGGCCTTAATCCTTGGGTTTTCTTGTTATTTTACTCTTACACCAAATGAAGTTTCCATGATCGTAAATCCTCATACTTCAAAACCAGCTAATTAAACTTAAAGCCAAACCAAAACACACAGTTGAACATTATCAACTAAAATAATGTAGCCTATATTTAATAATATGTATTATAAAAACTTTTAAAATCTTTACCTACGAGGTTTTTTTAACTAGCCTTTTCAATTCGGTTCAAAGAATTGAAAAGATTCACTTTACAGTATTGTTAACTTACTTTACATCATTGTTCAGCTACTTTACAGTATACAAGTTTGTACCAATGAAGTTCAAGGATTGAGAAAAAAATAGTAAAAATTGAATGCTCCGAACGTAAACTTATCAGCCAATTTAATTGATTATACAATGAGTGAGTAGTTGGGACAATGAGTGGTTGCATCACAATCAGTGGCAATAGAGGTTATAAACGAAAACATAACCTCTCTTAGACATAACGAGTACGGTAGTGATTGTTAGTAATTAAAAAACGGTCGTAGGTAAAGTAGTGAACACCTTTAAGACTTTCTCTACGCAATTGTTGCGGTACTATTTGATTTCAGGGTAAAAAATGGAATATTGTATTCATCAAGCATGTAATGAAACTGAATGTGACAAGGGCTAGTCTAGTTTTGGAGCTTCCTACACACTTGAAACCTGACGATTACTCTCCTTCCCGATATGAAGACAAGGAGGTAAGAGTTTTATGGTTATGAAATATATCTTAAAGGTATAAGTATTTTGCTTTGGAGCTTGGGAATATTTGTTGATTTGATAATAAATACTCATATGTATAACCTTTAAAAGGGTTGAATGACTCTGATAATCTAGTATTATACTAGACACTGGGCTAGTCAAGTGTTAGTGTGCGATTTCTGTCTGGTGTGGATTCTAATGGATTTTAGTTATAATATCATGGACTGATGGTTCAGAACCCACATTTTAATATTTATCTCTAATCATCCATCTATCTTTAGTGTCCACCTATCTAAATTACAAAAACTTGCGGTTTTCAGGCGATGAGAACTTTTTCTGTTAGGATTCATTCAATAGAAGTAACATTACGGAATGTCTGAACAGGTTACGTTTGCAATGTAAATTATTTTAAACATTTGTATCTCAATTAATGAATTAATCAATCAAATTGCTAAAAGTACAAATTGTTCTTAAACTGCTTTATTTAAGTACATCAATAATCACTTCCATTTTCAGACTTTTTTGTGAGTTTAACTAGGCTACTAAAACAAGTGTTGATAAGAGTTTAACATGATGACACTTACACCTAAACAATGTTCAATAAATAATTTGTAACAAAATAAATAAATTGGTATTGGTAAACTAAACCTTTGTTAATGAAAGGTATTTTATGCTTGGCAGTGGGTGAGAGATAAATATTTTCAGAGTAAAAAAAAAATAAAATAAAATACAAGTTTGTGACTAATTTAACTGCTAAACAGCACAACATATCTAATATTTATTTTAAGAAAATTATTACCTTTTTGCTTGGATCCAAAGTTTCAGGGTCTTCTTCAGACTTGCGTGTTCTACATAGTCTGTCTTCATTCTCAATCCAGTGATTTTCAATGTAAATTGCTTTGATCATTCAAACTCGCCTTTGTTGTGGATTTTATTTTCACTTTTGACGTGGCAGCATCTATGATGGCTTTTTGACGCAGTATTTTCTTTTTCTTCTAATATTCCTCTTTGTTTTTTTTTTGTTTGACTTCTTGAGGGAAATCCATCTACGGTATGCTTATCACGACACAGCCATAGAGTAGCAGGTGTTGGACAAGTCAGATGTTCAGTATTTAATTTCTTCTTCCAGTCTTCCACGTTGATGGGGAAATCCCTGTATGCTATTCACGACCCTAGAGTAGGAGTCAAGGGGCACTAGAAGAGAAGTTCTCGCAGATCTACTCTAAACTTTGGGAGCCTATCATTCCTACTGTATCAGGGAGTTTTGAGGGAGTATTTCATAGGTTTTTATATCCGCACCCTAGAGGGATCAAACAGTAGAAGCGATGTGCAGACAATCTGGGCAGAACCCAAGAAAGCCTACACACCCACCACTGCAGCGCTCAGTGGCCCCCTGTATATAGAAACCTCTACCATCTGAGGGACTGAGTCATTCAGACTCCGAAATTCAGTGTTATCAGAGAATGTTTGCCGACATTGGGCCTTCCTCAAGCCGGGCGCCACTCCAGCGAGGATGTTCCGGCACTAGTCAATGCAACAACAAACACCCCACTGATCAACAGCACCTGGCTACCACAGATTTTGAAGCGGAATCCAAAGAAAGGACACAGTCCTTGATGTATTGCCTACACGACCATTAGTTGTTTAACGTCTAAAAGCCTCCTAAGGTACCCTGACAAATTTGGAATTCGGGCCAAATTATGGGGTGACTGAGGAGTACTCTGCCACTTGAAATAATCATTCATCTCACGGAATTGCAAAGTTTTGTTTTGTCATTTTATTTGTATATCAGAAATGTTATTTAAGTGTAAATAATTAATTTAAAGTTAAAATTTTGTTTTTGCAAATAAAAAACCTATAATGAAAAATTGATTACAACAAACCTCTTCGAACTGTTTACTGTGATACTTCATGGTTTAGTAATTCAAAACATATAATGTAAAATATATTAGTTAGGATTAGTATTTTATTTTTAATCAAGTTAAATAATTTAGGCTAATTTGTTTATAGTTTTCTATTGAAACTTTAAAGGAGGGCCTAAATTGTTGTTGGATAGAAGAAGTGAAGAGTGGCTCTGGTAGTCTCTTCGTATCTTGATGGTTCAGCGACATCTACCTGTACAACAACAGTTTTGAGTGACAAAGTCCAATGGACTCTCACCCACTTGCCACATTTAGCTTACCAAACTAATATGGAACTTGAGTGCTTGAGTAATACAAGCAATTTAGGCTAAGTACAGGGAAGTAGTGTCTTATTCCTTCTTAGTGGATGGTGTCAGTATTAAAAGATTCTTTTATAACTTGGGACATAATAATTTACAATGTGCTCTAATGCTACAATTTAACTAATCTTAATGTTTGTATAACCATTAAAAATATTAATCTAGACTCACGTACGGTACATCTTCTTGTGTTCAATTTTAAATTTCAACTGGTTTCAATTGTTTCCATGGTAATTTAAATCATGGTTGAACTTTTACCTGTAAGCATTAACTATTGGATACAGCTGTAAGTAACTAACTTTATACTTTTAACTGTTACTATGGAGTTTTTCAAGCCAGAAAAAAGCTTTATTTTGTAACATACAACATACACCGAAACGGCACATGGAAGATTTCTCAGGTGCCGTTTGACGTCACTAACTGCTAACGTCACTTTGAGGGAACACCAATACCGCAACGATACGGTTATGAGCCATCGGCCTCGGTGGTGAAGTGGATAGCGATGCGGACTGATAATCCAAATGTTCCGGGTTCGAATCCCGCCGGCGGCACTAACTTTTTATCAAAAATTTTTTCATATCAGCAAGTTTGGTTGGTTTGGTTAGGTTATGACGGTTTAATTTTATAATTAAAAAATTATAAAATTGAATTTTAGGCAATTATAATTTTATTTTATGAACAAAACTATTTTTTAGATTAGTAAACCTTTATTCGATTTTTTCATTATCAGCACGTTTGGTTAGTTTGGTTAGGTTATGACAGTTTATTAATAATAGAAAATTTTAAAATTGTCTGTTTCTTCAGAAGCAGCAGTTAGTGACGTCAGCAGTTAGTGACGTCAAAGTGTCAAACGGCACCTGAGAAATCTTCCGTGTGCCCCACCGCAACATACACCATTTACATTTTTTTAACACAATATTTATGGACGAATAAAGAAATTAGCTCCACAATGTTTTCAAATCAGTTCATCAACTACCGGGTAAATTTGAAGCTCGGTTTCCAACTCCTTTGTTTACTACAGGAACTGCGCTACTCGCTTCGGTCGTTAGAAAAGTTTGCGCCGTGGGTGCGCAAAGTGTTTATCGTGACCAACGGCCAACTGCCTTACTGGCTAGATTTGTCAAACCCTCGTGTTCAGATTGTACCTCACGAATCTATCTTCACCAACTCATCTCATCTGCCGACATTTAGTAGCCCTGCAATAGAGACTCATTTACACAGGTAGTGTTGTGTTGTATGAATGTCATGTTAGATTTGTGCATGAAAGCCAGTTTTTAACATTTTTATGTCTGCATGTCCATAAATAAGTGGAAACTAGAAATTTCATTTTTACATCTCAAATTGAGTGAAATACTTTATTTTTTATGTTAGGAGCTTAAATAAATAACTTTATAAAAATAAGGATTTTCTAATTTTTACCCATGGTTCCTTACACTTTGGGGAGCGAGCTGATCTATTGGTTAGAGAGCGGAACTTCAGTCCCTTAGGTCCCGGGTTCAAATTCCGCCAAATTACCAATGGATTTTATCCAAGTGATAATACCGTAACCCCTAGGTCTAGCCTGAAGAAATGTGAAAAAAAACCTGGGCTCGTGCCTAGCGTCCTAGGGAAAAAAACTTCACTTGGATTCCAAAAATATTTTATTTAACCCTCTCAGTGCTACAGCGTCGCTCACAGCAACAATATAGATATCAGCTTCAGTGTGAGCGTTTTAATTATTGGTTAAGATCTCCCAGCACTTCAGCATGGCTTAGGATAAAGCATCATAGCACTGAGACCATTAGTTGACACATAAAAAATAAAACTAGTATACTTTGAGTACAGAAAAAAAGTTAGAAATTTGAAATATATTCTGTCATTCACTCATACGCCTGTCAGTGATCTCGTAAGCAGACAATCACCGTTACGCGATCATGGAACAGATTTTGTAGTGCAACAACCGTTTGTGAACTGAAATAGAATACTTTATTTTAAAGATAAGATAAGACAAGTGCCTGAAGTAATTAAATATACAATACAGTATATTGTGTTTTCTGGACTATGTTAATCAGTTATCTAAACATATTCTGTGTAACAACATAATACAAAAAATACACTGTACTCTTTCACTCGTCATATTTTTATAAAATATTGCACTTGAATTAATTGTAAATTGTTTTATTGCTTAGTTTGGTGTATTGTGCTGTAATGATACTTGGGTTGAGTAGTTGTTAGTGAAATTATTATCACAAAACTTATAATTATAATCTATTGCTAAGCTTTTTACAAACACAATATATTACACCAATTTTACATACATTTTTCAGATCTAGAAGTTTTATAATAGATTATATTTTGGCTGCATCTCTAAATGTTCCTGTGAATCTTTGGAAAATTTTCACCACACAACTACTATTTATTATAGAGTAGAACCTCGATGAGAAGTATCTCATAGGTATTATGAATAAGGACTTGTAGGCCTAATCAAGGTTGACTTCTTATAGAGGTTTACGATAACATGTAATGTATAATCAAGGATATTTGAAAATGACACCTCTTATTTAGGATAAGACTAGTTAACATTCAGAGTGATATTTTTAAATCTCTAAGCCCCTATTAGACGAGGTAGCCTGGCGACGTCGCCAGCGACCAAACTGGCTACTCAGCTTGTCAAGGGTCATTGATTCTTATGGATGTTATTACACGAGGGTAGCCAGCGACGCAGCCATACTTAGGCTACCGACTGGCTACCGAGCCCCGTCGCCACTGCGGTAGCCACTGGCTACCCATATTGGCGACGCTGCGTTGTAGCATATGGAGCTTATTACACTAGGTCGCAAGAATCACGTCGCCACTCGGTCAGTTCATATCACGGGGGTACTTGCACACTGTTGTGTTGCGTTCTGTTGTGTTGTGAGTGTGTGAATTGTTCACTTCAGTTGATAAAATGTCTACATATGATTCAGTCGAAGGGATACGCGAAGATATGAAGAAAAAAGAAGAACCTCCGAAAGGCGAACAAAAAAAAGAATCAAAGAAAAAGCAAGAAGAGCTCATGAAAAAGTGTCAGAAGTTGGCCGACACAAAGTTGAACACTGAAAACTTTATTAGTGACTTTATAACAAGTACAAGTACAAGACAAGCACTCACAACAAAATGAATAATGGCGGTAAAATTCTAGCTACTCAACTGGCTACTAGGTTTGGTGGCCAGTGCGTCGCCAGCTACTGTCGCTGGCGACGTCGCCAGGCTACCTCGTCTAATAGGGGCCTAATATATGTAATTTTACCAAGCACAAAACTAGTGCAAGTAGTTTTAAAAGTACGAATCCCTCTAAATCATGAAAAATCTAAGTACATTTTGTGGTAACAATAATTTCAGCCCTTCTTACTTTCCAATCACTTGAATGTAGCATGTGTTTCAAATCATCTTTATTTGCTAGGAAAAGATGCATTATATTCACAATTCATAGAACTTGAATGATAAGTTAATGTTTTCATTAGATAAAGAATATTACACATTTATTACATATTACTAAGTAAAAATTTTATCGTAAAAAATATTTGTTTTTTGTAGAATCCCTGGTTTATCTGAAAAGTTTCTCTACTTCAACGATGATATTTTACTCGGAGAAGAGGTTTTGCCAGAAGACTTTATATCTCCAAGAGGTGGTCAAAAGGTAAATATTTTTTAATTAATATATTCTGTATTACAAAGGATATTATCGGGTACAACAATTAAAAAAACAGTAGTATTAACTATAATTAGTCCCTTAGCCAAGAACATTTTTATTTAGCATTTTTTTATTCCGTATCAAACGATATCAAGTGTAAAAAGATCGATTAACAACATAGCTGAAATATTATGATTTTTAGTTGTAAAACGGGGCAAACCTGACTAGCCTTATTCTACCCCATTTTACAACTAAAAATCATAATATTTCAGCTATTTCTTATTCAATCTTTTTTAACTGGGAACTGTTTGATAGGGAATTAAAAATGCTAAATAAAAGTGTACATGGCATTTTTTTATAAAATTAGCCGTTTTTGAGTTATTTAAGTTTAAAAAATTTAAATGGCTGCCATTTTGAAAATTTAAGTTGAATTAAGATGAAGTTTTTTCTAACTGGGTCTCTTCTACCTTAAAATACGTACCAAGGTAGAAAGATTGGTTGAATATTCAAAGGTAAAAATATTTATGTAAAAAATACAAAATGGCAGATATCTGGTTAATGAAGCGATTTTAGAAAAAATGTTATCCTTGATTTTCTCTTTATTTTTAACCAAGGATTCACTACGTAAATTATGCCCCCAACTTTTTTGAACACACTGTATATGTTTTTGTCCTCTAGAGACATTAAAACAAAAAAGTAAATCGGTCCCAGGTCTTACCATGAGACCTACAGTTATAGCTTATTCCCTATATGGGTAATTTTCCAAACGATGAATTGAGAGTTGGTTTATTTGTCTCCAGGTTTACTTATCATGGCCAGTGCCTGACTGTTCCTCTGTCTGCCCCTGGACCTGGGTAGGGGACGGAACATGTGATGTCCCTTGCAACACAACCTCCTGTGACCACGACGGGGGCGACTGTCTCTCTCGTCAGTCATTACACGACAGCGTTCACTTCCACGACAGTGACCCGGACTACGCAGACTACATTGAAGATGTGGCAGAGAGAACAAACAGAAAGCCAAACAGATCCCTCCACTTCACCGACGATTACGAAGATAATCTTGCAGGGATTGTTAATGTGAATAGTGTAAACGAGAACGCTTCCTATGCTATAAAGAATGACGATGATTTGAACAGCCTTTTGGACTTTTTGAAAGATAACGGAACGAGCTTTACTTCTGATGTCATAAAAGATTTGTTTAGTTTATTGAAGACGGTGCATGTAAATGATGCTCCAGTAAAACCATTGGGTAAAAGTGAAAAGTTGATTTTTGGAAAGCGTGGGATCAATAGCACATTGCTTGATAGCATCTTGATTAGAAAACTCGGAAAGAGTTACGTAAATATGATGGAAAATTTTTTTAAAGATGGTGATTTGAGCAAAGATACCAGAAGACCTGATTCTGGGGTAAAAATTGGCTCACGAAAACAAACGGGGATTAGAAAGATTCTGAGTTTCAAAGTTCTGAAATCCAACATAAATTCATCAAGGTAACAGGTGTTAAATTATTTTGGTAAAACTAAAATGTAACATAGTTCCACAACTACTTGTTCTTTTAACGAAATACCGAAGATTTTTACAAAATGTCTTGGTTCCACAAACAAGCAAAATTTTATCTGTATTTAAAAACCTCCTTTAACTCAATTGAACACACTGGCTCTTTATTACAGTAAAAATAGTAAATTAAATTAGGTCTATGTTCCAAGTTCATTGTTTATTTAAAGGACAATCACAGCTATTTTCATCACCAATAACTTAATTGTGTTTTCCAACACCATTGGTAATATTTATAGTGTTAGTAAGAAAACGGTTCAAACCCTGGTCTTGTTCCTATCTAATGTTGAACTTTTTAAATTACATCATTCATTAGCCCTATGATAAATTAATGGCACGAGAATCCAAAATAATAAAGGCATTACAATTATTTCTTTTGTTGAGTAAGAATTGAATTAAACTGAAGAACAATGTTCTTGTTCAGGCCTCTAGCACCAATGAACCTAAGCCGCACACAGGTTGGTGTCCCGCCAATAGGAGTTGCAGAGAGGTTTTACGCCTTTCAACCAGAGATAAACTCCTTGAAGCGCAAACTCGACACGTTTGCAGAGTCGCTTCTACATGTCAACTCGCTGCTCAACAAGAGATACGGGTACAAGGCGAGAAAAGTGCCTTCACATATGCCTCATTTGATTGATAAACATATCATGAGTGACTTACAAACTGTGTAAGTAAAACAATTTGACTTTCATAAAATTTTGTACTGTACCTACATTGCTTTGGAAAACGATTTTCCTTATAGCTTACTAGGGAAGAACCATTCAATTGAAATGTCTTAAATTCTTTGCCTTGTGCCATTGTTTTATAATCAATGGATTTTATATCGCCTACTCTTCTAGACTTACTTGATCACAAAACATGCTTCGGATTTCACATTATAGTTCAATCCCTCTAATCTGTCACCTACGAGACCGGAACCATGGGCGAAACAGTTAAAAGGTCGGACTATCCAAAGATTTCTGTGACCGCAGAAAACGATGATAATGTTCCTGTTACCACAAGAGACTCAATATTTGGCCTTGATCGTGGAAGACGATAATGATTTATTTGTTACCGCAGAAGATGTTCAGGGTTTTGCCGCAACCTTGGAAGATGATGACAGTGTTCTCATGACCATGGGAGACGTTCAAAATTTTGCAACAATCACGGGATATGACAATGATGTTTCTGTGATTGCGGGGAATAAAAAGATGTTTGCCGTGGCGGGAGACAGTGATGATGTCTACAGGACCATGAGAAATGGTCAGGATATTAACACGGTAACGTTGTCACCAATAGGCGATTGCACAGTAGGATATAAGCAAGGAGTCGTACTAGCCGAGGTCGGATCAGCGAGGTTCTAATGTACGATAAAAAAAACTTAGGCAGTATTCAAATTCAGTGTTAATACCATGATGTTGTAGATTAATTTTGTAATGAAATTGCATTTAATTTACAGATTTGTGTCTTTTCTATAGATTTCAGGCCGAGTATGATAAAACATCGTCTCACTACTTCAGACATCCACAAGATATGCAGTTTTCCTTTGGATATTTTTACTACTTGATTAACGAGGAACGTGAAGTTTCTGTTTCTGAAATATTTGACACTTTCGATACCGATAGTTCTGGGTGAGTAAAGAATTTGTTTCTGTACGTTCTGATACTTATTTCTGAAATATGAATGACCATTACGTATAATTTTATAAACAAGTTACCAGTTTGTGTTTTTATCACGATTGAAGGCTTTTTATATAAAATAAAAATATGCGTGAAAAATGAACAGGCTAAACTCCAACATTTTTGTCATGAGAGTTAATTGTCATCAAAAAAGATAATATTTAAAGTTTAAACATGTTTTTGTTAAAACTATTTAATAACCTGATTTGATGTGATATAAAAGACAAATTTACCCCCAAACAAACGGACAGTTTTGAATAAAAACTCTAAAATGTCTTCATTCACTTCATTATTTTTTTAAGATATGTACTTAACAATCAACATAACTGCTTGTTACAATTTTTACACTTTTTTTGAAAATTAAACTACTAATAAGTAGTTTAATTTTCTGTCCCATTTTATGATGAATTTTCCTTTACAATTGTCAGAACCAAAAAAGAAAGATTTTAGTTACTTGTTAGACCGATCTGTTGTAACTTCAGCTGTTAGTGCTGCTGATAATTGAGTAGGTATATCTTCAGGTCAGAATGCCAGTTATTTCTCTGGCAGAGTTTTCACTTTGAAATAAAAATTACAATATCACAGAACACAAAACCCAACATCTAACACTGTTTGACTAGACTCGCTAAGAACAATTTGATTGTGTTGCAGAACTTGGTCGGACAGAGAGATTCGTACAGTTCTCACTCGGCTGTATGATCTGCCGCTTCAACGGTCAAGTGTCCTCAACTTTGAAACTTCCCTGTTGTACTGTGCCAAGGATTACCCGCCTGATCCTCAACTCTCCATACCTCCGTTTGAGAGATACATAGACTCCAAATTGGTAAATATTAGCCGTACTCACTGATTCAAACAATCTCATTGTTGAAAAAGCTTGAAGAGCTTTACTCTATATTTACATGCTCTTTGACATACTTTAAATGTATATTTGATGACTTGGATTTATTAAAATTAAGTTTTAATCTGATCTGCCAATACGAGAGGAGCGTCACAATAGTGTCTCAAGGTCTAAGCCCGGCGGGGATAGCTAATATGAGAACACTGTAAAGACACTGTTATCTTGTTTAGACTCACTGAGTGAGTGAGTCTAAAGAGACTCACTCACTCAGTCCGCAAGTCAGTTCGTTCCTGGTGGCAAGTGTTGTCAGTTAATTTCAGTGTTCAGTCCAATCTAACTGGACTAATATAACTGTGCTGTCACTGTCAGTCAGTCTGATTTACGTGTAGTGCAGTGATAATGACTTCTGCTGTTCCGAGTGTGTTGTGTTTGTCTAGGGTAGAAATATAACGATATATGATTTTTTAAATAGGTACCACCAGTAATTTTAATTTTATTATTAAAGAAAAATTAATTTTAATCATGTATACAGTTTGCTCTGTACCCTCCAGACCCCCCAGTAACCACGACATCCAGAATTAGCCCACCCAATTATAGTAACTAGCGCCGCCACTGGCCGGATTGATGGAGGGTCTAGATTATCTACGGCCAAATCACTGACATTCTACTGTGTTTGCTCCCTTTATTTTTCTTACTGAAATAGTTGGATTTGTCATAAAAGATGGGTGGCTGAATTCCACTATGTTTATCTCTATTCTAAAACTTTGACATGGGAATGAAATGTCTACATTTTTTAACAAACCAATTTTTTCAGCCTACAGTAACAAAGCAGTTGGTCGAGAGCTGCAGTCTGGTTTCAGACTTGCTCAGACGCAAAATGGGAAGGAAGAAGCGTTTCTTGTACACTTTGGTGAAACCTCCGGTCAGAGAAGCTACGGTGGGCTTCCACATGGTTACTTCCAACCTGAGCCATCTGCTGACTACCTTGGACACAGTCAGGAGGAAGCCTAAGTGAGTTTCATAGCCAGAGTTCGATAAGGTTGTAATTGTTTTTTTATAAAGAGGTTGGCGGCCTCTTTTAACCTTACATTTGCCCGTCCACATAAACTAACCACCCGTGCGTGGAACGTTTACAGCAAAGCAAGGAGTGAGCTGGTACAGTACAAAGATGAACTGTACTGATAAATTTTAGTGGTAGTGACCAGGATCCGAACCCACGACAATGCTGCCTTGGGCCCGAAGTCCACGACGCTACCGACTGAGCCACCGACTCACTAAAATTGTTCTGGCCTTCGCAAAATAACCATAAATAAATACTATATGTTCAGTGTTCATTAAAAGTAGGCCAGCTGATGTGACAAGAGAGTGAGAGAGAGGGAGAGTCAGTTGTTCAAACCCCAAATGTCCAACAATAGAGAAGAACAAATGTAATAAACATTATCAGCAATCTGACACATACTTTCTCCCGTTAGCTTGTCAGCAACCTTCATCATGGGTATGCGGTGGTAGTAACTTTAATATTTTATAGGGAAAATCACAAAAGTTGTGATAACTGTAGAACCCAAATTTTTACAGCATGGGGGATTGCACAGTTTTGTTAAGAATCGTAAGTGCCATGTTATAGCAATTTTAATCAAACCGGCTTTTTTCGAAAATCTGATTTCCTTTATTTTATGGTTTTTTTAATATAGGAAAATAACATAGGTTGAAGTTACATTAACTTTTGAACCATAATTTATACAGCAATGGGAATTGTACCATTTGGCACAGAATTTAAAGGACTATAACATACATAATGTGTATTAAAATCATTCAGGCCATTTTAGAGAAAATTCAATTTTTCCATTATTTTATGGAAAACTCACCATTAAAAATCAATGGAAAAAGTAAAACTTGCTTATTCCACGCATTGCTTCTTAACAGTTATTGTCATTCTTGTAGCATCATTCGTTTTTTTCTCTCTCCTTTTATTCATTTTGTTTTAAATTTTATTTTCTTATTGTTTGTGTTAATCCCACTATTTAAATTCAGTAACACATTGTGGGTTCTACATTTTGTGTGTGTGTGTAAAAATTGAACTGTGAAAAACGGTTGTATTATTGCAAAAATCTTTTTGGGGATCAAGTGAAAACATGTGTAACTTTTGGCTATTCACAATCTTACGAGATCATTCTTCAAGATTTCTAGAACTTCATCGTTCATTGAACATCAAGTGTTAAAAATTTGTGTACAGAATCATAGACAAAAAGAATTAATATAGACTGTCAAGCGTGCTGCAGTTTCCATGGTTACCATGTGTTCTGGCGCACACCGCTAGGAGCGCCGTGTAGTTACGTAGCGTGTACGCCGTAAATACATGGCGCTCCCAGCGGTGTGCGCCAGAACCTATGGTAACCTCAGAACAGCTGACGGTCTATATTTAATTATATTTGTCTATGACAGAATTAACAGCCCTTGTAATTTTGAATCCAAATTAAATCTAACATTCACAACAAATGCGGTCCTTTTATTTAAAAGCCTTCATGGGTGTACGCAACACATGGCCCATACATAATAGGAAAAAAAGATGCAAAACATGTCCTCTGCCAATTAGATTGGAATAAATTAGATTTTAACAACATCTAGGACCTGCAGTACTTCAAATCTTTACAGGAGTTTATTTCCTATTTTACAACTCTATTTAAAAGGTGTAACATCAAAAGAACAACATCGATAAGGTAGTATTTTATCGCTATTAATATAACCTTTTACCATTATTTAATAAAGGTTTTGTCACTTTTACTAGCATATTTTTAAAATCTTGATTTAATTCAACAATGAATGAATATGCTTGTTACAGAAAATTCATTTGCTTGAACGATAACATGGATGCGACAAAAGAAGATGATAACCAAGTAATCAGAGCTGTTTTGATAGACTTTTTCCATTCGCTCTTCCCAAAGCCATCACAGTTTGAATTGCCAGCTGACTATCGCAACCGTCATCTATACTATCATGAGTTTGTGGTTTGGCAAAACAAGAAGAGGAAACTATCTTTTATAACGTATGGCACACTTTGTATAGCTGTTGTCGTCATCTTTTGGTTTCTCTTCCAATCTGAGGTTAGTGGAGTTTGTTCCTAAAGAACGACTTGATTGTTTTCAACATCAGTAGTTGAAAAGCTGTTATCACGATAACTCAAGTTTAAATCATCCGATTTTGATAACATTTGGTACAAATGTGTTAATCTACTTTTACTAAAATTCGCAAACCACCATGATCAGACTAAAGGATCAAAGTTTTATGAGGGGATTTATGGGGTACAAATATTGGGTTTTTATTGGACCAATTTTTCAAACCATAAAAAGTTCCAATTGAATTACTTTTAAATTTAGATTCAAAATGTTTCAAAATATAGATTTTTGAATAGTTGCAATCTTTCTGATGCATTTATGTTTGATGCTATGAAAACCTCGCTTTTCTCTTTACAGTGCCGAAGGATTCAATATAAGGCGAAAAAAAGACTTTATTGTTTATTTCCACGACTGAAGCCAGCTAGAAGAAAACTTCCTGCAAAGTTATAGATTAAGTATTTCTAACTTTTAACCCAGTATTTATTTATACATTAGAATTAAAGTCTAACGGCCTTTTATGGGTTGCTATACAGGTTAGTAAATTAGAAAGGTTCTATTTATGGGCACATAAATAACTGTACCATAGACTGACTTCTATGGCTGGATAGTCATATCAACCAGAACCATTATAATCTGCCTTAAAATGGTTTCATAGAAATCTTAACAGCTTTTTCTATACGGTAATTGATTTTGAATTCCAAAGAAATTTAGCACCTAACATTGCTCAATGCTATGTAATTTCAGAAATGAAAGACTCAAAATGTTTTTGGACTGGGATGGACAGGTCTAAAATGATTTGAAATTTTACTGGAGAGATAATCATTTTTGTGGTGAGTCATTCCATTTCAAATCAACTTTGTACATTTACTAGTCCTAAAAGTGGCCAATTTCAGTGCAAGATAGTAGATAGGCTCCATAGTCTAACCATCTTAATGTTACCAAAGCATATTTCAAAATTTATTTAAAAGTCATCTTGCTCCTGTTGGGTTAAACCGGAACTCCATTAGTTTGGGACTTGCCAAAGTTTGTTTGGAAGAGGCAAAGTATTGTTTAGGATAGGGAAAACAATGTTTAGGATGTTTTAGAACATTTGATTTTAGGGATTATTAATAGGCTATAACTTATTTTATTTTAAGATAACTAAACATAGAGATCCATTATTCCAGAAGGATTCCATTGTAATGTTAAAGAATTTTTACTGATTCATAAATTTGACCATTTCTTGGCATTTTAGCAACAACAAAAACAACCAAAGATATAAATTTTGTTCTTTTTTATGTTTTGAGTAAAGTGGATTCACTGTGCATTTTAGTTACCATATAACTTTTGTTTGACGTTCATTCTTATTTATTACACTAGTATTTTTATTCTTTTGAGATTAAGGTATTACTTCCATCTTAGGAACTAAGGGTATCTAAGGAACTTTACATAAAAAAACTAAGTATCAATAACAATATAAATATTAAATATTTTTTTGAATTTTTATTCTTAATATCACAACATGAACTGCAGTGATTGTTGATGTATTTTAACAAATAAACTGCTTGATTACTGTAAAAAATGTCATCAACAAATTGCTGACAGAATGGTCCCAGTGGCTTTTACGTATCTTTGATCGTTTCCTGTCATTTTTATGTTTTGTATAATTTATTATTTTTGTTTTTTACGAGCTGCTAGCTTTAAAAAATGTTCATATCAACAAAACTAGTCGACAGCAGTTTGTTATTGAAATTTCAAGTACGGATAGAGGTAAGGAAGGAGATTATTTATTTTTTATTAAAAAGAAAACATAAGCTAAAAAGTTAATGCTTTTGGATTTTACTAAGAATTATGAACATGAATAAACTTATTCTAAAGTATTAAGGGGTGCACACACCGGAGCGGTGCGATATTTGCGCATTGATTTAGTGCAATGGAAGTAAATGCAAGCGGCCACACCGGAGCGGAAGCGGTATACCGCTCGAACTACCGCACCGCCGAGATGCAGCTTGTTCCATTTCACTGCCCAGCGGTGACGGTTGGACGAGTCATTTTGTGTACAGGACTACAAGCAACCTACATGGCAGCAATTCAGTCCTCAGTTTTCAGTTCAGGCATCAATGGTATTCGCCTTGTTAAAATCGCCTTTTTTTTATGGCATCTTTGCGATCGTCATATTCAGAACCAGCAAACAATTGCAACATTTCTTCCTTGTCATGTGTAATATTTCTAACTAACAACGCACCGCAATTGTTAACTGCATACTCATAAATTATGACAAAAAATTACTGTAGACTGCTGTCACCGCAGCGGTGCGGAATCGCTTCGGTCTGAACGCCCAAGCGATTACGCCTCGGTGGTGATGGTGGGTCCTTTAACATATTTTTATTTACAAAAACAAAGCCTCCATAAAAATTTGTTGTTTTCGTATACGTAAAAAAAAAACAAAAGTCTTGTTATTTGTATCGTTAACTATTTATTATTTTTACTTTCTCCCCCTATACCATAGTACGGTATATGGAGAAAGTTTTGTTTTCGTCAAAATTTTCTAGTTTGAGTTTTGAGTGGATATATTCGTTTTGGGTCCCCCTGGACCCAAAAAAGTGGTTTTCGAAGTGATGTCTGTGTGTGTGTCTGGATGTGTACAGAGCTAGGGACTACACCTGTGGTCCGATTTCGATGAAATTTGGTATGTAGGTTCTAATCCATGGTATCTCCAGGCGTTTTTTTTTTAATTTTTTTTAAATTTTGATTTTTAATGGGGATTTTCCCTTAAAAACCGGAAAATCGGATTTCCTCAAAAATGTCCTGAACGATTTTGATAAAAATTTAGTATGTTGTGTTGTAGCCCTTTAAATTCGGAACAAAATGGTACAAATCCCATTTCTGTAAAAATTACTGTTCAAAAGTTATTGTAGATTATGTTATTTTCCCATAAAAACCCCATAAAACAACAAAAAATAGGATTTTATAAAAAAATCCGGTTTTGATTTAGGCCTAACATAGTATGTTATAGTCCTTACAATTTTGATAGTTTTTTATAAATTTTGATTTTTAATTGGGATTTCCCCCCCCCTCCATAAACCCCCCCCCCCATAAAATAACGGAAAAATAGGATTTTTCCAAAAATGGCCTGAACGATCTAAAAAAAAAATTAGTACAGTATAGACCTTTATATTCTGAACAAAATGGTACAAATCCCATTCCTGTAAAAATTACGGTTCAAAAGTGATTGTAAATTATGTTATTTTTCCCATAAAAACCCCATAAAATAACAGAAAATCGGATTTTCCCAAAATTGGCCCGAACAATTTTGATAAAAAATTAGTACCTATGTTATAGTCTTTAAATTCTGAACAAAATTGTACAAATCCCATTTCCTTATATTAACTCTCACCGCTTACACATGATAGGCTAAAGGTTGTTGACAAACTTATGGGAGGAAGTATGTGCCAGAATGCTGATACAGTTTATTTCTACTGCCATAATGAGATATAATCACGTAGGGAAATGTATGTTTTCCATTTTATTTTGTTAGAAGTTACCTTTTATACACTTTATGTGCATTATACATACCTAGTCATCATCACTTGTTACGTTTATGTTTGTATTTATTTATTATGATTTTGCATTTAGTGAGTTTGTCTCTGTTGTATGTTTATTTTTAAAGAGGCAAGAGCTAAGAAGGTATTTACTGCAGTATTCTTTTGTGTTTGCAAATTGTAAACTATAAAATAAAAATTTGTACTCTATAATTCATTTCTTTATTAGTCTATATCCTGCACCTGTATTTTCCACAATAGTGAAATTATTCATTTTTATTAGTTATTTTGTGGCGGAAAAGGGTAAATCCTATTTTACTCTATTAAGCATGTTTCTAAAAATATTTTTTATTTTTTAAGTAATGGGAAGGTGTATTTTACTGCATTACTGTTTACTGTATTTGCTGGTGTTTATTATTACTGGCCCCATAACTATAGAAAACTATACATAGTTGATTTTAAAAACAAAAATTTGTCTAACTTCTGCTCTGGCAGATTTATAAAGCCCCGTTTCCATCAAACATTTTCTGCTCAAAACATTGTTGTCAGCTAAACTCACAACAAAGTTGGAGTAAAATGTTGAATGGAAACACTAGCATAATGTTTTGAGCAGTGTTGGCCAACAAAAAGTGTTGGCAGCCGTTGCAGCTGACAACATTGTTGTGAGCTGTGCTCAAAAGGTAATGGAAACGGTGTCCAGCTGCCAACATTGCTGTGAGCAGAACTCGCGCATGCGCACTTGCTCTGTGAGTAGTTCCAGCACATCCACTGCAGCACCATCGCACCTCTAGCCTAGCAGACGGGTTAAACACCAACAACAACACGTGTTTTTGTTTATGGTGTAAATATTCTTGTGTCGTGTCGGTGTATCTTGTTGTGTTGGGATTTTGGACGGTATAGTGAGGCCATGGCGATGTCAAGTCAAGATTGGGGAAAAGACGAAGTGCTAAAGTTGATATCTTTGTATGTTAGTGAGACAGTGTTGTGGGATGTGTCTAACAACAAGCACAAAAACTCTAATAAAAGGAGTGATGCCATCCAAGTATCTTAATGTAGCTGATAACATTTCGCCAGCTGATATGGGACTGCGCGCACCATGTTTAGCAATTAGAGGAGCCACCAAGTTTAGTAATTCTTCAAAGTCAGTTGCCGTCATTCGTACAAAATTTTGGAATCCTGCTCGAAGTCTTAAATCCCTCATAAGGGAGTTGTAGGCACCTTCAACGGCCCTTTTAGCCAAAAAAACTCCTAACCTACCATCACGGTCGCTTTCTGCCTATTTAACTAATTAATTGGTGATATGCACCAGCCATTACGACGAAAGCAGCAGCAGCAGTCTCTTCGCTCTCCATGATGAAGGTGCACTGGTGCACTGGTGTAGGTAGGTGTGCGGGTGTGGATGGTAGTGAAATGTGCTCGCAGTGACGCAGTAGGAGGAGGGGTTGGCGGGAAATGTTGGCGTGTACTGCTGGAATGGAAACAGCGCGCCAACATTGTTGGGAGCTGTGCTCAAATCAACTTGAACTTAGCTCCCAACATTGTTGGTACAAAATGTTTGATGGAAACGGGGCTTAAGAAATACGATCTAAACTGTCCCAACATGCTTGCATTATTCTAGATATCATCACAAACACACAATGTATAGGGCTGTAGAATTGTATTGTGATTACTTCAGACATAAACAAATTTAATTAGGCTACACATAATTCAAAATAATTTGTTGAGTTAAGAGTAATAGTTAATGTTTTGTTAAAACAAAATTTATGTTTAGTTTAGCAAACATGTATATGGGATTTCAAAAACTCAACATGGTATTTCAAAATTGTTTTTATTCAGTTTTTGACATTGCTTCATTCTATCATTTTTGGCTGTAACTTTAAAACCATCATGTTCTTTTACTATCCCTCATAAATATTAAGGCAACGTTTACTTTTTCTTTTATTATTTTATTGAACTCATTCAGTTACCCTATCTTTTTTTGTCATACTCGTGCTTTCTTTATTTTTTAGGGAAAACAGATTCACAAATTTACGTTTCATATTTTTTTTGAGTGCGTTTACTCTTGAATTCCTCTTCATGTTGGTCAGAATCAACTCTTTCTGAAAATAACCCTCTTCCGTTTCTTTTGTTTTAGATGGACAACCTTTATTTTCTGGTTGATGAATAGTAGATGTTTTAAGTTTACTTTCACTTAGTACTGATTCTAAGACTGTAGAGCTGTTTCCGTTAATGTCAATGTCATTTGACAACGTAGAGTTTATTTGTTTTCTGAGCTCACGTTTCACAACTCGTAATGAAAACACTGGAACACACTCCAAGGTTTCTTTCTCTACTACAAACTCTCCTTCTAGAACTGCGTCTAACGTTCCCAAGTTAAATACATGCTTGAATCTTTCTTGTGACACAATACTTTCTCTGTGAACAGGTATTTTATGGGACGTAAGATCCATTTCATAATGACAACCTTCATCGTTTTCTCGTAGAATATTATCATGGAAAAATTTGCTTGTCAATGAAATTTCTACATTTTGAAATTTCTTGCAAGTCTTGAAATCGTGGCCTTTCTCAAAAATAGGTTTCAATTCAAAATAGTTTTTGTGAAGGATAAAAAAAGAACTTTCTTTAGTTAAATGGCCTGAGATTATTACTTTGTATGTTTCTTGTCCATTTTCGTTAATTTCTAATTGTTTACTGCAGGTTGTTGTGAAACATTTGCTTGTATGGGATGAGTAATCAGGAGGAAAAACATCCTTTTTAAAGTGTCTTGACTCTTGTTCAATACTGTCTCGATTTTCAAATAGAACTGATTCTGTTATGCAGTGTTGCAGGAAACCAATTTTGTTTTCCCCATTATTTTCCTTTGACACTCTGATGTATTCAATATTCTTATTCAGTAGGGGAGGAAGTGATTTCCCCTTTGACTCGTTTCTCTTAACCTTTGTGCAAGAAGCCTCATGACATAATTTTCCATCCTCTCTTTCTATGAAGTCTCCATCCATCACTTTAAAGTTCAATTTGTTTATGATTTGTGAAACATCGAGGATTGCATTCTCATAGGAACAATGATCATTGTATTTTCATATTTTATTGGTCTCTTCAGTAAGTAAAACTGTTTTAATTTTTATAAATATTAATTCAATGACAATGGTAAGAGTTTTAAGTTGACGGGCTATTTTATTTCAATAGATTATTTCAGAATTCAAAGGTCCCTTTGTAGGCATTTTGGATTTTTTGAATTCTTTTCTTATTTTGTGCTATTGCTACTGCTGACGTTTTTTATTTTTTCCTCAGCGCTTTCTTTGAGGAATTCTTGTTAGTTCCTTAGTATTTTTTCACCTATATGGTTTGGTTTGTGATATTTTGTTGCTTGTAACTTATATTTTACAGTTCTGTCTATTACAATAATATTGTTGAACAAACCTGAAAAACAAGGTTTAATTAGTAAGAACTGATCAAAAAGTTTTATTCTGCAAGTTTAAAATAGATATTTGAGATTGATCTCTAGATATCAAATGTTTACACAGAAAAAAATACAGCTTTCTTTACTACTGTAATATCTTAAACATCTTTCTGTTATCTGTCAACAAAGGTATTTTGGTTTAATAGATTCACTTTGTACTACTACTACTACTACTACTATTTTGTTTACTATTTTTGTTTTTTTGTTTACTATTTTATACTACCTTGACAATTGATACAACTAGACATTTCATCCCAGTGTTAAAGTTGTCGCCAGTTTTAAAATCAAAATCGTCGTAGTTGATGTGAGTCACAGAACAGATTGCACGGAACTGTATTAGTAATTTCTGTTGAATACACAAACCTTTTTACCATGTTAAACTAATGGAATGACTTATTGTGAGCCATAGCAACTCTGTTATGACCCATCAATTTGGTCAGCAAAAAAATAAGGTACAAAATGGAATTATTTTAGACCCTAACGCATACTGTGACTTGCTCACACAACTACGTTCTTTTGTAGTAAAAAAATAGCGACAGCTGGTCCATATTAGATGGAACGTCTCCTTCAGTGTCGTATAGTCAATGGTAGGACTTTGCTTGAATGCAGGCCTTTGAGATCCATATGTACAGGAAGATTCAAGAATAAAAGAGGCCAAAGACCTCATAAAAAAGGTGAAATTAATATTTAATATATTTGTGGATTGTCCAAAAAACTTATAGGGGTATTTTAGATATAAACTCGTAGGAATCTAGTCGCTGAGCCAAAAAAATTCACGTGCAATGTACAGTACAAACCAAATGAGAACTATATTGCAATGTAAGAAAACTGCAACGTAACGGAAATAATTCATGCTGGAAAGTAGTTTGATAGCATTCTGTATTGGAGTATTGTTCATTTATAAAAACAACCAAACCTGACTCTTAGGCTTAGGATTACTTTGAAGTATGATCCAATGGAACAAATGATTGAATTCCTTATTCCTAATGATTGAATTCATTATCACATCTTTATATTTTACCAATCCATATTATAAACATAACTATCTGAACAAACATAAATTTAATCCGATGTATACTTCAGTTATAATGCCCAAAAAGGAAGATTCAATTTAATAATGTAGAGGGAACTTAGGTATTTGTAAATAATGTTTTTTAGACCACAATAACATAAGTTATAACTTATATTTCAAGATTATTTAAGAAACTAAGTCTTTCTTTTATATTTTTTTATTTTTTCAAAAGCAAAATTTACTAAATAGTTTTCTTATCTTGAAGAATTGGAAACGAAATACTTTCTGTTGTTGTGGACAAACTCTGTAAAGACTTTTCTTTTCTTTTCTTTTTCAGCTTCTTTCTGTTGCAGTCATATTCATCCTCCAAGTCTCTTGAGCATTGTCTGAGTATTGTATTTTCGGATGAGATTTTTTCTATTTGTCCTCCTTTCGTTACTTCCTCTCGGTTACATGTATTGTTATTGATCATTTTTGCTAATTTTTGACTCGCAAAAATATCATATGGTTTTACACTTACTATTGTCTTTAGATCACATTCATTGATATCAGGTTTGGAACGTTTTTTATCCTCCTTGTTTTTGTCAACTTTATTGTTTGATGGATGTTCATTTCTATCTATTATTGCAGGCATTACTGCTATTGTAGATTGTAACACCAATGCATCACTTGCAGTATCGTGGCCATTAAACACTGAGGCTGTACTTTGATTTTTGTCACCTTTGGCAAACGGATTGTTATATTCCGGTTTATATACTAAAACAGCTGTCGATGGTTTCCCATTATAATTCTTTTCCCCTTCGCTTTTGATATTAGGCTCAGCTGGATATTTCTGTTTGACATCTAACGTAAGAAAAGGTGTAATTTTTTTGGTGATTTTACTCTTTATGAATTCGCCTTTTAATGAAACATCAGCAGAATTGAATTTATAAACTTGTTCAAAATAATCATCATATACATTACTAGTTTTTTCGTCAATTAATATTTTGTAGGGTTTAATATTTAAAGCTTTTGGTTTGCCTTGGTGCTCCTCGAGGATTCTTTCATCGTAGAATCGTCCAGTTATACAGAGGTCAACATCATCCTCCTTTTGTTTGGTGTAAAAGTCAGCTTTTTGATCTTTGAACAAGTCAGGTCCCCCTCTATAATCCTGTATTATGTATATAGGTTTTTTACCCTTTTGGAAGTGCCCAGATATTAGGAATCGTAAACAGTTTGGAGCCATTGGTTTTAGAGGTGGCTTTTCCTCTTCCTCTTCCTCTTCCTCCTCCTCCTCCTCTACTTTTTCTTCCTTTGGGTATAAAGGAAGCTCTTCTTTGTGCTCCTCCTCTTCTTCTGTTTCCTCTTTTTCCTCCTCTACTTTTTCTTCTTCTATTTCCTCCTCTACTTGTTCTTCTTCTTTTTCCTCCTCTACTTTTTCTTCTTCTATTTCCTCCTCTACTTTTTCTTCTTCTTTTTCCTCCTCTACTTTTTCTTCTTCTTTTTCCTCCTCTACCGCTTCTTCTTTTTCCTCCTCTTCCTCTTTTTCATCTTCTTCTTCCTCCTCTTCTTTCTCTTCTTCCTCATCCTCTTCTTCTTCTGATTCGGACTCAACCTCTTCTATCTTCTCCAGAAGAGTGTGTAATTTCCCTCGAAAATGGTCATAATCAGTTAGTTCAAACGATGTTTGATGTTTGTAACGAGTACTCCTTCTCGGTTTCATCTTGAAATTGATCATGTCTCTCATTGCTTCAAGATTACTGTCGGGCACCAAATACAGTTTTCCGTCTACATAGCCCTCATGGTATAACTCAGCTGTTTTCTCACTCTTTGTTTGTAATTCAGGAACTAGATTCGTATCCCTATGTGTTTTTTTGCTTGAGAATAACTTCATCGTATCAAACATGTCTGTTGGAACAATATTAGTCTTCATTTCCCTCCCTCTCATAGGCTTTTCTTGAACAACCGGTTCTACGTAGTCATCCATTTTTAGAATTATATCTTCTATTGTAAAATAGATTAGGAAAATTTTAAACTGCTTTAGAATACCTGTAAATAGTCACAAATATTTTTATTTTGAAGTGTTTTTGTTTTTTTACAGTAATTTAACTTTATTTCAGATCGACCTAAATTATCATCGCCTAAAATATTGAAACTTTATATGTGATATGTTTATTCATATTTTATAGATAATTCATGAAATTGTGACAAACCATTGGGCACAACATTAAATAAACCATTTCGTTCTGTCAATGTTTCAATGAGTCAAACATTTTTACATCTAAATTATAGATAATATATAACTAAATTTTAGCTTAGACGATTTTCAAATAATTCCCATAACGTTATACAATCTTATATAAACGTATTTTATACTATCAATGAACTTCGATCAGTGAATAAAGAAAATAAGGCAGGTACATAATGTGGTAACTGCAAAACAGTGACATACATTTGTAGTGTATTTGTAAACCATAACTTAGATTTAATTTAGCTTAATATTTGACTTTGTATATTGCTGTAAAGCCAAACTACAATAGAATTCGTATTTATTTATTAATTGTATTATTTACACCAATTCAATACTGTGCTTAGCAATTATTGAACTCTTTCTTCTAATTTCTTTCTTTCATTCTAACACAATACCTTTAGCTACGTACAAACATAGCTAAAAAATGCAATAAACATATGGGATAATAAGAACATACTTGTACTATTTTTTGTGAAAAAGTTCTTACATTAGGTTGTAATAGAAAAATGTAAAATATATATTAACACGTTCGTGGCGGCTGGGGTTTCTTTGTACGTTACGGCCATTCCTGAAACATCATATCTTCATCATCACTCACATTCTCACTGCTAACGTCAGTTTCATCGTCACTTGTCCAACCTTTCCCGTCACTAAATACAAAGTCCAAATCAACTGGGTCCGACATTTTGAAGAAAAACTAACAGCGATCAAAACATCAGTTGCGCAAGTGTTCGACCGTGACACTGACTAGAGACTTGGTTACTGAGAGCACCACGCCTACCGTCTAAGCAGCACTGTCCAGTGCAAACTCAAGTTGTCACAAAATACAGTATACTATTGAGCAGTGCTGGAGGGAGTTTCAAGATTTAGCTCTAACCCTGGCTTAAAAATAAATCATTGTGTGCCTCATCGCAGCTTGGGAGCGAGCACACCCATTAGGAGCGATGGCGATGGCACAGTGTGGCCATGCCACCACGAACGTGTTAAGCATATTTAACACCCCTCATCTATTTGATGACTGAATACCTCCCAAACTAATAATTAGAAGATTACTAAAAACCTAAATGCGTTTGCTGTTTTTTACCATAAAATTATCAACAAGTGAGGCATAATTTATTGAATTTAAAAACATTTTAAGACAAAAATCCAAGATTTTTTGTACTCAACAAAAATCTTATTGATTAGGAGACATTAAAGAACTTAGATTTTTCAGTTGGCACTGTAAATACAATTTTACCGTATCCAGCAATGATAAAACTTGTATGTATGTTACACTTGGTACTCTTTATTAATGAACCCCCCTTGAGAAGTATCAATCACTCGTCCATTGTTAACATTCAAGTCCTGGACGGATCAGAAAAAAAATTGAAGAAATTATATATTGTTTTACTCAGTTTAAAAACCTAAACTACTCGTATTTCATGTACGCACTTGTACATGTGCGTAATGTGCCTAAATGTGCCTAATGGCTACCACGATAAAAACAGCCACGTGGTTATCACGATGCTTGTCTTTAAGTTTGAAGGTCGTAGCTTTGATTCTGGACCCAGGTGATGTATTTTTCCCGTCATTAGGCAAAAATACATTAATCTTTACTGACAGTTGTATATTTGTTAACAAGAGGTCGACATTATATGTTAACAAGACCAGGGTTTGGATCATTCCTAACGGGAAGAGAAGGATAATATAAAACAAAGTACTGAACACAGTACCTGTCTCTTAGGTTATTTCTATGTAGTAGATTAATTGCTTGCTTGTATAAATTATTCATAAAATTTGGTAAATTTGTTTATTTTTCATAGGATTTTTTGTTTTTGTTAGAACCTCCACTAAATGAATAAGAAGACTAATTTGTTCGTTTAATTTCTGCTAATGATTAAATTTCGTATATTTTACAAGTAAATATCACACAGTAAACACTATGCTTCATTTAACGTGTATTTCTGGCCGTTCCATTGTTGCTTTCAGAGTTGAAAGACTTTTCTTTGACACAAAGTGATAAGCTTGGAGTAAATTGATTGTTTTTATTCTTGATAAATTCCCCCTTTAACAGGATACTACAGTATTCTTTGTCAAAGACATGTTCAAAAGAGTTATTAAATGTTTTGCTGTTCTCATCAATAATGATTTTTTCTGGTTTAGTATTCAAAAACGAAGAACCATCGACCGGCTCGACTAAGATAGCTTCTTTGTATAATTTTCCAGAAATAAATACACTTGTATTGTTGTTTTCTTGAGAAGACATAATATCTGAGTTTTGATCTTGGAATATATTGTTTTTTCCATCGTGTTCTTGAAGTATGTATAAAGGACCTTCACCATCTTTGAAATGTCCTGAAATTAAAAACCTGATACGAAGGTGGTCAGCTTTATTTTCATTTTGTATCACCTTGCAAATCTGACTTGGCAATTCTTCCTTAGGTTCATCTGATACATCTAGTTCATCTGATCTAGAGGACTGTGATCCAGAAAATGGTTTAGGATATACTGAAACATATTCTTTTTCTAACTCTTCTACAATTTCAGACTTAATCTGCTCAATTTTACTTTTTATTGAATCGGTCCTAATTGGTTTTTCAATCTGCTCAATTTTACTTTTTATTGACTCGGTGCTAACAATTGGTTTTCCAATCTGCTCAATTTCACTTTTTATCGACTCGGTCCTAACAATTGGGTTTTCAATCTCCTTAATTTCACTCTTTATTGACTCGGTGCTAACAATTGGGATTTCAATCTGCTCAATTTCACTTTTTATTGATTCGGTCCTAACAATTGTTTGTTCAATCTGCTTAATTTCACTCTTTATTGACTCGGTGCTAACAATTGGGTTTTCAATCTGCTCAATTTCACTTTTTAATGATTCGGTCCTAACAATTGGTTTTTCAATCTGCTTAATTTCACTCTTTATTGACTCGGTGCTAACAATTGGTTGTTCAATCTGCTTAATTTCACTCTTTATTGACTCGGTCCTAACAATTGGGTTTTCAATCTCCTTAATTTCACTCTTTATTGACTCGGTGCTAACAATTGGGTTTTCAATCTGCTCAATTTCGCTTTTTATTGATTCGGTCCTAACAATTGGTTTTTCAATCTGCTTAATTTCACTCTTTATTGATTCGGTGCTAACGATTGGTTTTTCAATCTGCTCAATTTCACTTTTTATTGACTCGGTCCTAATAATTGGTTTTTCAATCTGCTCAATTTCACTTTTTATTGATTCGGTGCTAACAATTGGTTTTTCAATCTGCTCAATTTTACTTTTTATTGATTCGGTCCTAACAATTGGTTTTTCAATCTGCTTAATTTCACTCTTTATTGACTCGGTGCTAACAATTGGTTTTTCAATCTGCTTAATTTCACTCTTTATTGATTCGGTGCTAACGATTGGTTTTTCAATCTGCTCAATTTCACTTTTTATTGACTCGGTCCGAATAATTGGTTTTTCAATCTGCTCAATTTCACTTTTTATTGATTCGGTGCTAACGATTGGTTTTTCAATCTGCTCAATTTTACTTTTTATTGATTCGGTCCTAACATTTGGTTTTGCAATCTGCTTAATTTCACTCTTTATTGACTCTGTGCTAACAATTGGTTTTTCAATCTGCTTAATTTCACTCTTTATTGACTCGGTGCTAACAATTGGGTTTTCAATCTGCTCAATTTCACTTTTTATTGATTCGGTCCTAACAATTGGTTTTTCAATATGCTTAATTTCATTCTTTATTGATTCGGTGCTAACGATTGGTTTTTCAATCTGCTCAATTTCACTTTTTATTGACTCGGTGCTAACAATTGGGTTTTCAATCTCCTTAATTTCACTCTTTATTGACTCCGTGCTAACAATTGCTTTTTCAATCTGCTCAATTTCACTTTTTATTGACTCGGTGCTAACAATTGGTTTTCCAATCTGCTCAATTTCACTTTTTATTGACTCGGTCCTAATAATTGGGTTTTCAATCTGCTCAATTTCACTTTTTATTGATTCGGTGCTAACGATTGGTTTTTCAATCTGCTCAATTTTACTTTTTATTGACTCGGTCCTAATAATTGGTTTTTCAATCTGCTCAATTTCACTTTTTACTGACTCGGTCCTAATAATTGGTTTTTCAATCTGCTCAATTTTACTTTTTATTGACTCGGTCCTAATAGTTGGTTTTTCAATCGGCTCAATTTCACTTTTTATTGACTCGGTCCTAATAATTGGTTTTTCAATGCGCTCAATTTCACTTTTTATTGATTCGGTCCTAACAATTGGTTTTTCCATCGGCTCAATTTCACTTTTTATTGATTCGGTCCTAACAATTGGTTTTTCAATCCGCTCAATTTCACTTTTTATTGATTCGGTTCTAACAATTGGTTTTTCAATCTGCTCAATTTCACTTTTTATTGATTCGGTCCTAACAATTGGTTTTTCCATCGGCTCAATTTCACTTTTTATTGATTCGGTCCTACCAATTGGTTTTTCAATCCGCTCAATTTCACTTTTTATTGATTCGGTTCTAACAATTGGTTTTTCAATCTGCTCAATTTCACTTTTTATTGATTCGGTCCTAACAATTGGTTTTTCAATCGGCTCAATTTCACTTTTTATTGGTTCGGTCCTAACAATTGGTTTTTCAATCTGCTCAATTTCACTTTTTATTGACTCGGTGCTAACAATTGGTTCTTCATTAATTTCTTCTTTTTTGCTTTTACTTTCTTCAACATCCTCTTTAACACTCACTTTATCCTCAATTTCCCCTACCTTGCTTGTATTGTCACTTGTACCATATTCAATTCTCTTAGTGTTTCTCGCCTCATCCTCCATCTCCCTTTTGCTACTTGTACTTCTTTTGATTTCTTCTACTTCCTCTTTAAGTACTGCCAGTTCTTCCGGTTTTCCTTTATCCTCGGAGCTCTCAATGCTGAGGTCAGAACTTTCTCTCACAGTGGACTTTCTAGGGTCCATATCTCCAGAATCATGGAAGTCGTCTATTTTTGACAACAACTCATTCAGCTTTTCTGTAAACTGGTCATAATATTGGATGTCGTAGGATGTTTGGTGTTTGTACCTTATGCTCGTCTTTGGTCTCATTTTGAAATTAATCATATCCTTCATTGCTTCTAGATTACTGTCCGGAACCAAGAAGAGTTGACCGTCGACATAACCCTCGTAGTATGTCTCAATTCTTTTCTTATCGTGCTTTTCAGGTTCAATGGATCCAGCAGGGGCAACTTTATGTAAAGGGCCTTTTTTGGACAGCATTTCTCTTCCTCTCACAGGCTTTGTTAACACTACAGGCTTAGCCTCCTCCATTTTTGGATTCCGTTATTTCCTCTTTAGCTACCGAACCACTTCAATATTGCCCAGCACTTTAAAACACTCTTTCAGTTGGTTGGACCATGTTATAACACAGTGTGTGTGTTAGTGAACGTGTCTGGAAAGAAAAAAATTGTTCCTCATGAGTAAAGAGTAACACTCACATGTTCTACAATGCTTAAAGGATCTTTTAAAAAAATGGTATACATGAGGGAAGTTCACTGTAAGCCAAGTGTAATCGAGAGATATTACAGATTCTTTTCATTTTCAAAGTAGATTCTCCGAATTACCAAGATATAAGTTTTAGACAAACACAATAGAGGAATTTGGAATTTATAAGACAGTCAAATAAACAATGTGTGGTCCAAGATAACACATTTGATTTCATACACAAAGCCACAAACACTGGAATGGAACACACTCACTGCTGCTCATAAGAACGAGCACGCTTCAGCAACCACAGTGACAGCAGTCCTTACCAAAACTACTGCTGATTGCTTCGTAATTGTTCTAGTCATGCGTGTTTGTTTTGTAAAGAGTGTTCCAGTTTGACAATATGATGATATAAAACTATGCTTTAGTCCTTGTGATGCCTGATGATGGTTCCATTATGAACCAAAGGGTGTGTCAGCTTAGTGGTTAGCCTCTCTGACTTTGGTACGGGAGGGACAGGTTCAATTCCCTGCATATCCACTAAACTTAATGGGTTTGGACCACTTGCACATAAAAGCGTTTGATTTTGCTATAAAATTTGGAGGATACAAGAAAAAAACTAGTTACCATTGCAATTATATAAGATTAAGATATCAATAATAAAGTTATTTAAACCACTTACAGAGATCTATATAATCTAGCGTCTAGCGCACCTCTAAATAGTAATTAAATAGGTAATTTCTTTTAGAGCTTTACTCTCCGCGCGTTTAATTCATATCTAGAGTACATTTTCAAAGATCCAGTTATGACCAGCTCTCTTATAACGGTTTAAATGTGAATTGTTATTTAACAGCTGTTCCTTCAGTCAGATTGTAAATAAGAGACTCAACCGTTTTTACAAATGTGTTTTAAATAGGCTACTTTTTTGACAACTGTGACCTATTAGAGGTAGGTAAACTCAACAAAGACTCTAACAAAGGACTCAACACATTCAATGATTTTTGCAGTTTTCTTTCATCAGTTCTGCCAGAATGTTTGTTGTTGTCAATGTAGTGTTCGCCAATTAGATGAGAGAAACTTGAGATTTTTGTTTTTACTTCATCAATGGTGACCAACATACTTTGTCTGTGCTTTCTACGATAAATAACTTGGTAGATGAAATCAGTTTATTCACTTTAAAGAAGTCTAAACAAGAACAAATTAAAAGCAAGTACTGCATGGATTCTTAAACTTTTATATTTCTTTATTTACTACGTGGCCTACAAAAATATGTGATACGTAGGATACAATTGTGTAAGAATTCCATCTTCAAATATCACCTCTTATCTTTTCTTTACTACAGGTTTCAATGAATGGTTATGCTGTGTTGATTTTGTTACCGACAGGAAACACTTTATATCAGTTTTGATTCGGTTTACCAAAGGATGTAGAAGAGTGAAAAGTAAAAAACATACGTTTAAAAGAAAAGCACTTAATAATATTTTTTTTCTCTTTTTTGGAACTTTTTTTATTTTTTTTATTTCATTGCCATTTTAAGTTTCATAAAATGTCTATGGTAACTCAATATCTTTGGTGGTTGTTTAATAATACAGCATATTTGACGGAAAAACACAAAATTCTGTCATGACCATAACGAACGTAAAAATGAATATTAAAAATAGTTAATGGTATTTTTATAAATATGTTTTGCTGTAAATAGATTCAGTTTTAGGTCCATTTTACAATAAACAGCTCTTTAAACTTTTATATATTTGGCATTTCTAAAAAAATCAAAAAACTAAAACAATTGAAAAAAGCTGAAAAAAATCTCTTTTATTTATTTTATTTATTTATTTATTTTCCAATAATCACATAATAATATTCAGACAGGTGATTCGTCATTGTTACAATAATTTATAGTCTCTATACTAAAACTATTACTAAAATAAATGTTATATGCTGAGCCTTAACATCTACACAGCTTCCATATATTCCTCCAATGAGAAGAAGGCCTTCTCCAAAAGAAAGTTTTTTAACTTATTTTTGAATTTAGGGAATGAATCAGTGTCCCTAATTGAAGAAGGTAATAACTGGTTTTATATTGTTTTTAAATCTAGTGTTATGAGGATGTTCATGTTGATCTTCCATGAATGTGTCAAAATCACTTTTAACCATTAAAGCCAGTTTATAGATATAAGAACTATACAAAGTAAGAATTTTAAACTGAATGAAAAACTCTTTACTGTGAGTAATTCGAGACACTTTGGCTAAGACTCTAACTGCTCTTTTCTGGAGGATAAAAATTTGTTCGGCATGACTAGAAGAACCCCATACTGTTAAACCGTAATTCATGATGGAAGAAAAATAAGCGTGATATACTGCTAATTGTGTGTCTAAATTTGTAATGTCGAATTACCCGAAGAACAAGTATAGCTGATCTGAGTCTCTTTGATAGATTCTTAATGTTTGTTTGCCAATTAAGTTGCCAATCTATATCAATTCCCAGGTAATTGACCGAGTTTTGAGAATATATTGATGTTTGGTTCAAGTTTACAGCAATGTCTCGATTCTCATTAGCAACTGAAAAGTGAATTAGTTGTGTCTTTGACACATTCATAGATAGACCATTTGCTGTGAACCAGTCCCCGAGGAGTTGAAACTCATTAGTAATTAAGTCTTGTTTAAAATCCAATGTTTTTTGTTCAGTGCAGATTAAAGCAGTATCATCTGCATATTGAAAAGTGAACTCCGTAGGATGTATAAGATTTTAGTGTATATAGGAGTTATGTGTAAAACTATTACATTTAAAAAATTAATTATGGTTTATCAAGTCTTGTGGAATATTATAATAATAAGAGTAGTGGAAGGAAAACCTAAATAAACAATATAGTGATTCTCGTTAATCACAAATTCCAGACCGAACACTTGTCCCTGACCACAACGTTGATGATTTGGATCATAAAAAATTCAAAAATTGATATATCATCATATTCCAATGTTTATACACACAAGAACGCCTCTTTAAAAACATAATGGTTTTTCATATACCGGGAAGGTTTGTTCGGAGCTATACAAACTTAAAACATATTATTACTTCGAACATAGAGTTCAAATAGACCCTGATGTAAACATGTAAAAACGTAAAATCCTGGAGTGAGAGGACTACATTACTCAAAGATAGCCCTATTAGTAGGTGTAGGATTAATTTTCCATTTTTATGAATCCTGTGGGGAGAAGTAAATAGGCTATATAAACAAAACAAGACCATATTGGTTCATAATTTTTTTGTTTGGAAATTATTGAAAACTTATAGTCAACAATGTGAATTTGGTCCACTTTACCTCGAAAGGATGGGAATTTGGAATTCAAAAGTAATGCTACTTGTTCCCAGTAACAAATAAAATAAATGCTAATACTGTAAAGCAAGGAAAAACAAAAACCCCTTTGATTATGCAAAATTACAAACTATGTCCAAATATTAGCACTAACTAATAGTAAAAAATTGGAAAAAAAACTTGTAATTACTTACCAACAAATGGAGGTAAAAATTAATTTACAACAAATTTTTATTCATTTCATATTATGTTTTCCTGATGGATTATTTGTTTTGTTTACAAAGGATCAGCTTGAATTGTTTTCAAACATTTCATTGTATCTTTAATTTTACATAGCAATACTTTATAATCATGCAACATAGTTTGCTAACAATTTTAAAATGGTTTATTCAATTAATCTTGTATTATCATTGTTTTTTAACATTTTACAAACAATTTTGAGCAAATTACATAAAGCTTTTTCAAAACCAAGATTTTCAAGTCAAATTCTGTCTTAATTTTCAGTTAAGTCAGCTTAATGAATTCCAATCTTGATCTCAGCTGTTGAATTTTATTGATTAGGTTATTTTTGTTGATTCTTGATTTTAAATCTCATCCAAAATTAGAGGATCCACCAATGTATTTAATGACAGCGAAACTTTCCTGTTGCATTGTTCACATTCAGTGAAAATTTACACTGGACCTATACATATGAAATATACTTAAAAATAAAACTGTCCTCAACTGATTTGCAAAAGAATTTGGTCAATCATGGCTATAAGAATCCAGAAGGCTAATTTGAACGTTTATATGTGTTTTGTCAGTATTTATACTCTATGTAAACCAATGCATCTTACTCTTTTTTTCAAAAATTCAATACAATTGGTTCAATTAAAATATGTCTATCTGGAAACATACTGCTGTCATCAGCCACCACTAAATAAACAAACTATCATTGGCATAATTCTAAATTGTTTCTAAACTTTTACTTTTCATTTACTTCTCTGTGATAAACAATTATTTACAGACTTGTTTAGGATACAAATTTTAACCTTCAATATGATAGTTGCTTTTCATTCAATGGTTTACTTGGTGTACTATGTTTGGAACACCTACATTTCTCAACAACAACAACCCATAGGAATTCCAAGAACTGACAATGATAGAAGTCTTTCTGTAAACAACACAAGTAAAGGGACTCATGATCAGGAAGCTGGTGACAATAATAAAACTACAGATATTCAACCAATCATGGGAACAAACTGTTCTCCGAGGAACCATCGGTCAAATCATATTAATTCTAAGATCGGAAAACAGGCACAAGCTAAATACATTGAGGAACGAAGAATCATTATACTGAATAGTTTGGAAAAAAGAGGTCATAAATTCTAGCTTATAGGCAAAGTTAAGATAAATTTTTGTTCAGTTAGTTTAATGATATTATATAGTACAAATTAAGGATGTATGTCATAATGGTGTATAATTATGTAGATTATTGATGGTAGCAAGAATGCTCTACTTTTGGTATTATAGTAACAAAGTAAATTGAGCCTTACTATGAGAATCTTTTTGGGCTTATATCTATGAGCTATAATAAAAAATCTGGGAAAAACCTTAGACATATATATTTTGAATTTTAGAACATCCAGATGATACAATCTATCAGCTATTCTCATGAAGAAATGTTAAGGTATTTTCTTTCAAAACTTGCACAATTACCAAACATTCATTTTATTGTATAGTGCCTAGTGCCTGTCATAAAAATGACACCAGATATAAATGAAAAACCACTGTGTCTTAATCAACAACTCTTGGAATTTTATCACAAATTAATTATCTCACTAAAAACAGGTTAATATTAAATATTGAGATCAGGGACACTGACCCTGACATGTTGGTTAAAATGTTAATGAAAACTCCTGACTTATTGACAGAATCCATCAGCCACCTAATATATTTTTTTTCTTTTCTTCTGGTTGTTTCCCAATTCCCTAAAAAGATTACAATAGTGGGATCAGTATTTAAAGAAGGCGACTCTAAGATCCATCAACTATCGGCCCATATCCATTTTGGCAGCTTAATCTAAAGTTTTTTGAAAAAAAAAAATAATAAGTGACTTCCAACATGGCTTTGTTAAAAATAAATCTACAACCATTGCAATATGTTTGCTCTCGTTGGCCTGCGCACTTGATGAGGGGAACTGTGCTGGCAGTTGGCAGGCCTGTTTTTTAATCTGAGTAAGCTTTTGGCTCAGTAGATCATGACCTCCTACTTGGGAAAATGAATAATTTTAGGATCAGAGGCTTTTGGCATTAGAGCATTTCTGCTCTTATGAAGGGGAGGAGGCATTGTGTAAGGGTATCGTCAGTTTATGAACATGGATTCACTACATCAATACAGCTCACCCAAGCGTCCTACATTGCTGTGTGCCCAAGGGTTCCATCTTGGCCATACTCTGGTTCTGTTGTTTTGTCAGCAATTATCTTCACATTAGAATTGAATCGTTCAGAGCTTTCCTTTACGCCAACGACATGTCCATCTTGCTGTCCAACCCGACCGTGGAGTCTTTAGAGCAGTCAAAATTTACAGAGGCTAAAATCAGTTAGCTCAGAGGTTTGATAACCCATCAGTCAATCCCCTCAAAACACATCTTTTGAATTTCCACATTTCCGATCGATTACCCCCGTCTTTTAGCTTTCAATTAGATGAGTATGGTGACCACCCCATTAGTTGAACTAAATGTCGTGGATTGTTTAACGACAAGTTAAAGTTTTACCATCATATTGACCACGTAATAAAAAAGGTTGTTTCAGGAATATTTGCCATCCGCACCCTTCTTGCATGCCTTCCTCCCAATCATCTTTGAAAAGTGTATAAGTTTTGGGTTTTTTTTGGGGGGGGTTTTGAAGGTTTGAGTTGGGATTTTGTTAAGTTTAAAACTGTTGTTATATAAACTGTAAACTTAAAAAGTTAATTTCAAACTAAGCAGGCCATTACCTACCCTTAAACTAATACAGTAATCAAAGTAAAAAAGTGTTGGAAATTTCATATGTTGAGTAACATGGTACATTACGTAACGTATCTGTAGTACACAGTAATTCAAGCCTATAGGGACATTTCTTTCTGAGCTGTGTGTGGGGAGTTTTTATTATAAATTGATTTTAAGAGGCTATAAAACTTTAATGTACAGGGTGTTTATAAAAAAACTTTACAACTCCAAACAACCATAACCATAAAACCTTTTATCTTTCCACTTTTAAAGCTATGAAATAGCAATCACAGTTTAGAAAATCATTTCAAGTGTTGATAAGGAGTTTACCGAACCTGTTTTCCATTATTTGCACGCAAATAATCAAGTCTAAAATCCAGTTCTAAAAAAACACAACATAAATAAAATAACAGTTTATTTCAGCAAACGCTCTCCTTATTCTTTCTCCGAGTTCTTCTTTGGTGTTCGCTTTATTGACATGAAATAGGCTTGATCCTAAATGAAGGTCCAAAAAAGTCACAGGGGTATTAGTCCAGGACCTGACTAGGGTTCTGTGTGCATGTCGTGTATAGAGAATTTTGCTTTTGCATTTCAATATAGGTGTCTTAGGAAGTGTTTTCCACTCGGGTGTCAAGTTCGCACCTGGTACGTTTTCGAGCTATGACGTCATCAAAATGGCGGCCATTGATTTTTTTAAATCGTATATTTCGCAAACTATTTGTCGGATCGGAATGAACTTTTTTTTGTTTGAAAGATAATTTTAAATGCTACCTGTTTTAAATTTACACATTTGTTATATGTTTAGTAAATTCTTCGTAATTTTGCAAAAACCTGTATTTTTAAATATTTTTGTGTTATTTTTGTTTGTAACGTTTTATTGATACAATTTATCAAAAACCACCAATGAAAAAAGTTGTAGAACGTTTAAAAATCTTTACAAAAATACCAAATTCGATATGTTTTACTCAAAAGATTACGTCAAGAAACTCGATAAATCTCATAAAAACACCAATTTTGGCGCAAAAACGCCTATTAGTCCGGCATCTAGGGCAGTTCGCAAGTCTTATAAAGACAGTTTTACCATTCGATGTTGATGTATGTGTCTAAATAAGTGTTTTCAACTCGGGTGTCACGTCTGCACCCACTGCAGTTTCCGGTTATGACGTCATTAAAATGGCGGAAAGGGCTATATTAAAAATAACTATATTTTACATACCATGTATCGGATCGGAATGAACATTTTTTTGTTTGAAATATAAGTTTACATGCTATCTTTCTTACATTCACACTTTTGTTGTATGTTTAGTACATTTTTCGTAATTTTGCAAAAACTTATATTTTTAAACATTTTTGTGTTATTTCTGTCGATAACGTTTTATTGATACAATATATCAGAAATAACTTAAAGACAAAGTTGTAGCACGTTAAAAGGGCTTTACAAAAATACCAAATTCGATATGCTTTACTCAAAGGATCACGTCAAGAAACTAGAAAAATCGTACAAAACAACCTAATTCGGCGCAAAAACGCATATAAATCCGACATCGATGGCCGTGTTCGAGTCATATATAGACAGTTTTACCATTCAATGTTGATGTATGTGTAAAGAAGTGTTTTTAAGTGCCTGGATTGATTTTCAATTAATCTAATTTTTCATTTAAAACTCCAATGTTATTCTTATGGACAATATTGTAACTGTAGTAGTTGGCTTGTTTATGGATATATTTTGATCAAATTTGGCAGATTTATTTATCCAGTACTAAGCTATTAATATTTTAATAACAAATCCACTTCATTAGTTTCCCTTAAGCAGCAAACCTAGGTATTTTTAAAAACAATGTTAATTTAATAGATTAATTGAAAATCAATCCAGGCAAATGGAACTTCGCTTAGTCGACAGGATTGCTGCACCGGGGGTATTTATATAGTGGAAACATTCTTATGGACTAATTACATTGATTTGTTGTGCTTTTATTTGCATAAAAGAAGGTAATGGTCTTATTTTAAGTAAAATAGTTGGTGAAATCGTAACATGTAGCAATTTTAAAGACATCATAACCGGAAACTGCAGTGGGTCCAGACGTGACACCCGAGTTAAAAACACGTCTTTACACATACATGAACATTGAATGGTAAAACTGTCTATATATGACTCGAACACGGCCATCGATGTCGGATTTATATGCGTTTTTGCGCCGAATTAGGTTGTTTTGTACGATTTTTCTAGTTTCTTGACGTGATCCTTTGAGTAACGCATATCGAATTTTTTTTTTTTAAAGCCCTTTTAACGTGCTACAACTTT